TTTTAGTAGAAACCGAAATCTTGTTAATTTGTAACATGTTCAAATAAACTGGTTTAAAAGAATTTTGATGGACAACGAGTGTGAATGATATTAGGAATAAATACTATGATACATATATAAAATAATGATTGCTGGATGTTTCGTTTTAACTTTGTATTTAATAGTGAGTATATTTATCGTTTACTTTATTTGTGCAAATGCTCCTTACGAAAACAACAATTATTGCTGAATAAATAACTGAGTTACATTTTCCTTTTTTCTCAAAAATATGTGTACATGTACATTTATCTAGATCTTTCATTTTTTTCTATGTACATGTATACGTATATGTATGTGTGTACATGTGTGTTAATAATGTTGTTTTATAAACGTTATATTCATTATAGGATACTACGTAATCAAAACCAAAAAGATTTACTTTAAACCACTAGTACTTACATTGTATATATGATTTTTATGCCTTAATGTTTCGCCTTCACAAAATTGTTCACAATAGTTGTTGTTATAAATGTTGCTATAATTATCACCACGACCGCAACCACCACCACCACCATCATCATCATCATCATCATCATCATCATCACCATCATCATCATCATCATCATCATCATGAAATAATGTCCGTGACCGAGTGGTTAAGGTTTTTTACTTCATATCGATTGCCTCTTGGTGTGCACCGCTGTAGGCTCGAGCCGCTAAAGCGTCTTTGGATTCTTTCATATGAGAAGGCTATCCAGCTAGCTTACGGAACGTTGGAGGTTCAACTCAGGTGACCGTTAATGACTGAAATAATGCAAACAATGGCACCTGATGTCTCTCTCCAACAGTAGAAGCTGGAAAGTCACCATATGACCTTTACTGTGTTGGTGCGACTTAGAATCCAATACAAAAAAATCAAAGAACGCGAATTAGACATTACTATTGTTACTACTAATGTTAGAACAGATTTCATTTCTAATGTAAAATGGAGCAGCACGTCTCCTGACTGGTACTATTTCTATGAAATTTAAACAAAAAAAAAGTTTTTTAAAGAAGAAAAGGCCGATAACAAGTCAAAATATGCAAGATAGATACTTAGTTCGTTCCGTTCAGGATGAAATGGTGATATATTTCTATAATATTTTACATACAACATGCAAGATATTTTGTGTATATATATACATTTCTTGCACAAGTAACTTTTATCTTATTTTATTTTATTCTTTAATCAATTCGGGGCACGCACCTTCATGTATCTGACATACCACAAATTCAAATGAGATAACGTGAAAAATCAATGATATTGATCTACTTATATGACAGTGGCGATGGTGTTATTGAATTTACCAGAGCACAGTTCAGCCACCGCATAGTTGCTGGACAGGCTGTCCAGCAGTTTACTAGAACTAGTTACCCAAGGAACTGATAACTTCTGTACATGTCAGAGCAGAGTTGTACAGTGTGAATGACGGTAGAACAGATTTTATGACCAATCACAACGAAAGTGACCTGCACCGTCCGAGAATCGAACCCGGGTCGTCCGATTCACATTTTAAATACAATGTATGTATAATCAAAATTAGAACGTCATGATGGTTATAAGAATTAAATGTTTCAAAGCACCCATTTATGAGGAGCCTAGACTGAGACATGAACAATAAAACGACCAATGCGACTTAAATTCCGAAAAGAAAAAAAGACAAATGAAACGAAATGTTTACTTTGCGCGAATTAAAGTTTGTTTGTTTTTTAATGCGTAATCTGTTTGGGTGGATTTGATACAATTCGTCAACATTTAGAGTGTTTGTTTTCTGTTTAACATATTTGTATTAAAGAGAATTATAGGGATTAAGTAAAGATGCATAGAAAATGCATAAATGCATAAAGTCTTTGATAAGTTATGCATGGGTCAAGCGGTTCAATCTTCCCACGCGAAATCGCTGATAAACTGAAGATTACAAAAAAAAACGACTGTTCGCGTGCTTTATAACAAATTTGAGAAATATGAAAATCTTTAAAAAAAAAAATTCAACACGGCGAAATAAAAAACGTCGCAGGCTTATGTTTAAATCGAGCTGCCGCGTTGGTGGTGTTGCTGCTTGTTTACTTTCCGGAACACGGCAGTAAGCTACACTGAATTCTTCAGACCACAGTTAAGCGGTCCTGGGCAGTTTACCAGTAATCGTGTTTTCACTTTCGCAAAGAGCTGATGTCTTCTGTACATAGCAGAGATACAGTGTGAATAACTATAGAAAGGATTTCATGATCAACCACATCCAAAGTGGCATGCACAGTCCGGGACTCGAGCACGGGTCACAGTCCAATGCTTTTCCTATTGAGCTAACGTCCGCGGACGGTTATCAAATTTAAACTGTTTATGGACTATTATGATAAATACGAACTACCCTCTTCACCACCACCCAGCACCGCCTGAAACGAAATTCAACAAATAAACGTGAAAATGGTGTTTAATTTAAAACATGATTTTACTTCCATTGCTCAAATAATCATTGCTTGCTAGTTGCTACCGCCCACCCCAACGCCGTCTTAAGCAAAACTCAACATGAAAGTTTTGTTTAATTCAAAATTTAAAAATTTAAAACACCATTTCATATGTATTCACTTAAATCATCCTTATTCAAATTGTGAATGTGCGTTAAAACTTCTAGACTGCCAATCCAGGAATCGCGTATCCAATTCTCCGTTTAAAAAGCTTACGTTTGTTCGGACGAAAATTGAAACAAAACTCACTAATATGTATAATATGTATTCATATCAAAGGGACTCCACAGAGGTTTTTTTGACATAACGGGATTAGAAATATTTTTCGAGATTAATGTTCCATTTGATGAAGGTCTAAACTTATAACTTGTGTGAAAATTTTCAGATCATTCCCACATTTTTCCAGAATAAATATTCTAATTATAGTAAATGACCCAAAATTGAAAAGTGTTGCAAATCCGGCTGAGAATAGGAATAAATTACGATTTTCAATTATTTTATATTGTTATTATTCTTTTGTATATCATTCTTTTTAAGTGCCCCGGCTGATCTATGTAAGAAATTCAACTTTCATGTTTTTCGGCTTTTGAACCTCAGTAGAGCTCCTTTAAAGAATCAGAGGTTACATTTTTGCATGGAGTCTAGGCTTTTTACTTTCCTGTAACAATTTATAAGATTGCACGCTTCTGTAGCCGGTCATATTAGTGAACGCAAATCTAACGATATTGAGAATGTTTGATTTACGCAATGGTAGTATCATATGATGGGCCGTATACCAAAATTAGGCATCTTATCAGAAACGTCGTAGGCTTGTTAATATTATCAGAGAAATAAAATATTACATGTTTTATCTTTCATCATTAATATTTTGATCGACACTTCTTACACCTACGACTTACAGTCATAAATTTTTCGTACCCACATAACTGATAACAGGTGTCAAAGAGCGCAATCCAAATGCAATGACAAAACTACTGGGAGTTGTTGTAGATTTATTAACTTACAAATGCTTTTATAGCTTTGTTTGTGGTTTGTTATATATTTTTTTCAAACCAAAAGTGATAAAAATACATAACATGAAATATAACTGACAAATTTACATTTCAAAATCGCAATTTTGAGTGAGTATTCCATGTTTAAGGGCAATACAAATGTAAAACTGTTTCTTGTGCCGTGTTATTACAAACAGATTTGAGAAGACGAAACCGTGACATTTCGTGATTTTTCGTGCCCTTTGGCCGTACTTGGTTAAATCCAAGGGATACTGATTGTTAAAATATTCGAAGTAATAAATGAATAAAATAAAATATAAAGAATAACTGTGAAAGAAACTTCTTGATAACAAATCTGACTAGTTAAAAAGTGGGATACAAAAAAATGAGAACATTTTTGTTTTTTTTTTCTTAATGGAACTCCTTTGAGTTCTTAATTGCTTAAAACATTAATACTTGATGTTTTTACAGAGATTAACTAGGGCAGTTAAAACAGAACAATATGCAAAAGATGATTAAGAATATAATTTTCTGAAATAAATTGTAAACAGTCTAAGATCGATGTGAGTGCAACGCTTTTTAATTTTGGGTCATTTTTCACGATTAGAAAAATAATTTTGGAAAATTTGGATTGTGCGAATGATCTGAAATTGTGCACACAAGTTATTGGTCTAGATCTTAAACAAATGGAATATTTATCTCGAAAAAAATATTTCCAGTCCCGTAATGTTAAAAAATATCAGTGTAGTCCGTTTTAAGAAATTTGTGCAATCACACACGACAAAGATTTCATCAAAGCAACAACAAAATCATCATCAACAACGATAAACAACAATAAAGAAAACCAAACGATAAGATCATAATGTTAAATAGCAAAAAAAAATCCTAAATTCACACCCAATACCAAAAAAGTATAGGTAAAATTTACTGAAATAGTTAAGAAAAGCATGTTATTTTTGTATATTGTAAAATGTAATTCTTCAAAAATATTAAATTTATCATGTATAATATTAAATTTATCATGTATAATTGACAAAAGAGAAATAAAAGACTTATTTGCATTCGCAACTTTTTGGCTTTCCCCAAACATATTTCGGCATATTGCGAGAAAACGACAAAGTGTTCCGAATTAATGAGAGTCAAATTTGTTGGTCGTTTTTCGTATGTTCTATATTTTTATAATGTTTTCGAAGTTGGCAATGTTAGTAAGTTAATAGTAAGTTTGTTTTAAAAAAACTCAATTTAAATTAATGCATCTCTTTTTTTTTTCATTTAATTAGACCTGAAGGTCCATCTTAATCCCGAGCCCCGAGAAATATATTGAGTCTACTAATAAAGATTACATTGTAAATTTTTTGCGCAAAGTACCAGAGAACCAATTTCTAAAAATTTTAACCTGTATTCTAAGGGATAGCGAAATATAAATTGATTTGTGTGAAATTAATCGATAACTGGGCGTTATCTATGGATTGAAATCTTCGGCATATCTCAGCTACTAAGGTATGATTAGTATTGAGTGGGTTCCGGTCACTATTTTGATTATTTCTTTCATTGAGAAACAAATTCCAAAGATAACTTTAATGGTAGTGTAAATTTTTCACCACACCAGTAACTGATTGTGTCTCGACAACACCAGATTTTGAAAAATAAAAATCTGATTTTTTGTTTTGGAATATAAAAGAAAATTATGACATCGAAGAATAGATAAAAAAAAAGAGCAGTTAGAAATACAGTGTGTTTTCATTTTTTCGATTTAAAAAAAAACGATTTGAAAACAAAAATGACGTTTAATAATTATATTCTAGGAATACTTGTTCTTGTCTATTCATTGGTAAGTGGTTATTCCATAAAAATGTGTCACTTTTTTACCTTTTTCTTTTGGCTTAAACATAGATACAAAATAATATGCCGCCAGAGAAATAATGCTTACTTAATTATTCAAACTTATTTATTATGGAGAAGTGAAAGTTACTTTCATAGTTGGTTATTTTGTATGGTAAGTAGACAGAAAGTTATATCTAGCTGTGTATTTAAAGGGACTCCGGATGGTGGGTTGTGGAAGGGTTGGGAAAGAAGGGGTATATGAGACTGGGAATATTTTTTCGAGACCTTTATACCATTTAATGAAGGTGTATTCCAAAAACCTGCGTGCCAAATTTCAGATCATTCGCTTACTCCGTTTGTTCTCTCTTTTTTTATTGTGTAAAAAGGATTAAAATTGAAAAGTTTTTAAACACTTTTAACTCAAATCAGGCGTACAGTCGCACTAGATGTCGAATTTCAAATTAATTTCAGTTTATGTTTTCTTATCTTTTTCATATTTTTTTTTAGATTTTCTGTTTCATGCGTTTTTCAACCTCAGTAAAAATACCGATTAGATTTTATTATTAACATCTATAAAATGATAAAAAATTTTTATTGCAAACCCAGGAATCCGTCGGTTTCTTTTATCTATAGATGTGTTTGGTATACATTTGTTATTACATAATTACCGCGCGCAACTTAAAGCTGATTAATGGGTTAGTCTAGACTTTTTCAAGAATGAATTGCCTACCGTATGCTCTATAAAAAATAAACAACGTCAAACAAAATAAGACTGAGCCGCGTCACGACAAAACCAACATAATGGGTTTGCGACAAGCATGGATCCAGACCAGCCTGCGCATTCGCGCAGTCTGATCAGAATCCATGCTGTTCGCTTACAGACTCTATAAGAAGTAGAGAAACTATAGCGAACAGCATGGATCCTGACCAGACTGCGCGGATGCGCAGGCTGGTCTGGATCCATGCTGGTCGCAAACCCATTATGTTGGTTTTGTCGTGACGCGGCTCAATTATTTTTAAAGAAAAAAAATCCAAAAATTATCATATCACAACGATTTTGGTGATAAATCTAATAATCACTTTATATTTGTAATGAAATGAAATGACATTATGTAATTATTTATTTTTATTTCAAGAAATATCGTAGATTGTGTAAGTAAAACAAGTAAAGTAAGAAACTAATCTTATCCATGAGCTTAGCCTCCCAATATGTAGTGGCAGGCCAGCCTGCAAATTAGTTTAGTCGGGTCAGGCTCTTGAATAATGCTTGTTGCTCATTTTTTTCTGTATTTAATATTGGTAAACTTTAAACTTCCAAATTTAAAGCAGTGCAAATTTATTACACAACGTCAGCAGGTTAAAGGTCAAGTAAGAACCGCACAAAGCTTTAATCAATTTCGTATTTCAATGGACACCGACATTATCATTCTTTATAAAAGATAACAGTTATCTTGAGATGATAATTATTGTATTATATTATATCTTAAACTTCGACTTATTCTTACCCAGATACATTTTCAGATACACAAATATCGGTTGCTTTTAATTGTAAAATACGCTCTTAAACGCAACTTAAATTTTTTTGAACATCAAAGCATTTAATTAAATTTAGTCAGTTTTTTTGTTATCATAAATTTAAATGTTTTATAAGAAGTCCAAAAAAGTCGGCCAGGGCAGTAAATAAGCAGACTGTAGTGTATTAATGTTTGACTGTTATAATGTACGAAAGACCGGTGGGGACATTTTAATATCACAAATTCAAGGTTGAAGTTTTGTGAGCTTACTTAAATTTAATGAATCTGCTATTTCAACTTCACGAATTCACTTTCTTTACAATTTAAGCATTGTAAATTTCACTGTTGTACAGCGTCCACCGGATATAGCCCAAAAAACACCGAAAACGAAAGTAGAAAGCTACACACCGAGTACACCCAAGGTAATGCTTTAACTTTTTTCTTCATCATAACTTCATTGAATTTTCCAAACTAAACAATTTTGTGAAGCTAAATGTTTCTTGTTTTAGAGCAATATTTGCTTTTGTCTGCAAATTGAATACTTTTTGTTAGATTGGTGATGAATTATAGCGTATTAGTTGACATTTGCGAACGATGTTGATATGTACAACTAAAACAAGCCCAAAACGCATTTGCTGTATCGAATTCCGCCGTTAATACAAACTATAGCTATCCCTCTACTTATATTTGAGTTCTCGCCCTTCAACTTGTGCTGTTTTTAACAAAATTTGCGGAAAACGGCCTTGCCTTGTGTACAGAGTCTAGCACGGATGTGTACGGGGTGTAGATGGAAAACTGTTAGCGATTGTACGGGGTGTAGTAGGGAAACGAATGTCATTTTCTGCAAAATAAATTCGGTACCAGAGCATATACACGTAGCTGATGAAGCAAACGATTAATGTCGGGATCAAGGATTGTGAAGTGAATGATTTTAATTTTATAAAAGATGAAAATGTTTAAATTGTAAACATGTTACGCAACATGTATATTAATTGCAGTAAACAGTTTCCGTCTAACTAAAAGTTAATAGGAAATTCGTAAAACTCAAAAGACCACAATTTCATTCCATAGTGGTAGAACATTATGTACAGCAAATTCTATAATTTGTCATAAACGATTTCAAACCATGTTTGGGTTATGCTTGATCTAAACTTGTTATATTGGGTTATTATTTCACTGGTCTTAAGAATTCATTGAAAAACAAACAAATGTTAATGAGCTTTGGTAAAATATCCGCCTTGATTAGTTAGGTTAATCATTAGATTTATCTTTTGTGGCTATAAAGTCTTTCATATTTTTTTTTACAGTCAAACTCGGGTTACCTCACTAGTGATTTCGATATTGTTTAATAAATACAATGCTTTCCATTCAGCGAGTTGGTCGGAAGACTCCTCAACATGTCTTATAAATACTGACAGACACTATTTAGATGATGGTATGACAATAAAAATTAAACGCAGCTATACTGTTAGGCTTAAAAACACTAAAAAGTTAAATTATTTACCAAATACCTCTGTATCGTCCTATAATCTATCCATGTTTAGTCTGAAATTAGATTATTTCCAATTAAAAATAATAAAAAAGACAATACTTTAAAAAATATGTGACTGCTAGATACCGTTCACATCTACTAAACCCTGTACATTAATCTACTACACCCTGTTCACTTAAATTTGTTTTCTTTGCTAGACTCTGTACACAAGGCAAGGCAGTTTTTTGCAAATTTTGTTAAAAGCAGCTCGAGTTGAAGGGTGTAAACTCAAATCTAAGTAGAGGGAGGACTATAGTTTGTGTTAAACTGCGGATTTTGATACAGCAAATGCGTTTTGGGCTTGATTTAATGGTAAATATCAACATCGTTTGCACATGTCAACACATACGCTACATTTTATCGCCAAGTTAACACAAAGTATTCAATTTGCAGACAAAAGCAAATATTGCTCTAAAACAAGAAACATTTAGCATCACAAAATTGTTTAGTTTGGAAAAATCGATGAAGTTATGATGAAGAAATAAGTTAAAGCATTACCTTAGGTGTACTCGGTGTGCAGCTTTCTACTTTCGTTTTCGGTGTTTTTAGGGGCTATATCCGGTGGACGCTGTACAACAGTGAATTTACTATTTCAACTTTACAAAATTACGTTTTCACGATTTCAACTTCATTAATTTGTGATTCAGCTATATGAAGTTCATAAATTCACGATTTCGCAACGATTTCAGCACCATGAATTCACGATTTCAAACTCACATGAATTTGTGATATCAACTTTTTGAATTCACGACAAAAACATAATTAATGAAGTGTTGTGAAGTCATGGAATTGAAAAATGTGGTACATGTGTAATCGTGAATTTGTGAAATTAAATGCAATGTGAATAATAAATTCATGAAGTTGAAATTGTGAATTCGTGAATTTGAATTGAATAATTCATGAAGTTAAAATGTCATTGAACAATAAACATTTCTATTTTTGTCATTTTTTATTTATTGACGTCACTGTAAAAAAAGCTTCGTTTCCGGTCATTGTGAAAAACGTAGTATCTTTTTTTTGCGTTTAAAGTTTCGTTTTGAATGTTTACAGTGGGGAAATGTCCCATTAATTTCTGAATTATTTTGAAAAGTAATAAAAGAAATCGCTAAAACATACGATAAATATACGATAATATAAGTGTAACACAAGTTATTAAAGCTTTTATGAAGGTTCGAAGATGCGTTAATAGTTGATGAATGTTCATGGATAATATGCGTGTTTGAAATTATTTCGTACCCTGCAAAAATACATATTTCTCTTACTTAAAATGTGTTGACTGCTTTGAAAATATTTCACTTTCAAATATGGAGAAATTTGTGACCAAGAAGATAATCCTTTTCAAAAGAGGAAAACAAACCATTACCCCACCAATTTTAAAAGATTTTCTGCCTCGTACATGTACTTAATTTCTATGATCGTAAATCATAATTTCCAACAAAATCCATATCCCAAATGGGTTTTAGAGCATTGGTCATTTTAAAAGTGCTGTTCGTGACCAATTCTAATGATGTAAAGATTAATCATTACAATTTTGTAATCGAGTCAGGGTCGTGATTTCGCCACCTTTATATTATATGTTCTATAATTTCGTTCATAGACTGATATTTCTGTTTTTCATTAACCATTTGAACTGACCTACACCATTTTGCTTATCATAAAGTAAACTAGGTCGAGTGCTCATGTGGCTCAAGTTGATTAAGAGTTGATTATTGAATCATGGTCACATTTTAGAAATTCAATAGATAACTAGGCGTGGTGAGGTATCTTTCGATTAAAATAAGGTCGATGGGTCAAATGCTTGAATGTTCTGATTTCAACATAAAGTTTGCTGAGAAATAAAACGTAAATATATTCATTTCAAACATTTCGTAATTGAATTCGAGTAAGACGTTCATTTCGCAAAATAATTATTTTTTATTCTATTTTTTTTTCTTGTCCGAACCTTTCGCATTTAGCATTAACACCTTTTCACGAAACAGGCAATTTATGAATATCAATCGGAATAAACCCATTGCTAATTATACTTGTAGCATTTCAAGACAAAACAAAATATGTTCTATTGCAATTAACATTGTTTCCAGTATATATAACCAATACCATTAATGCATGATATACATACAATAAATTTGTTTAATTTTAGATATCAAAACTGTATACACATTTGTAAATCACTTTGGATGAAAGAAAATGAACAATCCTTAAAAATACTGTTTAAGTACGCACCAAATACGGTATAAGACATATATTTACACAAATGATCCGTCTTTGATATGGTATTTCCTTTTACAGATTTACGGCCCCCTTGAAGAGCCTTAAATCCATCAGATAATATTGAAATACCTTACGTGACAGGTCATTTGTTACTCAAAAGATCATAAAATATGGGTAACTGACACTGTTTTATATACAAACATGTGCATCGTTTTTACCCTACTCAGAATGTGCATGCGCATGCGCGAAATGCAATATCCGTTACTATGCAACTCGTATGGTAAAAAGGTCTATATTTAAAAAACTGGAGACAAATATGTCTGTTACAACTGGAAATGTTTCCTTTCATATTCGGTCAAAATATAGAGGGATGCGGACTTGTCCATCTTTAAATATAGATTAAACCAACTTAATTATTTGAGTTGAATATACATTAAACCATAATTCATCATTTTAGGGGAAAATTTCAAACTATATGCCGGTACTGACTGAATAAACAGTGCATCTTGGCCTGCAACTGGTCGCATGCGTAAATTATGTTGTCGCTAAGGGTTAATTAAAGCTTTCCCTTTAACAAAAAAACATACGACAATATGGCGGGAAAAAACACCAAAATCTTAAATCCATCATCGGACAAAATGCAGATCAAAATTATTTTCATATGCTTTAAGCTGGTAAATTCCGTTATAAAGTCAATGTTAGTTTGATAAACATTTCCAGTTATGACACTTCTGTAGCGGTGTTTGCGATAGATGAAAGGATTTTCGTGACAAAATGATATCTATGTTTCCGTACTTACTGTCCGAAAGTTATTGGATCACAGAGAACGGGCGATGAGGTTAAAGCCTTTGGTTATTGTAATGGATGGCTCTAATGTTGATAAATGTTTATCAACTTTATCATAACGATTTCTGTAATAAATATTTCAACAGCGTTAACATTAATATCATTTTTTATCGTTTGAAGTCCAGCTACGATTGTCCATCTTTGTTTATTTGTTGTTTTTTTTTTTTTTTTGTGGTTGTGTATTGAGGGGGTGTTAATTTTTTTGTTGTTGTTTTTTTTTTTTTTTTTTTTTTGGGGGGGGGGGGGGGGGCTAAATGTAAACATAACAATCAAAGTCAGTAAGTTGTGTGTGTTTTTTCGTTTGTATTTGTTTGTTGTTTTTTTTCCACATTTTCTCTTGAAGGTCATATTCTCTCTTGAAGGTCATCTTTTCTCTTGCAGGTCAGATTTTTTTTTGAAGGTCAGATTTTCTTTTTAAGTCTTAAACGTTTTTTTTTCTTACCTAAATAGCTAAATTTTTCATGCAATATATTAACAACAGCAACAACAACAACAACAAAAGCACGATGTTTTATTTATAACACTGCATTTAGTTTTGCGAATTTAAAAATGCGAGATTATGATATTTGAATACGACAGATATTGCATCTTTTACTATAAATTTAGCAAATCATGAATGAAACTAGTTCTGTTGACATTACAGACTGATGTTGTGCTGGGTGAAGGGAAACTTTCGATTAACCTGTTAAACTATAATAATTTTGGAGGCACAACCTATGGAGGGCACTGTTGTGACGGGTATAGCTTCGCCGGATCCGGGTGTTTTGTGGGAATATGTGACCATAGGATTACACTCTGTGTATCGGATTCCAACAGGTAAATACGATTTAACAATAAAAAAGTCTTAAATTGAGACGCGTCACGACAAAACCAACATAATGGGTTTGCGACCAGCATGGATCCAGACCAGCCTGCGCATCCGCGCAGTCTGATCAGGATCCATGCTGTTCGCTATCAGTTTCTCTACTTGTTATAGGGTCTGTAAGCGAACAACATGGATCCTGATCAGACTGCGCGGATGCGCAGGCTGGTCTGGATCCATGCTGGTCGCAAACCCATTATGTTGGTTTTGTCATGGCGCGGCTCAATTATTACTCATTGTACTTTCAAGCACATCCATGTACATGCATATACACACTGCTAATTTTTAGCAATTAGATACAAGGATAAGGCCTATATAAAGATCAGCTTTCGGTTATGATCCTTTTCCATTCATTTCATATGTTGTAAAGTTTTATTTGTAAATTGTAAATGTGTATACTTGTTTGAAATTTTATTTGTAAATTGTAAATGTGTATACTTGCTTGAAATAAACTATGTTTAAACTAAAATGCTAAAAGTCTTTAAGTATGCTTAAATTTATGAAATGTGTTTTTGCCTGGTCATATTTACTCATTTAGTACAGGCAGAATTAAGTTAAACGTAACATAAAATAAAAAAAATGTAAAAAAATAGAGGATATTCAAGTTTTTTTTTTCAACAACAACATGATTTGTTTTCATCGAGTGGTAGGGCTTATGAATGAGTGGCGGTAGCCACGAGTGAAATATGATAATTTTCATACCTCAAGATGAAAATAAATCCATTATTAATTTAAAAAACTTGAATTTCCTATTTATTATATAATTTTTCTGTTTATTGACCTTAAATTTGTAATACTTCCCCTTTACTTTTGTGCATTGGCTGAATTTAGATGAAAGTAGTCTGTCAAGACATCAGTGAAAATTCGGAAAATACAATATATATTTTCACTGCAGTGAAAAATAAATTTTTACAGTGAAAATACGGAAAACGAAAATACGCAGTTTATTTCAGCAATATTTCTAAATATTTCATTTACATATAAACATATAATAAATAAAAATACGTCATGGTTATAAAACCATTTAAATATAGGAACGACATGCGTCTTTTTTATTTGTTAGCTAATACAATAAAAATCTGGGACTCTATCATTGTACTTAATTTGCGTAGGCGATGCACCTAATGCACAAGTAAAAAAACGTAATCGAATTAGGTAAAATTCGGCTTTTAAGATGAATTAATGGGTGGATTGATAAATGCGTGCCACCATTCTTTAAGTGTTCCAACTGCTATGTAAACATTCAACTGGTCATATCTAGGCACGGGATTACGTTGCATAAAATGTAAAGTGTATATATAGCAGATAAAAATCCATCTTAAAGCCTATAGTAAAACGTAAATAAAGTTTTTGATAAATTTATGGCAGCAGCTATCACGTTGAGTAAAATACACACGTCATGATGCTTTCAAAAACAAATTTGTCAGGCAGTAGACGCGTGAATGAGAAACAAAACCATTCAAATTGTTCAATATCATATAATATGCTTATAAATTACTCATTTCAATAGTTTACTTAACAGCTTGTTCCGTTACATTTAAAGAATATCTTTTTTGAAGGGAAATACATTCAAAGAAACGGCTTTTGATATTTAGTAATGACAGGTTGATCACGAGTTATCTCCCTTTTTAAAGAAAGACGCCATTTGTAAAAGCTACAAAGAGGCATAGCTATTTATTTCATTTCCAATTTTGTCAGGAATAGACTTTTATTTATGAATACTTTTATATTCAAATTCGAACGAAGCAAGTGCTCATACCCACCCAGAGTAAAAAAAACAACACAAAAACAAAACGAACAAACAAACACAAAGTTTATTTTATTTTTTGTTCAATTTTAGTCCGTCTTATTTCTGTGACATTGGCACGAGATACATCACTGCTCCGAGCAACGAAAATGTGAACACTTTCACACCAGCTGATGCTCAACGATTCTCTTTAAAGTCATGGCCGGTAAGTATGGTTTCAATCAATCGCAACTCTTCGTCCCTTTCCGTCAAACTTCGGAATAATTTAACAACTTAAAGGTCATAGACCTCTAAATTTAATTTCATTTATCAGTCATCTGTCGCCAAGAGACTTACCTAATTTACATGTATTTAAAATTTCACAGTCAGTGGTTCTTATAGATTTGAAATTAACAAGATGATAAAAGACCAAAAACCGTCACTTAGTATCAGACTTTGATAGTCACATTTTTCATATGGATTGGGGTTTGGTAAATTAGCAATATACATGTATTAAACATTTTATTACTATATTGAGTTACGATTTAATTACGTTTGTATGTGCAATAATATATATTCTTGGCCATTTTGTTGGTTATATGTGATTAAATAAATACGAATTTTTTATATGTACATACATGTTACATGCATCATTCTTTTTCTTTTCTTTTTTCTTTTTTGCTTTGTTTTGGAATACGGAATCTACTTATTTAAACACTATAGCAATCCTTTTGCCAATTTAAGTATTGATTCACTGTTAAAATCAATATTGATTTTTTGTTGCTTTTTTACTGCTGTTAATCAGAAAAAAAAACTAAATGTTTTCTAGACTGGAGGAGAAGTTAAGATTGTGGTGACAGTGGAAGATATTGATACAAATACTACCAGTGGAGAATTGATATATCAACTGGTTGACATCCTGAAGACCACGGTTAAAGTTGGAACACCAGAATTCAATAACTCATTGGCAACACCAACAACGTTGAACTTGACCGGTACAAGATACACCAACGAACCACCGACAAGGTGAGGCATTTATTAATATGTATAAACAATTAATATGATTTGGCACATTGCTTTATTTAGGTTGTTTGTTAAGATATACAACCCATCCTGAACTCGGTATGGTTTAATAAATAATGATATTGATTTTTAAGCAGGGTCTTTCAAATTTGAAAGACCCTGATTTAAGTCTTTGGATTTTCATCAAAGAATTCCAAAGTCTTTATGGCTTACAACAAGTATATACATGTATGATATAAATTTTTCTATTAAAGCAGCATGCCTCCAGATTCATGCAAAATTTCATTATTTTTTTTTAAATGTATTAAAAAGTAAAATACTGTCAAGTAAACAAAGAAAGTAATTAACCAATTGCAAACGACACTTAAAATCAACGAGAATTGCCAAAAATAGGTCAAAATATGCAAAAACAGCCCTTATTGCGTTAGTCACGCAGTACGGTGAAAAATACTGCATTAACAGTCACTAAACGCATATAAGTTAACATATAGATTATTACTTCTTGAACATTTTTACTTTTCTTAAAATCGTGGTACATTTTTCTCAAGTTAGATTTTCTTGAAATATTTGGGTTCATTTTGAGGCATTTAGCTTAATAAAATGAGAAAAATCGGTTAAGCCTTAGCGTGCAAGCAGAAACTAAATTTACCCATGCGACCATGAAGTGCAGACAACGATCTGTGCCGTCTGGCCATGGTCTGCACTGTCGCTTTACAATCAATAATCATTTTGAAATTTCCCTAAAATGATAAATGGTTTTGTCCAGATTGAAAGATGAACAGTTCCATTAAAATTTTTTATCAGGTTATGGGTTTAAAACTATATAACATGGGAATGTCGCTCATATAACATGAGGTTGTTCTTGTTGTTTTTTGTTTTTTTCTTATGTAATAGACGCCGGCAAAATGTACAAGCGGTTTATTACATAACTTTAAGTTGTTGTCATTTAACCGACATGGGTTTGAAATGTTGAATTTCTATCAATTTTATAGCACTTGTTATGTAAAAATACCATATAACAGTGTGCTGAAAAGTAATAAAAAGTCAAAAACGAGATAAGACATGCTATTAGGACAGAATCAAACTTTTTGAACCGTACTCGTACTTCTTAAATTTTTATTGTTAATTCATTACGTAATTTCAAATCTCAAGATAATGTCAAAAATGACACATCCGACGTCAAAGGATAGGCTTTAACAGTAATCACGAGGTGTGCCTCTTTAAAAAATGTTTTGTAAAATTTTAATCCAGGCTAATAAATAGAATTTGAGATAAGAAATCCCTCCGCAATGTTTAAAGAATGCTTCAAATATCTATATAAAACTCATTTACCATTCTGAGAGTTCTTCAATTAACTGAATGAAAACCAAAAAAGGTTAGTCATTCCAAAGGAATACTTTAATCTGTTGTATCATGGTTGCAAATAAAGTTGGATATCAAAGATTGATTTTATCGTTTGTGTACGCAATAAGAAACCAATATCGCAACATTTTGTTGACAGTCTGTAAGTTGTGTAAAGAATATGTTTGCAGTTCATTTCCGTTTTTTGTGGCTAAAGTGGTTTGAGTACAGTGTACTCAGTTGAGCGTTTAGCCGTATTCCGTATGTTGACACCAATACAAGTTCTGTCAACCTCGACATTTTCCGTATCCAATATTTATTGCAACATCAAAGCATATTGCTTACTTCCCCTCGAAGCGTGCACATCGTTGCATTGGCAGAAGATTTGAAGACTTGGGATGGCGAGAAAAAATATCAGAACTTGTTCTACGGATCATGCCAGCTAGCTGCCGGTGTCCTGACTAATGCCGAGGGGAGAGTGACCATACGATGCAGTCAGAGACGATGAGGATGGTGTCCTAAGGTGCCTAAATCCCTGACACAGATAGACAGCTTCTAAGGCAGGCCCTTTGCTTGGCACCAACAGTCCTTTTAAGAACTACCTCCTTTCTGCATTGCCTAAGTTTGCTGCAAAGTTAGGTTCTCATTGGCCGCCAAACAGTGACCTACTTTTGGCTCAAAATTTATATCTTTAGTCAAATATACATTCCATAATTTATACAATAATTTATATATATATACATGTATAAATCCACAATGATGATTAGACGATTTTATAAATCTCTGGGAATCTGAAATGTTAGCTTAGTTGTAAACTTTCCCGCTAAATTAATTATGTGACATTTTAACCATTGAAATGACGATAGTAAAAATAAGTTATTGACATTTTCGTCTGCACTCTCTTAACAAGACGCATGTGCAAGAACACCACGTACAGTCCTATGAAACACAAACGAAAAATTACCGAATAATAATCACTTGAATATTAACGAGAAAAAATCACAGACATCAAAAATGGGAAAGTGTGCGAAATCTCATCCAAATTAATTGTAATTGTATTTACTGATATCTTAAAAAATGCCATTAATAAAATTATAATCGGCCCTTTCCGGTTATGTTATGTCCTTTTTGCGGAAAGGGAACTTTTCCGATATCTAGTCATAACGGATACTTTGTATTAATCACAAAAGTTAGCTCCCCTTTATACAAATCTCCGCTTGTTTTGGTCCTCATAAAATGCGGTTCTGTTTTGAAATGTGTAATTTGGTTTGTATACTTTGTATATAATTATATCTTTATTTTTAATCTAAGTAATTTGATTCAGGATAACCAGGTACATAATAGGGCCTATATCATGACATGATATTCTGGCATAATCACTAGCTAAACGCCGTTTTTTCCGGTACCTTCTGTACATTCCAGAAGTTAGCTCTTTGGAATTCGCAAAAGATTTGTGCTATATGTGCTGCATATTTTATTTAAAATACATATGGGTTTTATGTTGACAGTGTTTAACTGCCAATAAAGCAGCACACCTCCAGATTCATCCTAGTGTTCATGAAAATTTTGAAAATCAGAGACATAGATGTCTCTGTGAAAATGTATGAGAAAATAAAATATTGTTAAGAGTTGAGCCATGGACTTTGTCTAATCAAGTCTATGAGTGAACAAACTCTGTGCCAATGAAAGGAAATTTGCACATTGCAGACAACACATTCAATCCAAGTAAATTACCAAATAAAGGTCAAAATATGCTAAAATAGCCCTTACTGTGTTAGTCACACAGTTGAAATATCATGTAACAAATACAGAAAAATCACTCATTCATTGCATATAACATGTAAATCACCATTGTCCCTTTGTGTATATTACAGTTTGTCAATGAGCTACTCTGTCACATATGACACCTATGATAGCTACTATCTACCAATTGGAGGGAGCCAGACTAAAACTTGTAGAGGAACCAATGAGTGTGGGAACCATTCCTGGTGTACACAGACCAATGGGAATGTTTGCTTGTATGGATGGGAGGGGCCAAATTGTAACACACCTACTCCAGGTGGACGAGCCGACTGTAGTATTGATGCAGGTATATTAGATTTATGATGCATACATGTAATCAAAAATAAACAAAGAACTTTGTTACATTTTCACTTGCATAAACTTTCTATGAATTAGCATTATTATTATTAGCATTGTTAAAAGAAAATTGTATGTTATAAACAGCAATAACGAAAAAGAGTATTTCTATAGTCTTGTCACCACTATGTTATCATAAAATTTGGACCGAAATGATTATTTATTATGTTGAAATATGCATTGTATTTTATTTGAAATGTGTTCAAAAACCATGAAAGATAAAGTGACACACACCAAATTTGACCTTTCCATATTTTTCTATTTTGGTCTGTTGATAATGACAAAAATAAAATAAAATAATAAAATAAAAGCTGTTTGTTGTATAATATAATTATATTTAGTAGTCAGTGCCTGCTGTTTCAGCAACATTTTTAGTATTAAAAGGTTTGTAACATTTGTTAAGTTAGATCTAAAATATTTTAGTATTTCTGACTGAATAATTCAGATTTTTTTTAATGAATTACTTTCAATTTATTTTTTGCAGACCTTGATGTGTTCATACCTGGTAGATGGGAAGGAGAATTCAGATGCCCCGCAGACTGTGGTTCGAACACCAGTGTTACTTTAGATCTTACCCAGTCTGTATCCAATGAGATATCAGGAAACATACTCGTTCACCAACAAAAGATCCCGGTGATGGGCTCATATGCTTCATATACTAAATACCTTACATTACAGGTACAATTGTTACATCGATTTCATCATTATTTTAAGTTAGACAATATGCCTGTTTTAAGGTATTACATCCGTCAATACATCAAAAGTGATTTGTAACCCATAATTTCTTAAGTGGACTTGTCAGGTTTTCATTTTGGAACAGTCCATTTCAATTTGAGAGATAACAAGATAGAAAAAAATCATTTAGTTAATCAACAGTATAGTGCTTGGTCATATTGATATTTTTTGTTGTGACCAGATGGGTAATGATTTTGATTCAGAATATAGAGCAAAGATAAGTTTTTTATAAACAGATCTCACAACTCTAAAATCTATATTTCATCTCCAGAACAAACGACCCGTGTTGACAAGTGTTGGCGGAGAAACTTATACGCAGGTTGAGGTGAACGGAAAACTAACATCGTCGTTGAATATGATTGGTGCCGTCATGTTTGTATCGAACCTGCAGAAAGCATCGTGCCATGGCACTGAGAGTAACCTCAAAGAAACATGTGTCATGTACATGAGGAGAACAGCTGGTAAGTTGCTGTGTATGCCAGGGGTGGCAAAATCGATTGTCCATGTTGCTCAGGTTGTCCTACAACCTGTGCGGATATGGGGACATTTTTCATAATTTACTACATAAGTATCATACTGACAAGTTAAGAAATGTTTCAGATAAAAAGGACAAGTAAGTCAAAATCAAATTTTGCGGCCCCTGTATAATACATGTATAATTATTAAAAATAAATTTGTCAATAAAAAATACTGTTTTTGATATTTTACTTCCTATTTGCTGGTTTAATTAATGAATATTTTGTTTTTAATGTTTCATTTTCCTTCACATACATGTACTTTTATCAAAAAAAACGTATTTGGTATTTACTATTGTGAAAGTGTCTTCTTCTATGAAAAAGCACATGGCACTTAAATGGAAGATATACGAAAAAATGCAGAAATCATTGGTAATTCATGACCTGTATAGTTTTGCCACTACCTATAGATAGACAAAAATGAAAATCATTAAATTTATTATATGGTTTCAAGAGGATTGTGTTGACTTTCAGCATATTTTGATGGCTGCAATGGACATGGGCAGTGTTGGAGATATGGCCCACATAGAAATGACTTTATGTGCTGCTGTGACAAAGGTATGTATATAATATTTCATGAACCCTTAGCATGGTGTAGGCAACATATTCTATTCATGCAATCATTGCAGTACAAGATCTGACAACACAACTGTTTTGTCTGATCACAGTCTGCACTGTTTGCTGTTATAAATACATATTTTGAAATTCAAGCTAAAAATGGCAAATGGTGCTGTCCAAATGGAAAGATGGACAAACATGATAAAAAGGGTGAAAGATAGTCTTTTTCTCAGGCCTCTAATGTATAAAGTTATGTGTTTATCATCCAAAATTTCATCTGATGCTATTGATATGCAAGATTTTTATGCTCAATCAAAAATCTGCTTCTTTAACTGGACGTTCCTTTTTCCTTCATTCGTTTGAAAAAATATTTTACATGTTGAAAAGATTGATTTTATTTATAAAATGGTTTCGAGTGCGTTTGCATAATGTTATTTTAGAAACTGCTTGAAATTTTATTTGATTTTGCTCTTGTTGTATTATTTATAAATATTTTTGTACTTTTAGACTATGCTGGGGATAGATGCGAGACTCACCTAACAACTACAACAACAACAACTACCACCACAACTACGACTACAACTACCCCCACCCCAACAACCACAAAACCGTCAACCTCCACTACCACTCCTACAACAACTTCGACTACAACAACAACCACACCATCAACAACAACAAGTACTTCAACAACATCAACTACTACGACCCCATCCACAACTTCGACAACCTCAACTTTGGCACCAACAAGTTCATCCACCACTGTTAAGGCTACTACATCTACATTACCATCAACTTCAACAAAGGTCACATCACCAACAACTTCATCGACTACCAGATTACCTTCAACCACAACCAAAGCTTTTACTGTAGCAGTAACCACAGCTTCGACATCTGCCTCCACATCAACCACAGCTTCTACATCAACCGCTGCTCCTTCCACAGCTTCAACCACTAAATCAACTACAAAGAGCACACCAACTTCAACAGTCAAACCAACAACGTCTTCTACCACTAGTACAACAGCTTCCACTTCAACAAGCACATCCACTTCCACCTCTACAAGTACATCTACAACCACTACCACACCATCAACCACAACCCAAACTACAAAGGTATGTTTGAACTTAAAAGACTATTTTCATATGCAAACTTAGTTCCAAGTTGTTTGATGCTTCTGTGTTAAAATGGATTGAGGGTTATGTTGATCATTATGACTTTGACAAAGTATTTTCATGAAGTCCATAATTTTTGTTATCTTTTTCTTACTTTGACATATTTCCTAACAATTATGAATGATTTTGTTCAGATTGAAAGATGGAAATGTCCATTAAAGGTATTCAGTGTGATAAGTATTAACTATGTTATCTTTTTACTTCAGCCTTCAACTCTATCCACTACTATAAAATTAAAAGGATTAACTTTGTATCTTTTTACTTCAGCCTACAACTCAATCCACCACTAAATTGACAACACCGACAACGTCAACTACAGCAAGTACGTCAACAACAACATCCAGCACTGTAACAACACCGACTACAACCAAGACTACAAAGACGTCCACAACAACACAACCGACAACAAGTACACAAATGTCGACCATTGCTTGTACACCAATTCACAACTGTAGTGTACACTATGGCTGTGGCCCGCAGGGACAGAAAATCTGTGCACCGGGCTGGACAGGTGCTCACTGTGATCAGCAAATTAACCAAGGATTAGCCGATTGTGATGTTTATGACTGTAAGTTGGTTGTTTTAAATATAGTCAGTAAACTCCACTTGTAAAAATATTCAAGGGACTGCCAAATTTATATCATCATATCTGGATATCGCTTTATCAGATAAGCAGTCCAATAAGATGTTGATGGAATTTATTACATTCTATTATTTAATGAAAGATAAATCCTTACCTTTTTTATTGACATATTTATGTTTTATTTTTAAAAAAAATATTAATTTTTTATTTTGCTCTTGAAACTATTGAAATCCACTTTTCCTTACCTGTTCATACTTATCTTCAACATCCTATTGCTAATTCAGATTTTTATTTATAGTGTCAACAATAACATAAACTTCTTATGATGTTCTTGGCCAATTTTGTAAATGGCCAATAAAGTCAAAAAGCCTAAAATATAAATTCTAAAAATTTACATAGATTAAGTGACTCACCTGAAATGGAAAAATCTGCAAAGGATAAAACAAAAATATACTCAGAATTCAATTAAAAATTGATGGTTTGTGCAATTCTTAGCCTGATTTTAGTTTTTTTCATTTTTGGATTTGTTTGCACATTAAAAATGGATAAAAGATGACAGAATGATTTGAACAGTTGCACATCTGACAAATGGTTACAAAATCTTGGAAAAATGTTTCTAGTCCTGTCATGTCAAAAAACTGAAGTTGACTCCTTTTAAAGATCATTTTGTTGAGACAGGGGTTAGTCACTATATACAGTGTAACTTCTGAAAACCGAACACCTGCGGGACTAGCCAAGAAGTTCGGAATTTGGAAGTTTCCGGAATTCAGAAGTTCGGAATTATCTGAACAAAGTACAATTATTATACATCAACTGTTTTATAGTAAGACATGATGAAAAATATAAAGCTGATTAAATTAACAAAATAGCACTATTATAGGACTTTTAATACTTTTAATTTCATGATCACATATAACTGAATTTGCTTATACAATAGCATAATGTTAATTATCACAATTTATCCTTTAGTATATTTCATATACATGTAGTACCTGCTATTGACCTGTATTTTTTCATTTCATCACATTATTTTTCTCAATTTCTTAATTTTCACACTTTAAACAAGTGTTTGATATGCTTGACATGTTGCAATTCTAATAAGTGTCAAGATAAATGGGTACTGTTAATTGGAAGATACTGACATTTTGAAGGTTTTACAATTACAAATATAATATTCCCTTCACACCTTTTTAAATTTCCGGATTTTGGAAGTAAATTTTAATTGATATAATCCAAATTTTACCAGAAAATCGTTCGGAATTCAGAATTTAGAAGTTCCGTAATTCAGAGGTTTTGATTACATAGAAAACAGAAGGAGAAATTTCGGGACTCTGAAATTTGTTCGGATTTCAGAAGTTTCCGGATTTTAGAAGTTCCGGAATTCAGAAGTTACACTGTATATCATTATACTGACTATTTGAAAGCTTTGGTTTTTCTAAAATATATATTGTAGGAAAAATATAGTATCAAATGCATTTTTTATGTAATTTCAGTGGATGTGTTTTTGCCGAGTGAATGGAGAGGAAACTACACTTTTGATTGATGACAAAAGGAGATCACCCTTCATCTAAAACATCAAAAAATTTTCCTCGCCCATGGGTTTGTGGGAAAGACTGTATTTTGAAAAACAAAAAATAGAAAGGGCCCGGGCACCCCCCTTCTTAAAATTTTTTTAAAGGACAATGCTATAAGTAGCCAAATAGCAAATCGAAATTTCACTAAAGTAACTTTAAATGGACGAGTTCAAAGCTCCGTGTTCATCGATGGGGCTGCCATATTTCTTGAAGCTTCTGGCAAAAGGAATTGTCCAATGGAATTAAGAAGAACTGCAGGTAAGAGTGTTCAATTAACCCTAAGGTTATAAATGTAGAATTAAACTGGGACAGCTCTAAATCAGTGAAATAAATCTTTGAAAAAAATCAAACTTAACAAAAATAAAGAACTTAAATTACTAGTTGTATCACCAATTTTCACCTATCACTAACAAAGTAATAACATTTCTGTATACTGTGAATTCACTAGATTTGAGGTTTTGTCACAAAGTACATTTTTGTTAGTTCCTAAATTCATTGAATGTCTATGTTTGCTATAAAAGTAAAATGCAAATCATGTAATGCAAAATGAACTAACAGCAGACAAATGAAATTCTGTTAGATCTTAAATTCCTTAATTGACCTTACAATTCACAAAAATATGGAAATAAGTGCCTCACAATGTTTACTTTATCTACTTTTCAGTGTTTACACAAGAAAATTGGTGCAGCGGTCATGGTTCTTGCCAAAGATATGGAACAACTAAAAGCGAGTACATCTGTTGCTGTGATGCTAGTAAGTAATATTTATGTTTAAAAAAAAACATTTAGAACTTCAAAATTTTTAGAAAGGGTAATTTATTTTTAAATTTTCTTTCATTTTGTATGAAGAAGGAAACAAAAGTTGATTTCCAATGGCTGTAAACATAGGTTATTGTTTCAGTTTCTCAAATTAAGTATGGGTTTGAGCCCTGATACGGACATTCCTATGGTTACACTACAAAGTGGTATCCAAGGAAGCTGAATATGAGGCCTATTCTTAATTTTAACATTTGATCCTCATTTACAGTAAATCATTCCTTTATTGAATATATCAATTAAAGATGATATAAAGGTTTTCTTCTGTTTGCACAGAATTAAAATACAACAGTTGACAAATGTTGCCATTTTCATATTGATTTGTTTGACAACCTCAACTTTCAGTAGCTCAAAATCCTCTTTTATACCATAGAAAATGAATCAAGAGCTGTATTATTTTTATCCCATATATCTGTCTGTTTTTGTACAGACTTGTTTTTGTACTGACAATTTTTTCCCAATCATTCCATTGTATAAGCTAGAGCCTTAATTCATTCTGTCTGATAAAGAACCTCATGCTGAGAATGTTAAAGTATGACCTTGACCCCTAAAAGACCTTGACACTCAAGGTCATATTTTCAATATTCAGGAAATGTGTTATTTATTTATATATTAGGGACATAGGCTTCATAATTTACAAGCACATCATAGTCTTCGATGAAATTTCAGGTCATTTGAAGGTCATTGTACGTTTTACTTAACATGTAGTTTCTATTTATAGTATTTGAGAAATGTACATCCATTGAAACAGATATATCACAATATTTATGTCTTTGCAGATTTTCAAAATGAGCTAGAAAAACATTGGCTTAAACTAACATATACAAATATTTTCAGAGTATACAGGCAACCACTGTGAGGTGGAGATAACAACTTCTACGACAACCACAACCCAAGCAACCACCACCATTAAACCATGCACACCTGTGAACAACTGTACTGCACATTACACCTGTGGACCGAGGGGCGAGAAAATCTGTAGGACCGGTTGGACTGGTCTAAATTGTGACATTCTGATAACAGACAGTCCTGCAGACTGTGATATATTCAACCGTGAGTAGTTTCTGGGTTTTAAGAAAAAACAGTTTTATAATGTTTCTTCTTTTTTTTTCAAAGGGACTCTCTCTACTGAGGTTTTTTGACATGACCGTACTTGAAATAATTTGTTTCAAGATTAATATTCCATTCCATTGCAATGCTTTTCACTCAGATTTGGCTAGGAATAGCAGTAAAATAAGATTTCAATTTATTTCTGAGCATATTTCTTAATTATTTTTTGCATATCTTTTTGTTTTAAATGCCAAAGTTGATCTATGTAAGAAATGTTTTTGGTTTTTGGACCTAAAGGGGGATTTCCCTTTTTTAAAAACGTTTTATTAAAGTTTAAAGGACAAAAAGGCTGTTTTTTGCTACAACCCCTTAAAAAAAATCTACAAAACCCCAATTTCCCTTAAGAATTGCATGAAAGAATGACTGTGAAAACTGATTTTTAAAATCTCATTTTTTTGGAAATATAAGAGAAATATCTAGGGAAAAAAGAAGATCACAATTTTTAAACCCTTCTCATCCCTTTATATTTTTTCACACCCTTTAAAAACCCCATTGTCTTTCCCCACTTTTAAGGTTTGAGCCCCGCAAGTGCCCCTTCTGTTCTTTTATGTCAAAAAAATTTATCTAGTTAACTTACGGATTTTTTTGGTTTTTTTACTCGGGTTTCCCAAAAGTAACCCAGCAAAAAATTTTTTTCCAAAAAATTTTTAATCAAAAATGAATCTACATAATTATGTATGACATTGTTAATTAATTTAATATATTTTCAGAGGAAGAATTTATACCCAGTGAGTGGGCGGGAAATTACACGTGTCAAGATGATAACACACTGATCTCTTTCCGCATGAACATTACACGATCTTCGAGCAGCATCGGGACTGTAGGAAATCTTCTCATCGCCCAGTCAACCATTGGTGTCATTGGATCGTTTGCATCATTCTTTAAAACATTTACATTGCAAGGCCAGGACGATGTTCCCAATGCTATCTATAATCGTAATTTCACCAGCGTTGAGTTGAACGGAATTTTACAAACGTCTACTTATATAACAGGAAAAATTATATTTGCTCAGGGTGCCGGTAAATACAACTGTGATATGGAACTGCGAAGAAAAGCAGGTATGTTATTTATACTTTTACTTAAGTTTTAAAAATTAATAACTCATCTCGAAGTGTTTCTCTTTAATGGAACATTCCTGTTGCTATGTTGATATCATATTATTGTCAATGAACGACCTTATCTATTTTTTATTCGCAGTACCTATATACAACATATACAATATTCGGAATACATAATAGAAAAATTGTGAGCAAATATTAATGAAGACTGTAAAAACTAATTCTTCATTTTCACCAAAGTCAAATCAAAGTGGTCAGAAATAATATCACATACCTTTGAACAGACAAATTTTGTCATACATGTATCTACATAATTTTATATAGATAACAAAAAAGGTCTTTGTCAGTTTGTGCTATATTGAAGTTTTATATTTTGATCAAGGTTTCAAGGGAATAAGGAGAGTTTTTGTACTCACCCAGGTATCACAAATTTTTGCGTGCAAGTTGGTATCTTCAAAACTACTGAAGGGAATGGGTTCAATCTTCACACACTTGTTTTCTGTGATTAGCTCACATGAAGGGCACAGATCCCATAACCTGAGTTAAATTTTTACAGAGTTATGCCCCTTTTTGTTCTGTCGAGCATCGAGACTAGTCGAGCACGCTGTCTGAGAGGGCAGTCTTTGCGGGCAATCTTGCAAACATGTTTACTGATTGATTTTGTTTTTAGATAATTTTTAGTTAGACTGTCAATGTTTAATGTCGTAGGGACAACTAAGAAACTAACAATGGTTTATCTTGAGTGTGTTTTTATTTTATAGTTTATGTGGATTGGTGTGGTGGTCATGGGACTTGCTTTAGATATGGATCACAAAAAAATGAATTCACTTGTTGTTGTGATGCTGGTAGGTATTGTAATTTTTCTGTGAAATATATTTTTATTTTTCCTCATATTTTTCCATGCTCTTTTTATGCATTTTTCCACAAATTTTTCTTTATGATATTGCACTAGTTGGAGTTTTACAGATTGATTTATATTGTGTGAATTACTCAAGATGTATCAAATGATAATAAATTACTCAAGATGTATCAAATGATAATAAAATGTTAAATATAATTAATTACCTACTTCATTTCTAACATGTTCATAGAAAAGTATTGTATTCCTTACTTTATTAAATGTGTGTCCAAATCTGAAAAATACTAACACAGAATTTAGGAACTTTCATTAGCTGCCTATCTTTGTGTAACATATTAAATACCGAAATTTCACCGGTTAAAATAGCTTCACTGAAAAGTGACATTTTCATATTTTAAAGCAAAGTAAATGTACATTCTTTTTTGGAAATATGTGTACCAAATTATTATTTGAAATTTCGAAACTTTTAAGTTTTCTCTTCTACTTAATTAAAGAAGTATGTAAAGTTAATGAAAATGACTCGCATAAACCATGCACAACAATTACTATGACAGTGGCTGGTTTGTCTGGAAATAACTTCACAAAAATACTTGTTCAGATCTTGAAATATTTTTTTTGTCTTTTCTTACATACTTGTTTATAAGTAATTGTTTCATTGTTATTACAGGTTACCTTGGTAATACATGTAACACCAAAGCTGTGGTACGTAGATCAACGCACCTGACTACACAGACAACTCCACGGCCCACGTTACCTACGACAACCGTAGCTCCGAAGGCATGTCTGAATGCTGTATCCAACTGTTCCATGCACTATCATTGTGACTCACATCGGAGGGTCTGTGTCGATGGGTACACTGGGCCAGACTGTGGTCAGATAATACCAGGAGGGAAAGCCGACTGCAATGCATTTGACTGTATGTAATTTTTAGATTGTTTTACTTTTGTGCTACTTAAGAAACTGTTTTTTGATAAACATTCACACCTCTTTACTGTTTAAAATTACCATTTTTTTCTCTCTTTTTATATGATATTTTTTCTAAAAAAATATGATTTTAATTTTTAAGGTTATTTTCTGTTGTTTTTTACTGCCAATAATTCCAAAGGAAAATAAATTACTAAAGAATTAAAGCAGCACGCCTCCAGATTCATGTTAATTTTCATAAAATTTTTGGATGTGTATTTAAAAGTAAAACAATGTGAGGTGAACAAATAGTAATTTACATATTGCAATCGGCACTTACAATCCACGAAAAATTACCAAAAAGTGGTAAACATATGCAAAAATAGCCCTTACTGCGTTAGAAAAGCAGTTGAAATTATGGCGATAAAGAACTGCAAAATCAGTGTTAAACTGCGCATATCATTTAAAATGTAACTTGGATCTTGAATGTTTTATCTTTCTTAAAAGTTTAGTGCATTTTGTCTCAATATTGATTTTCTTGAAATATTTTGGATCATCTGGAGGCATGCAGCTTTATCAATCCTTATTCAGTTAAGTCCTGTCTGTTATGCAATTATGATGCCATATGGCTTGATGATAATTATGATGACGCATTGTAAAAAATAGTAAGAAATAAAGAAATTTGTACTTTTTTTTTTAAATTTTGAAATGACGGATGTAAATAGTAATGTAATAGACTTTTGTATTTTCAGCGGATGTTTTTATTCCAAGTATATGGAATGGTAATTACACATGTGCAAGCGACAATTACATGGTGAAGTTCGTAATGAACATAACAAAATCCTCGCAGGACCAGATAGATCTTGACGGCGACATGTACATCGCCAATTCCATTATAACAACTGGCGGGTCTTTTGCATCTGCGTTTAAAGTCCTGACTTTGCAAACTAATGATATTATTGATAGAGAGATTTTGGGCAAGAATTTTTCAAAAGTGGAACTTAACGGACAATTACGATCCCCTGTTTTTATTGATGGGTTGATGATTTTCAATGATGATAGTGGTAAAGTTACTTGCCCAGTTGAACTAAGGCGTGGTCCAAGTAAGTATATTTTGATTTATTTATGATAATAAGTTATCAATTGAGGATAATCAATGATAACAGAAAATATCTTACCCTTAATCTTTTGAAATTGTATAATAGATTTGCTCTACATAGAATTTAGAACAGTCCATTTAAATTTTAAGTGCCTCTTAGACAAAATACTTTAATTAAGCTGCTAATAGTAAAATACTGTAAAATGCTCAGGTGGGCCTGTCTCTAGGCTAAATATGAAAATTTGATAGCCTACTGTACCATATATATCTAATGAATGGTGTTATAATTCAATATGAAATTATTAATTTTTAGATTCAAGAGATCCTTTTAAATATGTTACTGATTGTCTAATTTTGTATGTTTTTGTTTTGTTGTGTAGTATTGGTTCAGTATAACTGGTGTAACAATAACGGAATGTGTCACAGATATGGCAGCAAAAAAGATGAGTATATGTGCTGTTGTGATCATGGTAAGTTATGTCATGTGCTACTGTGATCATTGTAAATTATGTCATTTGGTGTTGTGATCATGGTTATTTATGTCATGTGCTGTTGTGATCATGGTAAGTTATGTCATGTGCTATTGTGATTTCAGAAGGCTATGTCATGTGCTACTGTGATCATTGTAATTTATGTCATTTGGTGTTGTGATCATAGTAAGTTATGTCATGTGCTATTATGGCCCTGGAAAGTACCATGTGTTTTTGTGAGCTTTGTATGTTATGTCATATGATTTTGTAGTCATAATAAATAATTATGTATATAGAATTATGCTTTTTGGACAACAATTGTATAAGGAAACTGCTTGCCTGAAGCTTTAAATAATTGGTCAAAATAATTCATTGACTTCAGACCACTCTTGATCTTCAAAAGATATAGAGTCTCATGCAACTCATCTCTACCTTATTTACTCAAATATTTGTAAATTGATTTATATTTAAATGCAGAAAATTATGAAATTATAATTTTTTTTTTTAATTCTATGATTCTATTTTTAGGTTATGTTGGCCGTTACTGTGATATGACTACCTCCACTAGTACAACAACAACAACTACTACTACAACAACAACACCCAGCACCACTTCCACTACAACCACACCTACAACAACAACTACTCCAACAACCACACCTACCACCACACCCACAACCACGCCCACTACAACGCCCACTACAACACCAACAACCACGCCCACTACCACCACAATGACGTCAATTCCGTGCACGGCTGTAAACAACTGCACCGTTCATTATGGATGTGGTCCTTATGGACGTCATGAATGCTTGCCAGGGTGGACAGGGACAAATTGTGATACCATTATCCGCATGGGAGAGGCAGACTGTGACTCCGTTGGTTGTAAGTTAATGATATAAAAATACAGATGTTTCATGCTCAATTGTGTTTGGCAAACCACATAATAGAGAGGAGTTATGCTATAATGATAGGCTCTTTTTGTTTTTTGAATTCTTGGCAAAAACATGGTTACGTCTTTTTCTTGTTTCTGTCCCTGAATAAATGGGGATGAAACTTGTGTAAAAGAAAATTTTCTATGCAAAATACTTGTATTTATCAAAAAATTCTTTTAAATATAATAACTACTTAAGGTTGGTGACAATTTTTAGCGTCGGTAATTAGCAACACAGGAATTTTTTGGAGGGAGAATCCACATCAAAATGTTTTGCATCTTGATTTATTCTCTGAAATTCTTCCAATATGTTGCATTGGTAAATACATTTTGGTCGATATTTCAGTGTATAGGGTTTTATCGTGTGTTGATTTTTCTCGTTTGTGTGATTTGCCAAAAAGACACAACTTCCTATAGCTTTGATGTGGGTCTTTTGATAGTGATGTAGAATGAAATGCCTTTTACAGATACTTAGATATAGATACAGGATTTATAACTCAGATTGAACTAAACAGAAAAAAAAGAATTGCAGATTTTATAGGTCAAGCTTTAGAGCTAGTTTAAGACTGTAAATTAATGAATATGATCTTAGATTATTAAACTTATTTCAGAAATATACGGTAGGATCATACATGTAGTTTTCATATTGTATTGACTTATATCAAAGGAGTTTTGAAAAGCTTTACGCTTGCAGTTTAATATTTGGCAGAATATTATGATTAAACCTTGATTTGGTATATCACTTTATTGATTAATCAATCAGTCGTTCAGGTCAGGTCAGGGTCAGGGTTGGTCAGTCGCATGTTAGTAAATTCTGGAAAAAATATGAACTTTTTTTTTCCATAAATTTAAAAAAAAGGAGTTAAATTAAAATGATGTTTGATTTTGGCAACTTATTATACTACATTTAAGAATCATGTGAGTTTTCTGGAATAGGGTGTGAAAGACATTTCCTACATTTTCCTACATTGTGCAATGAACATATGTGCTTTTTGTTGCACAGATATTGCTTATGTTGAAAGAAAGATATTTTGTTGCATGAGTATGCCTTTTCGTTGCATGAATATTCCTTCTTTTGTTGCATGAATATTCATTATGTTGCATAAAAATGCTTGCATGGTGATTTCTTTGCTTGTGGCTTTGATTTTGATTTGATGTGGTATATTCTGAAAAACATGTGCTTTCAAACCTGCTATCTTATTGCATATTGAAGATGAATAGACAAAAGGTAACGGAGATGTAACAACATTCGGCAATTTACATAAATCTGTAAGTAACGTCATAAAAATCTGCATAAAATCTGTGTAAAAAAAGTATGTCTTTTGCCAGAGAAGTGTAGAAAAAGCATGTTAATTTGCCGAATGGACGTTACAGATTGCCTTTTGCCTTAATCAGAAAGCATGTAGACAGAGAAAAGGACAGCTAGTCTAGTTTGGTATTTTTGAAAATGTTTTCAGCTTCAGAGTTAATCCCCAGTGAATGGACCGGAAATTACACTTGTCCGGATGACAATATTTCCGTCATCTTTGTTATGAACATTACAAGATCTGACAAAATAGACACAACCGCTTCGGTCTCAATTCAAGGTCACAATTTTTCGATGTCTGGCGCATATGCGTCTCAATTTAAGTTCATAACGCTCCAGAGTGACAGTGTAATTACCGAGACTTTCGTTGGGAGAAACTTCACCGATGTAGAATTAAATGGAAAAGTACAGACTATGGTGTTAATTGATGGTTTTGTGATATTTACGACGGATTCTGGAACCTTGTCATGCCCTGTTGTGTTACGAAGGACTGCAGGTAAAATATCACTTTTTTTTCTTTCGTTCTTAATGATACATGGATATTGAAATGTTACTGATGAAAATTTTATGTTACAGATAGAAATTTTTAAAAAAGACTTTGCTATAACTGTTTACAGGTTAAATTACTCTTATATTATGTTATGAACTTAAGAAACATGTTTATATATTAATTCTGTATGTAATTATATATGGAAAAATGCATGTAACGGCACCAGAGGTTTTGTCCACAAATAAAGCTTGAAAGACATCATTTAACATATGCAGTGTCTGAGTATGACTTACAATAACAGAATCAGAACCAGAATTTAAACTTTTGTAACTGAAAAGAAGAATTAAAGCTTAAATCTCATTCGAAGTGTGAAATTAATTGACATACCGGTATTTCAGTGCATGTTGACTGGTGTAATGGACATGGTAATTGTCACAGATACGGTCAGGCTCGAGACAGCTTCAGCTGCTGTTGTGATCAAGGTAAAATATGTCTGGCAAAATGTGTTTGCGATCATTATTTTGTAAAATATAATGATAAGTGGATTGAACAGAAATCTAAAATCACTCCACAAAAAGATAATTTTTGAAATATAATGTTTAATTAGAGATGTTTATGTACATTATTTTATGCGTTTGTTGGGGTTTTCCTTTCCGGTGGGGGGAAGAAAATGGGAGAATTGATGTGGCGGCTGTAAATAACGCCCAATAACTTCTCTTCCATTGTACATGTATGATATTTTATGGTTATTCAGGGATATTGAGGCTTACCAATTTAAGTATAGAATTTGTTTAGAATTAACACTTGAAAAAGTGTTATACACCAAATAATGTAAATGAAAGACATTTTTATTGTTTGTTTGGTCATTGAAGAGGTTGGAATGAAAATAATAGATGAATAGCTAAGACTTAAGAAACACAAGACTTCTCAAACATAAGTATGAACAATTATCTCTTTTGTGCTGAGTCAGTTCATTTCTATTAAAAACAAACATTTCTTGTTAACAAGGAATTCATTTGAATCATTGATTTTATAAATAACTAAAAATATACATGTTCTTACCAAGAATTTGGCTGATATGTTGTATTTGATAGGTTACAAAGGAGATGCCTGTGAAATCGGTCCAACAACAACAAGTACCACTACTACAACAACTACAACAACAACAACAACTCCGACAACAACAATAACAACAATTCCTTGCACACCCACTAACAATTGTAATATGCATTACTCGTGCGGACCCCATGGGGAGAGGATCTGTCTTCCAGGGTGGACAGGGGCGGACTGTGACAGTATGATAGCTGGGGGAAATGCAGACTGTGACACAGTTAATGGTAAGTTAAATGTGTGGTTCAGTAAACAGTTTTGTGCTAATTTTAGCAAGCTAGTAGTAAGGTTACTTTCAGTTATTTATTGATAAGTAACCATTGTTTAAGTATTTAGCTAGTCTAAGGCCTCGCAGGAACAATATTCACAATGTAAGTTTCTGAAATTTTCATTTTGTGTCCTGAAGTACATTTTATTCGTATTGTTCATTGTAATGTCAGTTATTTTGGTTGTTTGGATTAAATGTTTAGGTTCTTTTTGTGGGGTAATTTTTATTTCCATTTAGCAAATTCAGGAATGTTATGGTTATGAAGCCTGACTAAGTTCAGATCTACTTCTTATTTCTTCCATGTAGATCTGATCGAACTAAATACATTTGCAGTTTATTATATGCAATAGAAAATTTAAATTTGACAACACAATATTTTAGTTGTAACAAAAAACCTGTTACAGGCGTAACTGATTTTTAATTTTAAGTTTAATGGGTGTTTTTAGTGAAGTTTTTATTGTTTTTATAGAGCTAGTACTCGAGTGCTGTGTGATTGTTATTTCAGACATGGAGCTTCTACCGAGTGAATGGACGGGCAATTATACATGTAGAGATGATAACGCTAATGTTTTTTTCTTTATGAACATTACACGATCCGATACAATCAATACTGTCGGGTCGGTAATAGCCAACGGATTGAATTTCACGGTTCAAGGAGCTTTCGCCTCCAAATTTAAGTTCTTAACTCTTCAAAACGATGTAGCAATTCCCGACTCACTTGGTGGCAGAAACTTTTCTGCCGTGGAAATGAATGCGGAACTTAAATCGCCAGTACTTATTGAAGGTTACATAATATTTACGACCCCTACTGGAGCGTTCACATGTCCAGTGCAATTAAAGAGAAATGCAGGTAAATGTAAATTTGGATGAATAATATCAAACTGGTAATAGTTTGAAAAGATATATTGTACATTTTCGTTGTAATTTCGTTAGAAACTTGTGATATACAGTTAAACCTTTACTAAAAGTGACCTTAGTGAGGTCACATTATATGAAACAAGCTTGTGAATAGTGAATAAAGGAAATTGTTTAATATTATAAATAAGACTAATAAATAAAACCTGACCTGAGAGAGCAACCAGCGAGTGAGTAAAGGAGATAGTGTACGAGTGCGTATGAACAAATATAAAAATGATTAATGTACGAGTAAAGTTAAAGCATCTGCTATTACCATTATTACAGCAATTGAAATGTTTTCTTAGGCAGTAAGAGGTTTTCAAATATTTTTGGAAATGTATTTTATTTATGGAATTTAGGAAAGTGATGCATGTAAGCAAATGTACGATAAGTAAATTTTGAATGATCTAAGATATATTAGATTTTCCAAGATGTCATATATAGACGTTTATTTAACATGTCTTAGAAAGTGATTTGAAGTGAATGTGCGATGTGTTATTTTCAGGATTTGTTTATCTTTTGGTATCAAATATTTTTTAAAAAAATTAGTAGGCCTATACTATAAAAAAAATATCATAATCTCATGAAGTGACAAATTGCTGTGTGCAAAAGACACCAGACACTATGTTGAATTTAAATTAAGAAAAAAGTACATGTAATAGCAAATTTAAACATCTAAACTTTTATGTTTTTTTGGTCAAAACTGATTGCATGTTACACACTATAATAAATGAACTATATGAATATCTAATATTTTCAGTGAAAGTTGACTGGTGTAACGGACATGGTATGTGTTACAGAAATGGAATAGAAATCTACAATGTATCTTGTTGCTGTGAACAAGGTAGACTTATTATTACTTTTTAGTTATGTGAAAAATTTCTTGTATACTTAAATACTTTATTTAACAAGATGTTATTCTCTATAGCATATACATATTTATGTTACTAGTTTATTATTCTCCTGTGCATTCGTCAAATGTTTCACTATGGCTCACTTTCTACGGAAATGTATTCATTGAGCTGCGAAGTGAGCATACTAGTTTATATGCCCACTTTATAACTAATTTTACCAAGGCTTTTGAAATACTATTGAGTGGCAGTATATTGGCTGATTGGTTAATGCATTTGATTAGTAATTTAAGGACTGCTGGCCGCATTAGTTCAAACAATATCTGGAGCAAGCTGTTGTTTTTGTGAGCAAAATCAAAACTTTACATTCATTGCATAGTACTGGTTGGTTCCAGGAATGGATTAGAGAGTATTTCAATAAGCTAATGGCCTCCAACAAAGTCAAACTAAGATGAATAAGTATAAACTAAATTAAATAGTATTTAATTGTTGTTTTTTTTGGAAGGGATGTTCTCATTTTCCAATTTATTTTTGCTTTCATATGACTGCTTGAAGTAGATTAATTAATTAAATTGTTTATGGAATAACATGTTGCTCTGACATAATTATGCATAGATAAATCGACTAGGATCTTCACAAAGGGCCAAAAGCACAAAAACATAAAATTTGAATTTCTTACATAGATTAGCTGGGACACTTAAAACAAAAGTTTATGCAAAAGATAATAAGAAATATACTCAGAAATAAATTTAAAATAATATTTTTGTGCTATTCTTAACCTGATTAGAGTGATAACATTGCAATGCTTTTCAATTTTGGGTTATTTTTCACAATTAGAATAATTATTATGGAAAAACAGAGTGAGTGAATGATTTGACCAACATGGAACATCAGTCTTGAGAAAAAAAATCCGGTATGATCACATAAAAAAACCTCAGTGGAGTCCCTTTAATTTGAGATATTCATTTATGCTGGGAGCTACAATAACTGTCTCAGATCTATGTTTAAAAGATTGTAAACTATTGGATTTTATGATTGTAATTCATTCTCAACATGAGTTAACAAAATTGACATCATTTTAGATTACAAAGGACATTTCTGTGAAATGGGCCCAACAACAACAAGCACCACTACAACAACAACTACTACAACAACAACAACTCCGACAACAACAATAACAACAATTCCTTGCACACCAACTAACAATTGTAGTACGCATTACTCCTGTGGACCCCACGGGGAGAGGATCTGTCTTCCAGGGTGGACAGGGGCGGACTGTGACAGTATGATCCCAGGGGGAAATGCCGAATGTGAAAATTTCAAAAGTAAGTTTTTTGGTGTTTTTTTTTTCATGTAATTTTGCTGTTTTGAATGCTTTCTAGGGATCACCTTTTTCTTGTTATTTGTAACTTACTTGAAGATGAAAATTGATTGGTAAAAAGCGTTGTTTTGATGTATGATATAAATACATTGTATAGAAAAAACTTATATATTTTTTTTCTTATTTTACGTGAGCAATCGTTTATAAGAAATCATAGTCCAGGGCTGTTAAAAAATAGTATAATTACTGAGGCAAGTGAAAATGTTACATGCTAATTAGCTGCACATGATTACCTGGAAGTCAAAAGTTAAAACATTGCTTATGGCTTACTGTAAAATCATTATTATTTGTGGGACACTAATGCTTTGTGGTTTTCGTGAATAGGTCAATCCACGAATTTAAGACCCAACAAAATTTTGTCTTCTGTTAGATTTTTTGACGTGATATTATTTTGTTTTACTTATTGCAAAATCAGACAACTATGAATTTATGAATCCACGAAACTTTTCCTTTTTAACAAAACCACAAAATTTCATGCCCACAAAATAAAAGTGAATTCACAGTAGTTAGAAAAATGCTTGCTTTCAAACTTTTTAAATGCTTGCATCTTATGCTCGGGTATAGAAAATTAATTTTTATGCTTAAATTGATGCATTTAATTTGCTTTGCTCGGGCCTTTTTTGTTGCTACCATTATTATAAAAAAATAATGCTTTTTTTCATGCTTATAGTTGTTTTCATAAAATTTAAGTTAATTTTTGTCATTATTTTTAGCTTTGTCCATTATCATTTGCTTTCCCATCATCATGCAGTGCAATAATTTTCAGCGCTAGTTCTCGTCCCGAGTGAATGGAGTGGAAATTATACCTGTAAGGATGACAACATTATGACAATTTTTGCTATGAACATCACCAGATCAGACAAGATCGATACCGCTGGAACCGTCTCCATTCATGGGCGTAACTTTTCTATGTACGGAGCTTACGCCTCATTGTTTATGTATTTAACGATGCAGAGCGTCGGTGTTATCAGGGATGACGTTGCTGGTAGAAATTTTACTAACGTAGAGCTTAACGCTAATGTACAAAGTACAGTTTTTATCGAGGGCTTTGTGATATTTACGTTGGATAACGGAACTTTGAATTGTCCGGTTGAGCTGCGGAGAACAGCAGGTAATGCATATCAGTAGTCAGCTTACTTTTTTTTCATTCAATCGGCATCATTACAATTATTACAATTAAAGGTTTTGTTTTGTTGATTTTCTGGATCTTGATATTGTTTTGATATCATTGCTTTTATAGTGTTTATCATTGCTTGCAACAAGCATTTATCATTATTTTATAACAATTTTTGCTGCATAATGAGAATTCCACTTGGCTTTCAGTTTTTTTGACCTTACCTGTTTTTTCTTTAACAACTTTGTCTAATTGTGGAAAAAATAAGTTCCAAATTTTACAATTTTACTAATATTACTTTAACTCTACTGTCTGAAAGAACATGCAGAATCTTATTGCAGATGTAAACTTATTGAACACAAAATACGTAAAATGCTTATTGCTTATATGGAACATGCATTGTCATCCTCATTAAAGCCATATGATCTGTTTTTGCCTCTGCATAATATTTGTCAGTTTTTTAGAGCTGTTTGAATGTGAATTAAAAATTTTGTTCAAGCTTTTGCTTTGCTTGTTAGCTTTTGAAAGCTTTTGCAAAAAATCTTCAATGTGAACATATCAGTTTATCATAAAACATGTACAATTATATCATTTTACAATTCTTCATAAAATTTAAGTGAATTTTTGTCACTATTTTTAGCTTTGTAACATTTATAATAATGTTTCCAGTGACAAAGGAATGGTGTAACGGACATGGATCTTGCTATAGAAACAGTGGTGCTATAGATGATATATCGTGTTGCTGTGATACAGGTAAAGAGGGTACAGTTTTCACTTTTAATAAGTTTACTGCACTACATATATCATTGTCTCCACTATTTAGAGGGGGCATATAGATTTGCCCTGGCTTGTCCATACAGTTGTCATGCTATCCCATCATACTGCTGTCATGTTGTCTGCATAAAATACTTACATGATTCAGTTCAGTTAGATCTCTTTAGAGTGACAAAACTGAATCTCCAACTTCCAAGACATATCATTTCTTTTTTAATTTTCATAATTGTACAAGAGTCTTTGAAAATTCTCTGAATATATATATATATATGACAATGTTGATTTAAGGTTACAAAGGAAGTCTGTGTGAGATTGCACCCACTACATCAACAACAACTACAACAACAACAACTACAACAACAACTACCCCAACGACCACGACTACCCCAACTACCACTACAACCCCAACTACAACAACTACCCCAACGACTACTACAACCCCAACGACCACAACTACCCCAACTACCACAACTACCCCAACTACCACTACTACCCCAACTACCACAACAACCCCAACGACCACAACTACCCCAACAACAACAACTACCCCAACGACCACTACAACTCCAACGACCACCACTACTCCAACAACAACAACAACGATAAAGCCATGTCACCCAGTTGACAATTGTAGCATGCACTACTCATGTAGTTCCCATGGCGACAAGATTTGTTTACCAGGCTGGACTGGAGCGGACTGTGAAACGTTATTACCAGGGGGAGTAGCAGAATGTGACAATTTTAATTGTAAGTATTCATTATGAATAATATACTCAGCTAATACTTGTCCATATTGTATAAAGAAGTTTTGTAACATTACTACGCTGTCAATATGCTAGCTAGTTATATTAGATTTGGTACAATTCAGGCTTACTTTTGTTGTACAAAATCTCTGAATTAGACTTGTCTTCTTTCTATCTGGACTAGGCAATTCATCATTTTAAGGAAAAATTTCTATATTGGTCGCATGGGTAACACCAGACTAAGGGTTAGAGGTGACTAAATGGGTTTGAATAATTGGAGTCTATGCATCTTTTAGCTCCAGCAGGTGAGGTGATTATGGTTGATTATGATTTAAAAGGAATTAAAATTATTTTCAGCCATGGAATCTCCCTCCCATTTATGGTCCCATTCATGGTTATTGGAATTAAAAATGACATGGGACCTCCCATGTGAGAGAAGTCTGATAAAAGAGACCAAAAAAAAAGTCCAATGGGGGTATCTCATCCAGCTTGTTTTTATTTCTGTTGCTTTTTGAAATTTCAAGTCTAGTTTTTGTACAAATTAATTCTATTGAACTTGTATATCATGATTTGCTTTATTTTGGTGTACTTGTATTAGAAAAGGTAACTTAGTTTTGAAAAATTCAAAATTTGGAAACAAAATTTTGAAACCAAAGCCAGTAATAGATTATAATAGCAAGGCAATTTAGGACAGAAATTTAGGACAGCATTAGCTTAGTTTACGTAGAACAACTTTGCATATTTGTCTTAACTTATATTTTATTTTAAAAATTCAAAATGGTGAACAATTTATTTTTCAGCTCTAGACTTTGTCCCGAGCGAGTGGACCGGAAATTACACGTGCAATGACAATCATGTGACTGTCATCTTTAAAATGAACATCACGAAATCTGACACTATAGACACAGTCGGTGCCGTGTCTATAGACGGACATAGATTCTCTATGTCTGGGGCTTACGCTTATGCATTCAGGCTCTTAACGCTACAAAGCGATCATGTGATCACAGATGTTGTAGCGGGGAGAAATTTTACGAATGTTGAACTGGACGGGGAATTGAAATCACCAGTTTTTATTGAGGGTTTTGTGATTTTTACATTAGAAACTGGGGCATATAGCTGTCCAGTTCAACTACGCAGAACCGCAGGTAAAAGTCAGAAAGAAAAGTATTCAAGAAAAATTTACATGACTAATTTAAATTTTACAAGATTAATTTAATTTAATTGAATTTAAAAGATTAATAAAGAATTATGAATGTAAATGCAAATGTAAATTTTCAAATGAAATTCATTCATAAAAAGAGATATTCCTTTTAAATATTTTAAGCATTGTAACAAAGACCAATTACCTTATATGTTATCACTTTAAAAGTAACATATTAATTTTAAAACAAATATTCTTCATCTACCTTAAAATGTTTTGTAGATATTTGTAGCATTTGCAAGAACACATGCATGTGTTTTTTTTTAATGTGCTTTAATAAATAATATGTGCTTTTTGGTGATTTGAAGTTTGCAGTGAATGAAAAGGCATGTTGGTTTTTTAGGCATTTAAATTTCAGTGAATTTTATTTCTTTTGCAGCATTTGATTAAATAGTTAGTACATATGCAGTTAATATAAGATTTTAAAATTAAGTAATAATACCGATTTATGTAAGGTGAATAATTTTAAACAGCTTTTTTTGTGTAATATCAAAAAGTGTTTGATATATTTCATGACAACCTGTATGCAGTTTTTATCAAATTAAACAAAATAAAAGCTTAAACTAAATTTCATTAAATTTAGAAATTTATTTTCTGTATACATGTATGATTAATTTACGTAAATGTTATTGGAAAAATAATTGTTTTTAATTAAAATACAATATTTATCAAGTTAAATTCCTTTTTACTTTCCAGTGTTATCAAATTTAAAAATTGTTTGCAATTGGATCACAAAATTATTTTTATGAGAATTTGTGCATAACTAATATGACTGTCTTTGTAGCTCTAAACAAAGCATTTAAACTTATAAACTTTTACTTTACATATATTGAGTTTCACTTTTATTAGTATATTTTTTCAAACTTTAAATTTATGCAATCGAATAACAAAATTTTATTTCTAAGAGAATGCGTACCTAAATACTTAAGTTTGTTTTTTCAAACCATTTATAAAGTAATTGATATAAACTGTTTGTATTGAAGTACAGATTTGACTGTAATAAAATAATTTTATTGAAATATTTACAGTTACAAAGGACTGGTGCAGTGGACATGGACATTGTTATAGATACGGTTCACGAAACGTTAATGATTATATCTGCTGCTGTGATCAAGGTATCTTTAACCTTTAACCTCCTGAATTTGTGTAATGGATTTGCTCTGCTGAAAATTTGGAGCAGTCCATTCAAAGTTTAAGGGATTTTAGAATTTTTTATATCAAAAAATAGAAAAATTGAGCTACTAACTGTAAAGCGCTAAACTAGATTGCACTGTCTAGCCTGGCTCAGTACTGGTTCGACTAATCCCTTATGATTCCAGAAAGTTTAGTACAGAGTTGTAAGCAGCTCATGAAATATAACATTTCATCACTTACAAGATTGTGAAAGCTTGCCGATGATTGGCTGCTTGAAAAGTCACAAGAAGGTGGTAACCTATTGGTGGTTGTCAGATCCTAATGTTAAGCGTTAATTAGGAGCTGATTTAAATCAGATTGACCCATTATCAAGACCACCAATGAGTCGTAACCGAAGAGGCCTAAATTGCAGGGTCATCCCATTAGTGGATATATTATTATCAAAGCTTACATATTTTATGACAGCGATCCATTCAAGACACTTTGTATGTATATGTTTAAACAATATGTATTACAACCTTTGAATACTTAAAAGAAAAAGATGTTATAATCTGATGTGGGCGGAACACAAGTCTGTTCTCATTGGTCCTGTTTGAATTAAGATAATGTGCACATTAGTTAATTTGTTGGTATGATTGAATCTGCAAATATTTAACTTGTACAAATGAAATGAGGATAAATTCAATTATTTAGTCATTATTTTATTTTTTGTTTGCATATAAATTTCAATTTCACTCAAAATATTTTTATGACAATTTTGACTGCTATTATCTGCAGGATACAAAGGTCATAGCTGTGAATTTGGACCTACAACCACTACCACCACAACAACACCTATACCATGCACGCCCAGGGACGACTGTTACATGCATTATACATGCGATCCTCATGGTCACAAGATTTGTTTACAAGGCTGGACAGGGGTAAACTGTGATACTAAAATAACAGGTGGAGTTGCCGAGTGTGACAACTTTAAATGTAAGTTTATATAAGATATTGAACAGTTTTTTCATTTGATTTTTTGCAATTTAAAGGTACTCCACTAGGGTCTAAAAGCCAAAAAAAAAAGGAATTCTTACATAGATCAAGTGGGGCACTTTAATCAAAAAAATTTAAAAGGAAAATCAAGAAATTTACTCAGAATTAAACTGTATATCGATTTTTTTGTGCAATTCTTAGCCCAATTTGAGTGAAAAGTGTTGCAACGTTTCATTTTTGCATAATTTTTGCAACAAAAATGAATATTCTGAAAAAATGGGGTGAAAAAATGATCTAAAAAATTGCACACAATTTATTGGTCCAGACCTACATCAAATGGTACACAAATCTCCGAAAAATATTTCCAGTCTTGTCATGTCAAAAAATCTCAGTGGAGTCCCTTTAAGTAAAGTGTTGCAAAGAACGTATGATTAAACTGCTCACTGGTAGGAGGAAAAAATGTGCAAGTGGCTGTTAGTTTTGTTGGTAGAGCTGCAGAAATGTATTTAAGGGTTGAGGGTTTTAGTCAAAGGGCATTTGTTTTTTTTTTCAAACCCGTACAATTTGCATAAATTTTCTAGAAAAAGTGCAGTGTGTGCGTGCTTTCTGTGGGTTTATGAGTGGTTGGTGGGGGGTAAATTGTCGTTTTAAAAAATTTCTATTAGGGATAGATCTTTTTTATAAACATTTAAAATTTTATTTAAATTTTTAAATTTTTGAATAAAAAAAGAGGTTTTATATAGTTGTTTTTGTAGTGAAAGTTTCGGTTTGTTTTCTATATATTTAAAATTTTTTATGATTTTTTCATTAATAAAAGAGTTTACATTCAAAGTAATTAAAATTATTTTATGTCATTTATTGTTAGCCGATTGTGGTTTAAAATATGGCGTCACAAATTATATGGGAAAAAATGTGCCCCTTATGCGAAAAAATGAGGTCATTTTTTGTTTAGTTACGTGTCTGTTTCTTGATAGGGATAGCATGTTTGATAGCAGAAGATTGTTTCATTTCGTTCAAAGCCTTGATAATGGCCATGTTGTCACTTGGATATATACAGCTAAACTGATATATTCGTTAGGTTAAAGACTCGCATGTAGCGTTACATTATAGATGACAATTTTTTTTTAAGCATCTTACATAAACTATTTAAATCTAAACCATTGTTTAAAGAATTTAAAGACTGGCCTCTCCAAAGAAATAAAAAATTACTTATTTCTTATGCATAAATATATGCCTTAAAAAATTAGACTGACATCAGTTTATGTTTGTGGAATGCATTGAAATCTGTCAAGATAAATATTGATCCTGAGAAAATAAAAAGAAACATTTCATTATACCCCCAAAAACGAAGTTTGGGGTATATAGGAGTCACCCAGTGGTCGGTTGGTCGGGCGGTCGGTCGGTCGGTTCAGACGTCCGTTGCATTTTCCTTGTCCGGAGCATAACTTGAAGACTAATGGTTGGAATTCAATATAACTACATACAATGGCCAAGCACATTGAGAGGAAGTGCAGTGCACAAGAACCATAACTCTATCTTGACTAATTACAGAGTAATTGCCCTTTGTTACTTTTCCTTGTCCGGGGCATAACTTGAAAACTACTGGTTTGAATTCAAAACAACTTCATACAATTGTCAAACACAATAAGGGGAAGTGCAGTGCACAAGAACCATAACTCTATCTAAAGTAATTACAGAGTTATTGCCCTTTGTTACTTTTACATTGCTTTCTTTTGTCCGGACCATAACTTGAAGACTAATGGTTGGAATTCAATATAACTACAGACAATGGTCAAGCACATTGAGAGGAAGTGCAGTGCACAAGAACCATCACTCTATCTTGACTAATTACAGAGTTATTGCCCTTTGTTACTTTTCCTTGTCCGGGGCATAACTTGAAAATTACTGGTTGGAATTCAAAACAACTTCATACAATTGTCAAACACAGTAAGGGGAAGTGCAGTGCATAAGAACCATAACTCTATCTAAAGTAATTACAGAGTTATTGCCCTTTGTTACTTTTCCATTGCTTTCTTTTGTCCGGACTATAACTTGAAGACTAATTGTTGGAATTCATTATAACTTCATACAATGGTCAAGCACATTGAGAGGAAGTGCGGTGCACAAGAATCATAACTCCATCTTGACTTATTACAGAGTTACCGCCCTTTGTTACTTTTCCTTGTCCAGAGCATGACTTGAAAACTACTGGTTGGAATTCAAAACAACTTCATACAATAGTCAAGCACAATAAGGGGATGTGCAGTGCACAAGAGCCATAACTCCATCTTGACTAATTACAGAGTTATTGCCCTTTGTTACTTTTCCATTGCTTTTTTTGTCCGGAGCATAACTTGAAGACTAATGGTTGGAATTCAATAATACTTCATACAATGGTCAAGCACATTGAGAGGAAGTGCAGTGCACAAGAACCATAACTCCATCTTGACAAATTACAGAGTTATTGCCCTTTGTTACTTTTCCTTGTCCAGAGCATAACTTGAAAACTACTGTTTGGAATTCAATACAACTTCATACAGTTGTCAAGGACATTAAAAGGGAGTGCAGTGCATAAGAGCCATAACTCCATTTTGACAAAATACAGAGTTACTGCCCTTTGATACATTTCCTTGTCTGGAGCATAACTTAAAACGTACTGGTTGAAATTCAAAACAACTTCATACAATGGTCAAGCACAAAAAGAGGAAGTGCAGTGCACAAGAACTATAACTCCATCTTCAGTATTTATAGAGTTATTGCCCTTTGTTCCTTTTCTTTGTCTTTCTGGACTTATTACAGAGTAATAAAATAAAACTTCATCAATGGCCAACCACATTGAAAGGAAATGCAATATACAAGAACCACAACTATCTTTAATTGCCCACAATCATAACTCTATATTTCAATTCTTTTACAAGGTATTCTGTTACTAGTAACATCCTCATTTCCGAAGCAGTCTTGTGGGGGTATTAATCACATTTAGTGATAGTTCTAGTTTATATTGCTTTCATATGTATACATTTGCGGACACTGTATCAATATGTGTACATTTATTTGCTGTGCTGTGTTCGTTGTCTTTGCTAGCTTTACATGTAGCTTTAATTTCAGCGTCAGAACTCGTTCCAAGTGAATGGACGGGAAACTACACGTGTATAGCAGACGGCATTAGAACTGTGTTTAGAATGAACATAACAAAATCTGATACTATAGACACAGTCAGCTCTGTTTCTATTTTGGGACATCGATTTTCGATGTCCGGAGCATATGCTTATGCGTTCCGCTTATTGACGCTTCAAAATGACCAGATAATATCGGAAGAGGTAGCCGGCAGGAATTTTACGAACGTGGAATTAGATGGAAAAGTAATGAGCTCAGTTCTGATTGAAGGCTACGTAGTGTTTACTGATACTATCGGGGACAGAGTTCAATGCCCTGTTCAGTTAAGAAGATTCGCAGGTAATAAGGAAAATTTAAGAAAAAAAAAAAAATGTTAAAAAATTTGTTATTGAATTTGTAAATTTACGTGATAATTTTCATTTACATGTACCATCCAATTTTAGTTTCTAGTTTTAATTTATAATATAAATATCAGCCTACTATTATAATCAAGATCTCAGGGCGTTGGGCAGAGACTGATTTGACTGATTTCACTTATTTAATGTCAGTTGATAAGAAATTGTACATATGTAGGTTTGTGTTGCAATTTCTTAGAAGAGACAACAGATTTATATGTTTGATTTGTTATTTCTTAGAAGAGAAAACAGATTTATGTGTTTGATTTGCTATTTCTTAGAAGAGATAACCTATTTATGTGTTTGATTTGCTATTTTTAAGAAGAGATAACAGATTTACATGTTTGATTTGCTATTATTAAGAAGAGACAATAGAATTGTTAGCTTGTTTTTGAAACAGAATACAGAGTTATCTGTAGCTTTTGCAAGTGCAAACATTGTTTTTCTGCTCAATTTTCTTTTCAGCCTCCGAAACTAATTAAATTTGTTATCAAGTTAAAAGAATTTTAAACATATCATTATTTAACTTATTTGTAGATTTCCATAACATTTGATACATGTACTTTGTCTAGCTAGGTTATTTATTATCAGACTAGCCTGTCTGTTTCGAAGAAAAAGTTGAGCTATAATTATGGCTGTGGCATATAATATATACAGTTGTCACTGTGCAAAAACTTTAATGTGGCCCATTGTTCAGACATTTTAATAGTTATAAACATGATACTTAAAGGGAAAGACAAGGTTAGAATATAAACTTGATTTCAGAAAAAGAATACTATAAATAATAAGTCTACAAATTTTCTGCTGCCAAATAATAATATTAAACGAATGATAACAAAATTTAAATCGCTAAATCACCGATTTCTACAAATCAGTAAGCGCGGCCATGTTTGTGTATTGGCCGTATAAAAACAGGTGCGCGTGATGTCATTTCCCCACATCTTTAGATTCATGATAAATCTAGTTGAATCGTAAGGAAATATTAATATAAATTAATTAAGTATTGACCAGACAATTTAATTTTCACAGGAGGTGTAAAGGAGATTTTGTATGGTTCAAAATACGTAACAATATCAAAAAAAAATAAAATAAAGAAACGTATGGCTAGCCAAAAGTTCTAGCCGTACGTGAGTCACGAACGACTAGCCCGGACGCACTGTACGTATTGTCTAGCCGTACGGCACTTCTCAAAATTATATGGAAGTCGAACGTTATAAAATTGTTGATTTTCATGCTTATCATTTGTTGTTTTATTTGTATGAATTATTAAATCATTTTTGTTAATTTTAAGCACATGGGTCGAATAAAAAATGATCGGAGTGGAATAAATAAATAAAAAGAACATTGAATGAAAAAAAAACGGTGAAATGCAAAAATAATTATATAATTTTCAAAACAGTAGATAAATATCGAACATAAAAGCACAGTCAATCAATTAATTAGCCTTAATTAAAACCTATCCAGGGACTGACAATAGAATTTTAGTATGCCTTTCACGGAACATGCAAACTTTCCTTGATGGACAAACTTCTATACAGTACCGTCGGTAATTGTCGCAATTATCAAGAGCCTAACAACAATCATTTTCAGTGTTTGTTGGTTATTTTTTTTTTCATATGAAAGGTGTCGAAAATTAAACTTAATGAAACAAAAAAGGATTATTATCAAAATTTTGTAAACTATTTCAATTGGTGTAAATGCAAGCAAAGGCTATTTTTTCTCGACATCTTGCGATGACAAAGATCGATACAGTATATATAGCGATCAAGGCGATTAATCTCTAAAAAGTTAACATCCTAAGACAATTAATGCTGTTTCTTGGTTAAAATCCTCGATTAAAGCCATAAAATAACATATGCATTTTCGACTTCCATAAAATTTTGAAAAGTGCCGTACGGCTAGCCAATACAGCGCGTCCTTGCTAGTCGTACGTGACTCACGTACGGCTAAAACTTAGCCACTTCCATTATAAAAAATTAAACCCTACTAAAACGTGTTCTTAATAGTACATATAATTAAATTTTTGCAGTTTGATTCTGACTTTCAAATTTAAAGGTGTGAACATATGTTATAATTGATGTACACATTTCAAAAAATATAAGCAACTCTTTTGAAAAGTAAATTGTTAACATGTCTGTCAACGTATGATGCTACGCATCGTAATCGTAGCCTAATATTAACTGCAGGCAAATCATTTTTATTGGCTGCTCAAAAATCTAATTTGCATAATTTATTCACATAATTGCTGGTTCTTACTACTTATGTCTAATACTGCGCATTGTCCATTTTAATTGTTCCTAATTTGCACCAAATGCTCCTGTCACACTGTGTACTGACGATTTTTATTGCTCCTTGTATGCCTCTGTGCCGACAGACCTTTTGATCATGCACAATGTTGCCCTGATTGGTTAATCACCCTTGTCAAATATTCTAATGACGAAATAGACATCTATTTTTTTACGCTTCATCAGTGAACTGAATGACCTTAGGGGGAATTAGGTCCACACCTGTCAAATTATACTGTAGTAAATTACAGCACGTCATAAAATAGCAACACATTTTTTTCAGTTACCAATAATCATTTTAAATATTAATTAGATTTATAATTTTTTGTTTAATTGGATTAAATGTACGGTAGTAGAAATGCGTATTTGTCGGGGAAAGGAATTTGGTAAGTAGATAACGTGGAAAAAAAGCTTTAGGGAACTGGGATAAACCCGAGAATATGCGTAATTATAGGGGAATGGGCAACCTGTTGCTGTTGGTACCAGTTATGACTGGGTGCCTAAATAACCTAACGGACAGTTTTGTTTTCATACGATATTAGTCTGGCTGCCGATTTTCCTGCGCCGTTCTCATTTTTAGCGTCAATGGCGGAAAATCGCGTCCTCAGCATATTGGATTTAGTTGATATTTTACCTGAAAAAAACATACATGACCGGCGATGTATACCCTATTTGGACAGCTTGTCTAGCGAAAATTAAGTACAAAATAAAAGGATACATCGTCAATTTGAAGAAGTTTCTCATAGTACCCAATTTAAATTTATGGTTTATCTTTGAAAATTAAGCAGTCATTGCTTAAATCATGTGGTGGGATCATCAGCAAGCTTGAATATCGGACAAATGATAATTAATGTCGCGGCGTCTTCAATTAATTAATTAAAGCAATTCAGTTCCATATGATGTTTTTCATAAATAATATATAATGTACGCAATAAAATTAATAAGTTCTTCATCAAGATATATTTCAGTAGTACCAGCGTGTACACCTATACGGAAGTGGGTATAACACGTCACAATCTCGGTCTCGTCTGTCTCGCGAGAATGACAGAACGCCAAAATGGCGGCGCCCATGAACTTATTTCTCAAGTAAAAAATAGTGTCTTAAAACACGAATTTCTCTCTTATAGGGTTGATGTCAATAGGATAACTGTCATGGTTCCTCTTTTTAAATGATGAATATTTATATAAGACAGACATCAATCCATCCATTCCTATTCCTTTAAAATACATGCTTATGAAAAGATGCAGTTGTTAGACAAGGGGCATGATTCTGAAATTAATATTTTTGGAGTTATGGCCCTTTTTAACTTAGAATTTATTACAGACAAGCTCTAACACCACATGCAGTGCTGTTGCTAACATTTACATGTAAAATTAGATTTTGGAGGTTGATGGTTAAATTTCAATAAATATTGGTTGCCCCTTACATAGACATAAAATGGTTGCCATCTGAATACAATTTTAAAAGTCACGAAAATATTAATTTTGTTATCATAAAAAAATAATATTGGTATTTTTTTAGTGAATTGCTATATCATCTATGATATATTTCAATTTTTAGTGAACATAAACTGGTGTAGTGGTCATGGAAGTTGTTATAGATATGGTACCCAGCTGGATGAACATAAATGCTGCTGTTCTAATGGTATAATGATACAAATTATGTTTAAATGCATTCAACTCGTGCTATTTAGAGATGTTTAGATGATAAAATTAAGGTCATTTTATGGTGTCATCAATATGGTACAGTTTCAATTAATGTTTGTAACAAAAATTGAAGAACTGGTTTCATTTGTGAATAAATTTCTTTGTGATTGTGAGTTTACAGTTGTCTTGTTAAGATTATCTTAAAACTGCATGTTTCTATATTTCTATTTTTAATATGATGAAGACCAGAATTAATGAAAATGTGATAAAGAAACAACATTTTTTGGACAAAAAATGCCAAATTTTGACAATGCGAATTTAAAGCATTCTACAGTACATTATAAACTTGTGATATTGAATTTTCTTGTAATAAATGTATTATTATATTATACTTTTCATGTGTTTGTTATTAAAGGTTACTCTGGAGACAGTTGTCAGATTGCTCCGTCCACCTCAACTTCTACAACAACAACAACAAGTACGACAACACAGACACCTAGAATCACCACAACTCCAACAACCAAGCCAAGTACATCCACAACTGCTTCAACCACCAAATCTACAACAGCGTCCACCACTGCTGCAGTCAAAACACCAAGAAAAGTTGTGACAACCACGGCCAGTAGCACCACAGCCTCAACATCAACAACAACTACATCAAAACCTTCAACTTCCACGACTACAACTGTTAAACCTACAAGTACAATGAGAGCTGCAACCACATCAACCACTTCTGCTTCAACGTCAACAACTTCTCCAACTGTGGCAAATACACCTTCTACTAAGAAAACAACTACAGCATCAACCACAACGTCAACAACGACAAAACCGACAACAACAAGAAGGAAAACAACATCTACATCAACAACAACACCAAGTACAACAACACCAAGTACTACCACTACATCCACAACAACAACAACAACTCCAAGCACAACTTCTTCAACAACAACAACATCAACAAGTACATCAACGACCACCACTACACCTTCTACAACAAGCACAACAACTTTAGCCACGACAACATTGTCAGCATGTCCGGGACATTTCACATGCTCAAGATTAGGTCAGCAGAAATGTCTACCATGGTTCCAGGGACCAAACTGTAATATTCCAATGTCTAGCCAAAGTGCAGTATGTGCAAAATATGACAGTGAGTGCCTTTTCTTTTCTTTTTTTTTCTTTTTTTGTCAATTTATGTCAATTTTGTTCTTAGAACATACAATTATAAATTTAAAGATATCCGACTATTAGCTTTCTTAAGCTCTAAACTCTCGAATTCGTTCCTTGAACTAACCAACTAACCAGTACTTAGCAATGAGTTTAAAGTTTCTTGCTCAAGGAAACAATGGCTTGCCCCTGACGGGGTTTTGAACCCACATGGTCAGCAATCCTTAGATTACCACTTGGCCAGGTGGCCACATACAGTTTACAGTTCCTTTCTCAATATAACCTCTTTGATATACATTTTCATGGTTCGTAGATAGGTCAATCCATCAATTTAAGATCCAATGAAATTTTTTTTCGTCTGCTTTAAGATTATTTTGCTTCACAATATTAACATTTTACCTTTTGGAAAAATAAACACATCCACAAATTTAGGAACCCACGAAAATGCACTTTGTGACAATACCACGAAATATCAAGTTCATGAAATCAAGTGGATTCATTGTAGTCATTCACTAATGTATTTTTTGAGAGACCACAAACTCTGAAATTTGTTCTATTTCTTTATTTCAGATGCTGATAATATTGCAAGTGTATGGAACGGTAACTATACATGTGCAGCAGACGTGCAGACTACCATTTTCTACCTTAGAGTTACTCATTCTGGAACTGGGCCAGCTATTCAAGGTCACCTTTTCATTCAAGGTCAAGAAACAGTTTTCAGCGGAACTTTTGCGTCATACCTAAAATCCATTACTTTACAGAGCACAGGAAAACATATGGAAATCAGTGGTGTATTGAAAACGCCTTTGAGGGTTGAGGGAGCTATAGTTTTTAAAACTTCGGAACATTCTAGGAATGTTTGTCGACTAGAAATGTCCAGAATAGATGGTAAGTCCGACTTGAAATTAGATAATCAAAAATTTTCCTAAAACTAAGAAGTTTTTGCTTTTAGCATTTTGTAAGGTTTTATGCAAATTAATTGTTACGGTTTCGTATTTGTCTATTGGAAATGTAAGTCGTTAGCCTTTTTAAAAAGCTGTTATTCCTCCATTATTTTATAGTAAATAGATTTATTATATCATTTAACATATATCGTTCAGGAAACCAATGTGGTGCCACTTCACCAACAACACAATTAACAACAACAACAGAAGTTCCGACAACAACAACACCAGTTACATACTATGAGGACAAGATTTATTCTGCCTACCTAGAAATGGTAGATGAAGAATACAATGTAACTATTGTTGAGGACTTTATTAAACAAGCTTGGATTGATGCCAATGATGGTAACTAAAATATTAAATAAATTTCTCAAATATAATGTATAGCATGAAAGATTAGCTGATAATATTAAAAACAACTTGACTTAGATCAGATTTGAATTCCTTAAGCTCTAAAGATAAGTTGATAAAAAAAACAACACAATTTAAAATATTGGTACATGTTCTGCTTTATTACTTTCATCAAAGGCAAAGACTAGAAATTTCATATAGGGAATGGAATCATGGCCTTGTAGTCCTTCAAGGGGTCATTTGTTGGCTCTTTTTTTCGTATTTGACAAGAAATTGGCTTGATATTGGTTCAGATAAGCTACAAGTTTGCATGACAATCTAGTATAGATGCTTGATTTAAAGCTTCAATTTTGGTTTAGGATTAATACACAATTTACTTGGTAGAAGATAATTATGTCATATATTAAGCAGATAGACCATTTAGTCAGTATAGATGAAGCAGACGGACTACTTTGTCAGTGTATATTAAGCAGACAGACTACTTAGTTAGTATAAATGAAGCAGATAGACCATTTAGTCAGTATAGATGAAGCAGACGGACTACTTTGTCAGTATAGATGAAGCAGACGGACTACTTTGTCAGTATAGATGAAGCAGACGGACTACTTTGTCAGTATAGATGAAGCAGACGGACTACTTTGTCAGTATAGATGAAGCAGACGGACTACTTTGTCAGTATAGATGAAGCAGACGGACTACTTTGTCAGTATAGATGAAGCAGACGGACTACTTTGTCAGTATAGATGAAGCAGACGGACTACTTTGTCAGTATAGATGAAGCAGATGGACTACTTTGTCAGTATAGATGAAGCAGACGGACTACTTTGTCAGTATAGATGAAGCAGACGGACTACTTTGTCAGTGTATATTAAGCAGACAGACTACTTAGTTAGTATAAATGAAAGCAGATAGACCATTTAGTCAGTATAGATGAAGCAGACGGACTACTTTGTCAGTATAGATGAAGCAGACGGACTACTTTGTCAGTATAGATGAAGCAGACGGACTACTTTGTCAGTATAGATGAAGCAGACGGACTACTTTGTCAGTATAGATGAAGCAGACGGACTACTTTGTCAGTATAGATGAAGCAGACAGACTACTTTGTCAGTATAGATGAAGCAGACGGACTACTTTGTCAGTATAGATGAAGCAGACAGACTACTTTGTCAGTATAGATGAAGCACACGGACTACTTTGTCATTGTATATTAAGCAGACGGACTGTCATATATTAAGCAGACGGACCATTTCATAAGTATCAGTTATCCAAGGTACAACCGATATCATTGTAATTTAATTGATATTTTGTTGCCAAATTTTGTAAACATGTACATTGTTTATTTTTTTAATTTTTCAGATTCGGTTGTAAGAAACATAGACCTGAGTGTAACTGCCCTTGCTACTGCAAGCATGTTTGATGAAACAGGGTAAATGTTCTATTTTTTTTTGGCAAAAAGACTTATCATAGAAACTTATAATAAAATTTTATTACTTTTTCATGATTTACAAATTGTGGGAAAGGTAATTTAATTATTTTCAAAGATATGGCCAAAAATGTGTAAAAATAGGCTTAAATAGCCAAAAACAAACAAACTAATCAAATAAAGAAACCTATTAATTCATTAAGTATGTGAAATAATTAAAAGGCAGGCATTAAAGCAAAAAGGAAAGCAACATATAGAAACAATGAAGAATTCTTTCTTATAAGTTCAGAAGAAAAAAAGAAAATGGTAGGCATTAAAGCAAAAAAAAATAAAAAGAAGAAAAAAGCAAAAGATAACTACAGTATTAAATTTGTGTGTTTTTTTGTTATAGAACTGATGTGTTAAAAATAGACTACAGACTGAAGGTCGTGTTCCTGATTGGTCAGTTGAAGGTTGTACAGCCAGGTTATAGTGTACTAAATACAGCACTGAGGAGGCACTACTATACCAAGGTTTACAGCGGTGATGTTTCACGACTCACTGACCTTAGATACAGTTTTAGTATCATGATCGAAGGCCCTCGACCAAGACCGACAACCATTGCCAAGATGGAAGATAAATTGTGTAACGTATGGATGGCCAATAGCAGTAAGTCATGTTTTAATAGAATATGGACATCTTAGTATTGAACATCTGAGTCTCAAAAAAGTGGCTTTGTTAACCCTTACCATGTTAAAATTAATCAAAAGACTTTTTTTTAGACTTTTTCGTTTTTCAATCTGGATAAAACTATCATTTGTAGGGAAAGTTTTCGAAATATGTTCTGACTGAAAAGCAAATAGGCTAGTACAGATCATGGAAAAGATTTGTGAAGACATGGAAAGTCTTAAAGCATCTTATTGTCACATTTGAACAACTGTTTGTGAATAAAGAAAAGTTTTCTCAACATTATTGTTTACAGTCTGATACCAAAAAAAATATTGTTATGGTAACATTTTAAGTGTTGTAATAATAGTTTTCAAGTATAATTAGATTTTTATTGCCCTAGAATTTCTTTATATTTCTGACCTTGGATCTTTCAGGTGAGAGACAATTGAATTGCTCTGCCGGGGATTTTGTCAGAGTTATGAAAACGGAAGAATATATTGGAGATAATGCGTAAGTAATTAAACTTTGACTGTTTTAATTTTTGTTTTAACTTTACTACCATTTTAAATCAGCCTTGTGTTATATTGTAGAAGAATTCAACTTTTAATCATGAATAATATTAAGTTCGCTAGATGCTTGAATTGAGCCGTAAGTAACTGGCAATGTCTATCTATGATTCACATGTTTGATTTATCTTCATCGTATTAAGATGTTTGTTATACATGTAATTATAATAGCGTATTTTTTTTTCATTTCAGCATTGAGTTGACAAGGATAGTTTACTACGTGGTTTACAATCACACCTACCTTGATCCTGCAAGAGTTACAGCCCCTGATGACACTCTGATAGATAAAAGTATCGAGATGGGAGTGCAAGGCATTGTGGTATACGCTGGTTTCCTTGAACGTCGCTATAGATACCACTATGAGGTCCTGATTGAGAGCTACGTATACAAAGAGAACATTACTGACTTTACGTCTGCTATTCAAAATGAATGGTCTACCAATAAGAAAGGTAAAGTTTGACATTTTCTAGCATTTAAGAGCATGCAATGCTGTATTGAATGACTTGCTACAAGATCAGAAACTGTTTGTTTTATGATGAGAATTTAGGCAAATTAACTTTGTTTCTAATTTTCTTCAAGTGGTGCATGTCCAGAAATTCTTTACCATCACATCTTTGTAGAAAAATGTTTGAATATAATTCAAGGAAGTGGGTTTGAAAATATTGAAAGGTGATGCAATAGGTTTAATATCTCCAAGGACATTAGACTTTGCATATAAGGAAGCTGTCCAGCTTCTTTTCTTGAGGCTGGTGGTTCTTCTTCCTTGCCAACTTGTGCAAGAATTAATGTACAATGGACGAAATCTGAGCCTTCCTTTACGAGTTAAACAGGGAAAGTGCCAAATGAGGTTTTTTTTTGAGATAAAGAAAAATTCATATATAAAAATTGAAAAAACTATATTGTTTGTAACAATATTAAGTGTTGTCTTTTCCAGAATGCGCAGGTGATGTGTGTATAGTTCATATTATAAGAGTCGAGAAATATCTTCTGAATGGAAAGTAAGTAAAGACATTGTAGATTTGTTTTAAGCAACCAGCAACTTTTGGTCAAGCTTAATATATCATAATACAGCCAAGGTTTTATTCCTTCCTTCAATCTTTGTTGGTGCTTTTCATTGACCTTTACCCTTCAGTGGGTTTCAGATTGACTAGGTCAAGGTCACTGGAGCTAAAAATTTAATTTTCCACTTTTTGCCATTGCAAGGCCATGTATTTTGGTTATGCTAATGAAACATTTAGAAAGTTATGGATATGTTTTTGTTCATACCAAGGCAATTTTTTTTTGCTTTATTGTCATTTCTCATCAATTTAGAATAGCATAACATATTCTTGTTGCAAAGCATTTTTTTGTGATTAATCATTATTTATAATAGGACATAGTGTCTGAAATATTTAAAAACATTCTTGATTTTAATTTAAAGGGTATAAAGCTATATCTATATGATGTTTTTACACAATTTTTAAACAGTAAAATTATATTGTTTCCAAATTTTTATCGTAAATTCAAAAAAAATTATACAATAGATTGTTTTTTTATTAAGAAGGTTTTAACTATTTTGCAAAGATTTTATTAATGCACCAATCGCTCTAATTACTTAGGAAATACATGTATACAAACAAAAAATTTCGTACAGGTATTTGTGAGGTTATCTTTGTCAGAATTCAAATATTTTTTTTAAAAGCAGATATATAGCTTTTATACACTTTAAAAAGTGTGAAAATCAATGGATGGAATTTTTATGACTATTTGTTTCAGTCAAGAAGTATATGGTCTGATCTACTACGTTCATATCGGTGTTGACTTATTGAGCCCTGTGGTGGTGTCGGCACCAAGTATCACCAGAAAGTCATTGATGGTGAATCAACCGGGAATACTGACGCAGTACAATGTTTACGAACTTGCGACTCGGGACATGCTGTATAGGTATCGGTTCCACTGGGAAGTTAGCTTTGTCGGTAGCATTGACCCGAGGGACGTTATCAAACTAACGGCTCAGATTAATCGTGCTCTTGAAAACAATACTCAAGGTATGGCTTGAAAAACTTTCGCTTTGAAATGAAATTATATTAATAAACTATGATTATTCTTACCAATTAATATGTAAGTACATGTAATGACTAAATTATAGTCACCATTCAGTTTCATGGACAAATTAAAACTCTATTTTTCTGGGTTTTTCCCCTTCATTGATAAAACAATAGATTTTGCATTGATATATTTTTTATCCACCATTTCCTTATCAGCTTCTTGTTATTTAAGTGTTTAGCTCATGTTTTATTATGATATAATCACAGACTTTGAAAGGTTTCCTTCTGGCCACTTTGGGTTTGAATCCTGTCACGGTTGTAGGCTCAAATTAACCCAGGGACTTTGGATTCTTTAATGTGAGACAGCTATCTAGCTTTTTTTTAGAAAAAAGATGGTTCTACTCAGGTGCAAACTTATGCCTTAAGTCATGCACTAGTAAGGCTGTGGAATTAATCGGCATGTGACCTGAACAGTGTTTGATTTAAGCAACCGGCAACTTTTTTTTTTGGTCAAGCATGATATATCATAATATTGCCAATTTTTCTTTCTTAATTTCATTCCTTCATTAAAGTCCGACAGAAAGAAAATGAAAACATTATAATTGTGAAATATTGTCATTGTTAAATGTAAATTTTGTTTATCATTTTCAGGATTCCAGTACATTGCCATGTTAAACAGATATACAGTATCTTATACAAATTATGGGTAAGTTTATGTAGTGGAAATTTTTTTAAGGGCCTTCACCTAAAAAAATGTTTGAAATATAAGTCTATCTCAACACTGAAACATCATATTGTGTTGTTTTATAACTTTTATTATTTCAAAATTATTTACGCAAAAAAAGATGATAATAGATTCATTTCCCGATTCTCTATTTTTAGAAACGAATGTCACTAACGAATTATTAATAGCTCTCGGGACGCTGTTTGTTTTGAAGAAGGCTTAACAGTGATATGATACACTTTGTTAAGATGAAATTACTGAAATATTCAGTTTGAAACAACACAGAATTGTTTATTCAACAGAAAATAAAAGTTGAATGCCACTTTAAATTATCATCACATTATTATTGCAGTAACCTCATATCAACAATGATATTCTACCTCCAAGAAACAACCAATCTGAAGAGAGTCGTTGACGTCCGGTCCATAAATATAATTAGTGACGCGAATCTGTACCAGTACTTTCAATCTCATAAAGTCTACTATGGTAGCCAGGACTTGTACATTGTCTACACCCTCGGCTCCCTGCAAACGGAAGATGTAACCCCCATTTCTCAGCTGCACACTCTTAATGTTGATGGGTATTTGGTATCGGAAGACAAGACAAACTTTACTAATTTGTTAGAAGCATCTTGGAATACAGTCGGATCAGGTATGGTTATTAGATAAAATGGTGCTGGTTTATGACACAGTTCCTTGATTCCCAAACTTATCAATCTATCCAAAAAACAAGAGCGTTAAAAAGCAGATAGAAATATGCATTGTGGGGTCATGTGATAATATAATATGATGCAGCTGACAATATTATGTCACATAATCATGTCACGGGGAGAGTGAATGTGGAGCATGACCGGGACTAGAACCCTCGGAAATACTGTACTGCGGTTCTACTGACTTAGCTATCCAGCAGATTTACACATTCTCTCACCTAATAAGTATGCAGTTCAAGACCATGACATATATTTACCTTATATGTAAAAAGTAACCCAGCAGGATATGATTGATTGATCATATGATAAAATGGGGTTGGGGGGGGGGGGGGGGGGGGATCCCGAAATCATTATACATGATGATTATACATGAATGACTTTTTTCATGACAGTTATCACAAGCATCTGTGTCATTGTTTTGTTTTTCAGCCAATCATCATAGCAGATCAGTTAGAGGCATTCGCCATGATTCATCTATCATACCACCAAACAATGGTATCCATAATGCCATTATTACCGTGTTATCCCATATAATATAAACATTGTATCATCAAAGTTGTCAAATTGTGAAATCATTCAATTTTCATTGGAGACTTAATTATGTGGATTTTGTTGCTTTGTCGATTTTTTTTTAAAGTTAGAGTTCACCATTAATCCACCCTTTAGCTCAGTTCCCATCCCCACCCCCAATCCTTTTTTTACCACATACCCATTGAAAAATTATGCGTTTTCCGAGCTTTTATAACCGTAGAAAGTAAAATTATTACATCATCCACAAATTTAAGTCTCCATGGAAACTGCCCTGTTGTCATAGCAACCAGATATGATTTCACAGTAAAAGCATTTCCCCAATCCAATTATACAGTCATGTATTTGTTCAATTAACTGTTAGTAAATCCTTCATCCATAATGTAGCAATGATATTTGATAATTTTCAAATTTTCATGAAATTCCCTTTTTTCCTTGGTGAATGGTAATTTTATGAATATTTATCTACCAATATCCTAAATATCATAAATCTTTCATATAAGTTGATGTATGCATTATGATCATTAATACATGTGCCATATATATAGAAAAATGAATGAGAATAAGTTCAGTACCAAATTTATTGAAAGAGATGAATAAAATTATATCATGCGAGCCTCTGATGAGCATTTTTATTACTTTATTCAACAACTTCAATAAATTCAGTAATGAACCTGCACATATACATGTATAATATTCTATTTATCACATATACCAAAATAAAGACTGTTTAAAGTGTAAAAGAATCATTTTTCATTGACGTGCATATAGTGTAACGCTAACATTTAATGCGTATTTACGCTATGTTTGTATAAATGTAAATGATGTCACATCAAAATAATAATATGCACAGCCATGCAATACCATTTTTACGGATAAATTGCTACATGATATATATTGCACATGCCATAAATCACATGTGGCAGATATGCCATATATTACATATATTCTTTGTCTTTAAATTGTCATACAAAGCGTATATTTAACATATCACATCATATTTGTTGTATATCACAATGTCATATATCATGCATGTCATGTATCATATATTTTCATATATCACATACACATTATATGTCATATATAACCTTTATTTATGTCATGTAAGAACCTTCTCTTTAGTACTGAAATAGGTTACTTCCCTTTATAAATTGTTTAACAAAGATTATTTTCCATACTGTTAGGAATTAGTACCCTAAAATTTTAAAAAAAACATATACTGAATCATTTATGATATTCTGTATTAAGTTAGTGATGTGGAAATATTCTCTAATTACGCGAATTGACAAAATTGTTAAACTTTCCTCTAGCTAAAATACCATCCAACATGTCATTAAATTCTACCCAGTTGCACCATTCGCGATCTTTTATTTCCTCAGTGTAATTTTTTCATATAAACTCTATAATTAGTTTTTTAGACAATAACTTGAAAATATTCATAATCTCTAAATGTGTAATTTTAGGATACAAAGTGGTCATCTTCAAAGAGAGAGTGGGATACAACTTGACTGGGTAAGTACATCAACATTGTATATATATTAGCTTATCTAAATTAATGTAAGTTTGATTGTGTTGGAAGATATATGTAAGCTTATTGATACACTCTCGAATCCGTTCCTGGAACCAACCTGAACCAGTACTAAGCATTGAGTGTAAAGTCCCTTGCTCATGGAAAAAGCGACTTGCCCCTGACTTGGTTTGAACCCACACAGCCATCAATCCTTATATTACTAGTCCGACGCATTAAACACACGGCCATGCGGCCAGTTGTCTTTATGTATATATTAACTGTATGAATTACAAATGCAAATGTATGTGTTGTCTATTTCACCAGCCAGCCCCACTTCCATGTTAGTCAGATCTAAGGTCCCACCCTGTTTTTTTCCCCCTTTAATTTTGCTCTTTGATACTTGAAATCCATTGAAAAAACAAATAACTTCAGGTATAAATAATGAATTTTGACAATGACGAGTTTTTAAATTAAGTATAGGTTAGAGTTTATTAGTAAGCTTTTACAAAATTAAATTGGTCAAGAACAGTGCACCAATTTAGTGTTTGAAATTATTTTTATAAAACTGTTGATTTTCTAGACTGATTGAATTTAGCTGATTTACAAAGGTAAATGTGTTACGATTCATTTGAAATACTGCAATCCTATTGGACAAAAAATAATTTAACACTAATGTCACATATAGTTATTTTTGTTTGAAATAATGGATCAGATTTAATTTAAAAAAAAAAGACTCTTTATGAATAATGCTCAATATATCTGACTTAATGGATTTTTAAAAAAAAATATTTTCAGGGAAATCGTTACAGAATTCCGATATAAAGTCACTCATCACGGGGAAATCGTCGATGCATCTACATATTACTGGTTCTCGGCCACAGTATCACAATTTGTCTCACATCATTTTAACATAGGGTACGGGTTCAGCAGAGATTACACGTTATTTCAAAGCATGGTCGTGTATTATGAGGATGAATTGTATCGACTAACATTCACTACGCCTATTGCCGAGTTGGATTATAAAAAGATTGAGACTTCGATCTTGACTGGACTTTCTTTGAGTTGGACAGGTAATCAAAAATCTTTTTTTTAAAGCTTTTTACAGTCAAAATGTTCAGAAATTGCTCAAATGGATACAACAGATAATAATAAAAAAAAAAAGAGAATGGATCTGAGATTTAGTAAAACATAGGTTTTTGTTTCTCTATACATGAAAATAAACAAAAATTAAAGCTGCACGCCTCAAGATGAGTCAAAATATTTCAAGAAAATCAATATTGAGAAAAATGTACTAAAACTTTAAGAAAGGTAAAAGCAAGTTATATTTTTTATCTTATGTGCAGTTTAAGACTGATTTTGCAGTATTTTATTACCATATTTCTACTGCATTACTAACACAGTAAGGGATTTTTTTGCATATGTTGACGACTTTTGGTAATTTTCTTGGATTGTAAGTGCTGATTGCCATATATTAATTACTTTATTTGTTCACCTCACAATATTTTACTTTAAAATCATTTCCAAAATTTTCATGAAAATTAACATGAATCTGGAGGTGTGCTGCTTTAAAGCAACTCATCTCCACTTATTTTAGTTGAAATTTTGTTGTTTTGAAGGAGGAAGAAAAAATACATTCAACCAGATAATGATTCTTGTATGATTATTTGTATGTATAATTATACTGTATAGCTGTAAGAAACTTATCAGAAATGTCTTTTATTTTTCTAGATTATTCTTTATATAAGGATACATTGGAAGTGAAGATAATCTTCCAGGAACAAGTCTTCATTGAAAGCAGGTAAATATGATTACTTTATATTATAAGTTCTTACATACTAGCTTTTTAATTGATTCAGATTGCAGAAAAAAAAAGATTTAAGATTCTCCTTGTCAAGTGATATTATCAAGGAAAAATTAATTAATTATTAATAACTCAATGAATGAATGAAAAAAATTAAGATTTTCCATATCAAGGGATATAATTAAGGAAAAATAAATAAATAAGAAAATGAATTAATTAATTGATTAATTAATTAAATTAATTAATTGGTTATTCAATGTGAATGAATGAAAAAAAAAAAAGTTCCCCCAAATCAATTTGTATTGAAAGGGAAAAAAAAATAAATTAAATTTAAATTTAAAAAATTTTAATTGATTAATAATGAAGGGGGTAAAAATTAATTTAAAATTTAATTGATCTTTTAAATTTTAAATTTTAAGGGTTAAAAAATTAAAAATTGCATATTTCGTTTTTGCATCAATAGTTATAAAATTTTTAAATCTTTGTAAGCAAACGGGCCCAAAAAAGTTAAACCAAAACCCCCTTTTTGGTTAAAAATGTGTTTTTTTAACCTTTTTTCCCCAAAATAACGTTAAAATTGGGGAAAATTTTTTCCAAATTTTTATTATTTATGTTATCTTTATTCCAAAAAAAAAACATGGGAAAAACTGGAAAATTTTATTTAAAACAATTTTTTGTTTAAACTTTACAGGGTACTTTGGCAGATTAAATTTGCTGTACTGCATGCTAGTAGAGACATCTCTCCTAAATTTGTACATCACATCACCGAGAAGCTGCTCGTACCAAGTTTCAGTGTGGTCGGTCAAAACCTTAGAAAGTACACTTTGTTTGAAGAGGCGTATGATGTCTACAGGGTCTTCCATAGAAGTGTAGCTTTCACCTTGACCTTCACAGAAGCTGTTTATGAAGCAGACTGGGCCATGATTGAAGCCAGTATAAAGGCAGACTGGTGCTCACATTTTGGTATGTTTATATTTTTGAGAACTTCTGAAACCAAGTTGTATTTAGTTTAGTAAAAGTGTAAGTGCTTTTGAACAACAAAGATTGAAAAATTGCTGATTTGAACACCGGCTGTTGCAAATTAAAAGATTTTTTTTTTACATGATGTTGCTTGTTTTTGATCTAATATCAAATATAAATTTTTAATTAATTATATATTTCATTCTATAACATATGTTTATCATAAACCTATTGTAAAGTCCCTGGTTGAATTTTTTTGGGAAAATGGCATGTTACATGTATTTAATGTATTTTGACAAAAAGCAATTAATTTTTTAAAAATTATAATAGCTTTTCATAAAAAGACTATATTAATGTTTTTTTGTATATAACATATGTTTATGATAAAGCTTTGTGAACTAATTAGCCTTGTATAAAGTCCCTGGTTGAATTTTTTTTGAAAATGGCATGCTACACGTTTTACAATGTAAATATAACATGACAGCAGGTATGTATGTTAATACATTTTGTATACGTACCTGATGACAGAAAGCATTTTTTTTTTGAAATTATAATAGCATGTAATAAATTGAATTGTATTTATTGTTTGTCGTCATTTTATATACTGTAAAATCATCATTATTCGTGGTGCACTATCTTTTGTGAATAGTATAATCCACAAATTTAAGATTCAGCAATTTCATTTCATTTATTTTGCATCACATTACTTACATTTTGGTAAATAAACAGTCCACAAATTTAAATATCCACAAAATGTTCTGTGTGACAAAACCACGAAATTTCATGTCCACTAAATTAAGTGAATTCACAGTAGACTAACATTACACTCTAACCAGAAATGATAAAAATCTACCTTAAGCTTACTTTGAATGCATTCATATTTTCATAGACCTGTTAATATATTGATTAAGTCCTTTTGAGAAAAAAAATATGTACAGGACGATACTTCAGGAAAGGAGACTCACTTTCTTAAAATTTATTACAAACAAAACATGATACATGTAACTTACAATTAATATTGATCCTTTGCCACAGGCATAGAGCAATACAAGCATTGACAACCCAGCGTTTAGACCATGCTCCATAATTTTTGGCGGGAAAACTTTCAAATTTCCATTCCGATATCCACAAAATTGTAAATGCAGAGCTATAAAAATGGAATATGGACAAGTTTGTTTATGTAATAATCAGAGTTAAGTTATGAATATATTTATGTCTTATTTCAGTATCCGGTTGTTTCTGGTTGGTTGATATAAAGTATCAAGAGCGTGTTGTGGACGAACATGGGTAAGTAATGTATATGGAGAGTTTATATATTAACACTAAAAATATCTGGACAGTTGTTGTTGTTGTTTGATTCAGTGGTACTGAAATATTGACTGGAGATATATTTAACCTGTCAAAAGCACATGACAGCACATAAACCCACACAAGCTTAATATGCACATAAAAGCTTATTAAAAGCACAATTTAGTACATTTAAACACATACAAAGCATATAAAAATAATGAATTTTTAGTGGTAAACATGGGTAATTTAGTTTTCTAAATATGCCAAATCTATTTTTAAAGATCAATGCAAGGTTTAAAAATGCATGTCATTGGATGATATTTAGGCCTTGTAGTCGATGTTTGTATGGTTGATTTTTAAAGAGGCGAAGTTCTCAGGTCTCTCTCCACCAGTAAAACTTTTAGAAAGTCGCCATATAATCTATTACTGTGTTTCGGTGCAATGTAAAAACCCAACCCCCCCCCCCCCCCCCCCCCCCAAAAAAACAACATCAAAAAAAAAAGTCAAAACTCTTGTTTTATAATTGAATATTCATGTATGTTTTTAATTCAGGGTTCATTACTGGAGGCTAGTTTACTTCATCTACGAAAATGTTGGCAGAAGTATCGTGGTACAAAATCCACAAACAACCGTGTGGCGGTTATCGCAGTTCTCCTTCCGAAGTCGCTTTGGTTTTGACTATCGTGTGCAGACAGACGGACGAACACTATACATGTTTGACTGGTTGTTCACAATTTATACTAACAGCAGTGTTGATATACAAACCAGAAGTCTTCTTCTCTCATACATTGAATTATACTGGAAAATTGACTTTGAAAGGTAAGCAAAGAGAAAAAAGAAACATGTGCCAAAAAAATTTTTCTTCAGTTAAAACATTTTTTCTTTTTATGATTGTGATGGAAGGTAATTTCAATTTCCAAATTGTTAAATTGAGCAATCAAAAGTTAAAATATTGGTCTGAATGCCACCCCCTATATTTCAATAGGATGGTCCAGTTTAAATTTTGAATTTTAAATAAAATACATGTGTAAATCTGATTGTAATTGTTACTTTCAATTATATATTCTATAGTGTTTGGTCAAAATGCTAAGAATGATGTTGTATGAAGGCTTTTATTTAGAAGTAAATGTTGACAATTTTATTTCCGTCTATTCAAGGTTATGATACAGAATGGACGAAACATATTGGTGTAAGAATATTTTCTCAGGAGCCTGTATCCACATCAAGGTATGGCATAAAATTTAAAATTTCTGTTGAGAGATATTGAATGCAATTATTGTACTCAATTAAGTGATAGAATTTTGTCAGGTCTTTGTATAAGAATTAAAAATATATGCCTTTTTCCTTTACAATATTGACCTTCTATTTATTTTGTTTCATTTGAATAAAAATTTAAGATATTTTATATATCAAAAACAATTTTTAAAAAATTTTTTTTGGGTTTTTTTGGGTTTTTTTTAAATAAAATTTTTAAAAATTGGGGAAAGAATGAAAAATTTGGGAAAATTTTAAAAGCAAAAGGGAAAAAATTTGGGAAAAATTTAAAATTGATTTTTTGTTTGGTTATCTTTAGGCCTCCCCTTTAAAATTTTTGGTAAAAACAACTTTCCCCCTTATTGGCCAAAATTTTGGGGTTTTCCTTATTTTTTTTAAAAATTAAAATTATAAAAAAAAAAAGGGGAACATAAAAGTTTTTAAAAAAGTTTCTTGGAAAAAAAAAAAGAACTTTTTTTTCTTGAAAAATTTTTAATGGAAAAAAATATTAAATGTTTTTTTTTTAGAAATTTTTGTTGGGTTTTTTAAAAGGAAAAATTTTTAAAAAATATTTTATTTTTGCTTTTTCAGTGGTTTGATATGGCGTATTCGTTACGGCTTTTTCCATAACATGCATCTCATCAACTCCGCAACTTGGCCAGCATTGGACTATAATCGTATGCAGTCTGTAGTTCACACTGGAAGCCATTTCCGTTTTTAAACCCGGGCGGGGTTTATTCCCGGAACTATTTTTCCATTTTTTTATCTTGGGGAAAACAAGGGGGTCCTTTTGGGTTTAAATTGAAAAAATTTTAGCGTTTCTTTTAGAGGGTTTTTGGGGGAGAACTATGGAGGGGGGGTTGTTTTTTAAATTTTAAAAAAACGGGTATAAATTTTTACTGAAAATTTTTGCTATTAAAAAAATTTTGTGAAATATAATGGTCTTAATTTTAAATTTTTGTTCAGGAAAAAATTTTTTAATTTATTCTTATTAAAATGAAATTAAAAGTTTAAATTAAAAAACCAAAAGTATGAAAAATTATGTTTTAAATTTGATTTGGAAGCGGGAAAATTTAAAGGTTTATGCCTGCTAAAATTAAAAAATTTTTAAAAAAATTTTTTTAACCTAACCATTCTTGCTTTTTTACAAAAATTACGCTGTCAAAATAAATTTAAATTTTATAAAAAAAGGGGGTAAAAAAAAAAAAAATTTAAAAGCTTTTTGATTTTGGAAAAAAAATTTTTCCTTTTTTCTTAAAGGTTTTAAATCCCTTTTTAAAATTAAAAAAAGAATAAAATATATTTATTCCATACTCTTTTATTCTACTTTAGGCTGTTTTCGGTTGGTGAAGGTACATATTAGACTCAAGGGGAAAATGTTTATACAAAATACTGGGTAAAATTTTTTTTTATTTTTCTTTTTTCCAGACTTTTAAAAAAATTTTCAAAAAAACTGTTAGAATTGTTTTAACTTGCATTTCAACCAGAGACATTTTGTACAGTGTAATCCCATTAAACTATTCTTCCTTTAATTTCTGTTCTATTCAAAACAAATTGTCTATTGTATGGTCTGGTTGTTTGTCTGTACATTTTTAGCTCGACTTTTCTATGAAAAGGGGAGCTATCCTACTCGCCCCGGCGTCGGCGTCGGCGTCACACCTTGGTTAAGTTTTTCGTACCACCCCACTTTATTTCAGAAGTATTACAAGTATGGCTTTGAAACTTACCATACTTGTTCACCATCATAACCTCCATCTACAGACAAGAGTACATAACTCTGTCAAGGTTTTTGACAGAATTATGGCCCTTTTTTGACTTAGAAAGTGTATTGAGCTTGGTTAAGTTTTTTGTACCACCTCACTTTATTTCAAAACCATTGGAGGTATTGCTTTGAAACTGACCATACTTGTTTACCATCACGACCTTCATCAACAGACAAGAGGACATAACTCTGTCAAGGTTTTTTGACAGAATTATGCCCCTTTTTGACTTAGAAAATACATTGAATATGGGTAAAATCCACTTATTGCCTTAACCCTTTGAGATATTGCTTTGAAACTTTTAATGCTATTTCACATCATTACCCCCATCTGTACGCAAGAGAAGGTAACTCTGTCAAGGATTTGTTTTAAAAATTAAGGCCTTTTATCGACTTAGAATCTTGGTTAAGTTTTTAGTACCAGTCCACTTTTTGACTGAACTGTTTGAGATATTAATTTGAAAGTTGGAATACTTGTTTACAATCATGATTCCCAAACATGTCCAGGAGAAGGTAATTCTGTCAAAGATTTTATTTGAATTATGGCCCTTAACTGTCAATGTTTTGTATTATAGGCAAGCACTAAAAAACTTAAAAAAATCTAAAAAAATTCATTCCTATCCACTGAACCTGCAGTGTTCAAGGGTATCACACAATTCAGTAAAATAATTCTTCACTAAATATCTTAATGCTCATGGCCATTGTTCACTTTAAAAATACAGAGATTCTTGTATTGCCTTTTACTGCAAAAACTTTTTTTATTGGCAAGCAATAAAAAAGTCGAGCGCGCTGTCTTACGGACAGCTCTTGTTTTCTCCCATCTGGTCATGATAATCAACTTCTAAATGAAACAACTTTAGTGTTGCTAGCAACCAAAACTGTGAGGAAAACAACTGACATTTCATTTCTGTTATCAAAGAATGCAGTCTTGTTTAGATGGTTTCCACTGTTCTAGGAAAAGAATCATTTAAGGCTGATTTAGGGGGTTTGATATGTGTACCTGTAACATACAAAGTTATCATATAGCTTGTGAAGTTAACTGAAACTTAAAATTGAAATTACAAATTATTCTGTTTTCCTGAATAGTTATTTCCGCAAAATGTAAATAAATGACAGAAAAGAATCGAATTTCATGAAAATTATTATAATTAGGAACTCATTTAATTTCTTAATTCATTTATATATTGCAGGAAGTCATATTGGCGACTTGACTGGCAGGTCTCCATCAACGGCACCGATGTTGATCCTTCTAAAATGCCACCCCTCAATACTACAAGAATTTCATCTTATGTAGACATTACTGGACCACATGGAAAATATGTGATACACCATGGAATGACCCATGGAAAGCAATATATCTCATGGTCTTACTATAGTTGGTTGTTTACCATGGAATGGATTCCAAGGTCACAGTATGAAACGTTCAGGCTCCATCTTGTGCGTTTCTACCAGAAACTTTATCCAGGTAAAACAATGAGTATTTATGTCCCATTCTTTAAAATATTTGTCACAATATTACGACATTTGTAACCATAGTAATATTATTAATTGCCAGTAGAATTTTGTCTTAAATTTTCTAAAATACCTTAAAAAAAAATTGATGCAAACAATTTATGAATTGTATTGACACTATATAAAATAATAAATACACATGGTTGCATATATATATGCAATTGAAAAAGTATACCTGAAAATTATAAATCTAAATTTATACCTAAATGAATTATAAGAAAAATTATAGAATTTCTTTTTGTTTGAAATTTCATCAAAAGACTAGCATCTTAACCATTCTATGAGGAAGTTCATTGTGTGTTAGCCTTTGATTTATTCTTGTTTGAAAAAAAAACAAAAACTTTTGCTCAATTTAAAAGGAGGTAATACTGAATTTTTCAGGTACTCAAATCGAGGTGGGTGTTCTCACACAAAGAAGGTTTTGGTCACATTCTGGGTAAGTGATTATCAAGTGTGGAACAGTTTTTGACGGTTTTACTTCAAAATATTTTCATAGAATTGCTTAGAACCTATTAGGGCTCTTTTTTTGGAGAGAAAGATTATCAGGTTGACTCATTTTCCACTCACCATTGTGGGATTTTTCCCTCACCATTGTGGGTTTAAACCCCAACATTGTGGGTTTTTACCTCACCGTTGTGGGTTTAAACCCCAACAGAGTCTTTTGATATAAAGGAGCAATCCTTCTAGCCTGCAGAAGGTCAGAGATTCTTACATTAGTGCACACTTGAGTCTGAAATTACATGCAGACAGGCAGGCCACTGGAGGTTTTTCTCCATCAGTAAAGCTGGAAAGTCGCCATATGACTTTACAGTGCTGATGGGACTTTGAAAAAAAAAGAAATGGAAAAAAATGAAAGAAATAAACATGCTACTGAAGACAAGTACTACATTTATTCTTTGGCATACATTTGTACTGGTATTTTAAGATTATATGAGATTTAATGTAATATTCTATTGAATTTGGTTTATATTTAATGAATTTTACGGATTTGTTTACATACATAATGAATACAAGACAATTAAATAATAATTGACTTAACACTTTTATTATTACAGATATGAAATTTGGGGATTACCATATTACGTAAAAGTTGACGGTAGACTGATCTACCCTAGATTGTTGAAGCTCATAGACTGGACCGAGTTTGTGAAGACAATTGGCGTTCATACAGTCAGTAATAAGACCTACACAGCCATTTTAGATAAACATGTGACAGATACGAGTCTTCTGCTATCACTGTATCTACAACACAAGGTATCGACAACACATTATCATGAAATAGAACTGGCCCTGGAACATGCGTGGATTAAACAAAACCCTGGTATGTTAAAAAAGATTTATGTAATCAATTATGGAAGCTTAAAGTTTTCATTTCTTCTGTGTAAAAACTTTGCTATAATTATTAATTTCATCAGTTAATTTGACGTAGAAATAAAGAAAAGATAGTTATAAATAATCATAAATCAAAAATGAAATCACACATGAAAATAAAATCTTATTCTGTAATTTTCATTGGGAGACAATTTTATCTTATTTGAAAATCATTGGCCAATATGCATGCAAATGTTTTGGACCATGCTCCCATACAATTTTTTTTTGTCATAGAAATTGTAAGTTTTATTTAGTACTTTTCTTATTGCATATTGGGAAAATAAGCTAAAGACTCTGGCTGAGTAGAACTAATCAGTGTTGCTCTTATAAGCAATACCACTTGACACAAAATGTTTCTTTTATTTAACAAACACAAAAACTCTATGTGAATACTCAGTAGAATGAAATTTTCCAGAATAATATGTTATGCTGTTTTTTTTTAAGTAGGATTTGAACGGTTTAGATATGATCTTGTGCATGCACAATACACTTCAAGTGAAATATACTTACAAATTTCTTTCAAACAGGCACTTTGAAATTATTTTTCTTCAAATTTCAAAGTAAAATTTTGTAAACAGTAATCAGTAGTGATATAGCTTTATACATTTAAATAGTCTATACATGTATACTACATAAACAACAGCATAACACATATTAAAGTAGATGTTAAATAATGTTGTCTCTAACCAACAGATATAAAAAGTATAAAAAATAAAGGCCTTACATTATGATATTTGACTTACCATTTTCAGAATACAAATCATCAAATGTAGAGGTGCATATAGAGGGTCAAGAAGAAACAGTTGATTATTATGGGTAAGTATTAAAGGCCCATTATGCCCCTGAAATGTTTTTTATTTTCAATTCTCAAAAGAATTTATTTCTGATGTCCTATTTTAATTTCAAAAAAGTTACTAATTGGCCAATAATTACCTGAACAATATTTCACTTCTGCTGCTTTTTGTCAAGTAGTACAGTTATGGTGATTTAGTATTTTGTATGGAAGTCAAAATACTAATTTACTTACATTTTTCTACATTTATGGCAAAGAATTTCACATTGAGCACTATATTCTTCTTATTCTTGATGGCAAACTCAACCATTGCTAGTTTGATTCCCGGCTTCTTCAGTGAAACAGTCATATTGGCATTTATTTCTTTTAACCATAACAATAAAAGAAGTGGGGAAAAAAATAACATTTAATGTTTCAAATTGTAAAGTGATATTTTTTCATTATTTTTCATATTTTTCAGACGAACAGCTTGGCGTTTCTTGTATTCACTGAAGGTTAACGGCACTGTATTAGACAAACAGAGCGTAGCTTCCATCAACAAGACAATATTGGCCACAGAACTTAACTCGGATATGTCATCAAGATCTAATATTCAGGTACGTCAATGAGGCGAAATGATCGTATTTTCACTAGAAAACTTATAAATTATATTTTTGAATTACCGGAAGATAGATCTGTACAAGTTTGTTACTCTTAATTAAAGTTATACTGTAAATGAATGAAGCACTTTGCTGTGAAATAATGGTCAGTGATTTCAATAGAATAACATATCATCAACTTAGTGCAATAACTGGTTAACTACTTTTAATTTTTGAAGGACTTAACCTGTTACAGCGCAAAGGTGACAATACTTTCAATATGCTTTTACATGTTTTAGATAGTACAACCATTTTTTTTTTACAAAAAAGATATTATTACCAAATTAACAATGCTTAACTTTAAATGACTCTGAGTGAATTAAAACCTTCAGATGATAAACAATTATAGGAGAAATCTGGAAAATTGTATTAATTTTTCATATAGGGATTTAACTGTTGCTGTTGGGGTTTTTTTTTACACTTTGGGAATGTGACCAAGTTAACGATACTTCGAATTTTAGTTATTAGATAAGATTGAGAAGAAATGATTATCAACAGCTCAAAATCATAAATTTTGGATATGATAAGAGACTTAAATATAGCTATCTGTCATTGACAACGTTTTCAGACAAATACCATTTTTTTTCCAAATGGAAATAAGAGCTTCTATTGTACCCATCTAAAGAGGGGAAAAACAATTCTGAGTAGGAACAGATGTTAATTATTTTTCTATACTTCATTTAAAAACTTATGTTTTATCATTGTAAATATGTTTGTATTATTTAAGTTGAGTCACCTCCAGTCTACAGACCTATTTTCAACAAAGCAACTTCTCTCTCTCTATCTGGATGCCTACATATCGCTAGAGGACGTAGACAAAATCGAGGCATCGTTGTCCGCTCAGTGGTCGTTAGAGTTGAACCAGTCCGTTAAAATTCATATTGTGAGACAGAAAGAATATACCAGTCTGTCCGGGTAAGACAAAATGTAGTCTGTATTTATTACAAACTGTCTAAAATAATAGATAAAGTGGTAATAATAGATAAAGTGGTAATAATAGATAAAGTGGTAATAATAAGTAGATCAAGTGGTAAACATAGATGAAGTGGTAATAAAGTGGTAATAATAGATAGATAAAGTGGTAATAATGAATAAAGTGGTAATGTGCTAAAGATTCGAAATGAGAAAGATTTGTATGGCAAGTGGTAATAAAAGATGAAGTGGTAATAAGAGATAAAGTGGTAATAATAGATAAGGTGGTAAGATGCTAAAAATACAAAATGAGCAAGATTTGAATGCCAATGGCAATACTTACAAAGTGGTAATGTTAATTTAGCCAGCTTCCATACCTTAGTGGTAGAGTTATTAAGGCAAAATTTGAAACCTTTACCTTCACCACTATAGAGTCAAACTTTTCCAAAGAAGTTGAATTTCACTGAATGCTAGGAAGCATTAAGCTTAGCCTGAAAAAAGTTGATTGTTCTACATTACTCCTACTTATGCCTGAGAATAGAAGGCAAACCTTGGATCTGCCTCTTGTCATACATGTATATATTTAAAAGTCATCATATGATTTTAATACTATCATTGTGACTTTATTTTCAAGCTGAATAAATGGCTTTTGTTCAAATGTTGTTATTTTTAGGGAAGCAAAAAATTTTGCCACTGTTTTACGAAATTCATCAAATGATTTCATTTCAGCACAAATGCCTGGAGAATGCAGTATTTACTTGAAATTAATGGTTCGAGAATTCCTGCTGAACAAATTAAGAATGTTGACACAGGTACTCTAGCTAGGGCTGTGTCCAATGTAAAGGGCGATTCTGGGCGGAGCTATGCTGTATTAAGATCCGCCTCTACTTATTATAACTATGAGAAACATTATTCTTTGTTGGTTGACAAAAAGGTTACAGATTCTGCAAGGAAATTGTTTGAACAGAGACTATTGGTGGCATGGCAAAAATCGAGACCAGGTTTGTTTATTTTCACTTTTTTTATTTGTTTGATAATCATAAGGCAGGAGTCGTATATTGACAGCAGTTGTAAGAAATATTAACCTGTGCTAGACTAATAATATCTGTCATATTTTGCGGTTCGGATCGGAATTTCCGTCCCGAGGTGACCCGCCCATGGGCGGGTGACCGAGGGACGGATATTCCGATCCGAACCGCAAACATATGTCAGATAATTTTTCTTGCATATTCTACCATATTCCATTATATTTTAAATTCTTTATCTTTATTTTCAATGAAAATTTATATCATTACAACCGTAACTACTTTCATTCAACAGCGTATGAATTACAAAATCATTCATAACGGTAAAATGACGTCATCTTTATCGTGCCATTGTACAGCACGCGACTCATCTGGAACCCCCCATGCCAGATGAAATTTCCGGCATGGGTAAAACTAACGGAAACGCCGGTCTGATATGCAAGAAATGTATTTCTACATGTAATTGACAACCTCTTCTCTGAAATCATGACAATTGTTGGTGGAGAGAGAAAAAAACGTATGATAATGATATAATGTCATAAAACAATATTTGGAAGCAGTTTTTCAAATGTATGTGTAAATGACTTTATTCACAATGATGTAACACGCCTATTTAGCATAGTATATAGAAATGTATGTAGATCATAAACTTTGTAGTTTCATCATACTTTTTAATCACATTGCTTGTTCTATAATACATGTATTTTAATTGATACATTTATATTCCAAAGGTCTTGCCTGTCTTTCTATTATTCAGTTTGATTGACATTTCAATAATTTCTTTTTTTAAGAATGGAGGAACACTCAAGTTCATTTAGTGCAACAGGAAGAGTTGATTGACCTACATGGGTGAGTTTTGTTTTTGGGGTCTTTTTTTTCCCCCTTTTTAAAGAAAAAGTAATCTCCTTCCTTTAACAGAATGTACTTTTACTTGATTTAGATAATACCTAGATGGATTCATCATTAATGTAATGAAGATGTTAAATAAGAGATACAAATGTATAAAGGATATTTATTAAGGGCCAATATAAGGTTTTGCTGTTCATATGTACATGTATATGAACATGCTTAAGATTGTAAAGTGCTCTTTGAAACCTTGTCAACTGACAATATGATTTTATTTTCTAAAATATCATTTTGATTCAATGAGCATTTAATTTTTTTTATTTTAATACATTCTTTTATTTCATTAAAGGAAATCATCTTGGGAGCTTACCTACTTTGTATCCCATGGTAACATGTCAGAAACCGTTGACTCACGTGAAGTAATGAGTGTAACGTCTGCTGCAGTAGGATCTGTCGACAGTCCAAACGGCGCGTACAGGATAACCATTCCTAGCCAGTTAAATGAGTACAGACGGTACGAGAGATACGGTTTCTCTGTCTATCTTGACCAAAAACTTGACCGAGGGGCGCAGAAAAGTGCTGAGATCGTGCTGGCTAATGAGATCAAGAGAACGCACCAAAGTGAGTTGTTTTACTATTCTTACAGTTATGTATATACATGATATACCTTAATTGAGATATTCCATGTATAAAGTTATATTACTGAATGACATTATGAAAAAGAAACAAATATCAGCCAAGCTGTGGCTGCCTTTATTTTCCTACAATTTTGTCATATGAGCCAGTAGGGGGTTTTGATTACAAATAGATTTGTGGTGATGTTGGTAGTTTTCATGCGGGATCACAACAGTAAGCCACATTGAATTTACCAGAGTACAGTTCAACCACCCTATCATTCCTGGACAGGCTGTCAAGCAGATTACTAGTACTAGTTGCCTTCACTTTCCCTAGGAACTGATAACTTTTGTACATGACATAGTAGAGGTACAGTGTGAATGACCATGGAAAGGATTTCATGATAAGTCACAACAAAACTGACATGCACCTTCGGGAATCGAACCAAGTTCGCCGAATTCACAGTCCACTGTGCTCTACCTAATAAGCTAGCCGCATGGCTTGTTAAAATTATTTGTTTACTCTGTCTCAATTATATACAGCATGTAGATTTAACAACAAATGGTGGACAGAGAACAAAGGGATGTAACTCTCTCCATTTACAACTAAATATATAATACTAGGGACATTATACAGAAGTATATTTACCACTGCAATACTTGCAGTGTAAACGTCTGCTTTATGAACAAATCTAAAAAGTATTCAACACTTTAAAAAAAAAATTTATTTGTCAGCTTATAATGGTATCAAAATTTTGTACATGTATGTTAAAAGAAAACAACTAAAAAATCTTAACTTTATTTGCAGATGCTGTCATAGATGTTAAATTTGGAAGATTTGAGGAATATTTAGATTTGAATGGTCACAGGGTCTGGAAAACTGTTTACTTTGTTAATAATCATGACAAGCCAGTACCAGTCAATGGTATGAAATCTCTGGACCAGTCTAGCCTGAACAGTAAACTCACCTTCACTGGTAAGTTTTTGAAGAGTATTCTAGGTCAGTTTTGGTGTAATTAGGTAACAAATCTAAAATTACCCATATATTTTCTTTATATTTGACTCTGATTCATCGAAATATGTAAAAAAAAAAAATGACTTCATGAAAAAATGTCACATAAATCAGTATCAAGTCTTTTGTTATGATTCCTCTAAATTATCAACAGAAAAAAAAGAGATAAGATAAGATAATAATAATGTAATTTTCAAAAATAATTTCTGAAGGAGACAAAATGTTGAAAGCTAACAAAAGCAGTTGTTTTTATTGAATATATATGTTGTCTGTATGCTAAATAGTTGTTGGCTTTTGGTATTAATGTACATATTAAAGCCTGTTGTATGAAGAATGTGTTATCATGCACATAAATGAATCACATTAGATATTACATTCTCATTGTTGTTTATTTTCATATTATAGAAGTCAGTTAGAAAAGGTTGAACTTGGAAAAAAACAATGTATTTTGTTTATTTAGTATATTTCCCTACAATAGTGTTGTTTTAAGCAATGTGAATGTCTTAATATCTTATTGAAAATTAAATTGATTTCTGTACCTTATTTCAGGTTTCCGTGGTGAGAAATTTACTACAGTGAATATATCAGGTCGTACATTGATTCACTACAGGGACAGCTTCCATGTTCACATGACAAACAAATTATCACCAGCGTATTTTACAGCCGCGGAGAATTATCTGCTGGCCGCCTGGAAACATACATCTGCTGGTAATAACAATGTGTTTTTGTCAGCTGACCATACATTTTAAATGGCATTTGATGTGTGGTATTCTCTTAAAGTGGCTGAATTTAATGTCTGGATATTCTGAGGAATAATCTACCATCTTACCAGGATAATTAAAATTTTGGCAACTTTTATTTTCATTCAATAGTATTTTAACTTCAAAAAACCAAAACAAGGTCATTTAAGTGGCAAGATTATTGTGTAAAAAATGGTCCACATGTCATAAATTTTTCACTTTTTCAAATATTTGTAACGACCCACAAAGCATTAAATGACAACCAAACAAAAATAAATGAATTTTAAAAACATATAATCATACCTAAAAAAAATTGAGAATTCGAGAAATTCATTTATATTATTATAATTTATGATAAATTGTTTGGGCAATTGTTTAAGTCTAACAGTGTTTACTAGGTTTAATTTATTTATATAAGTTAAGGTTTACCACTATCAGGACTTACTATAGATGATGTCATATAAGGGTTGAATTATTTTATAAACCACTATGTTATTAGGTCTATAGTCAACATTACCATCATAGCAAGGTCAAGGACATTGCTTGGAAGTTGTTAATTTAAGTTTTTTGACATGAACGAAAATTAAAATTGTTTTGTTATATATTCAGAATATAATTCATGCAACTGCATCTCTGTCAAGGTGACTGGACAAGAGGAGGTGGTTGACATGGAGGGGTAATTATTTTTCTGTCAATGTTTATTGTTGAATTATATTTTTAGGTTATCGTCTTTTAATATATACTTTGCATTTTATCATGTATAAAGATTATTTTTTTTATTGAGAACAAACTTTTTTTATTGAAAATGGATTTTTGTCTTTAATTTAATAAAAAAAATTCAATTTTTAATTTATGATAAAAAGATTCAAAATCAACACAGTTTATCAATACATGTTTCACTTCATGAAGTTTCTTCAATTGATATGATAAATAAAATGTAGGCAGGTGTTACTCTTCTCAGTAAAAAATAAGGAATCATTTACCAATGCATTCTTTGTTTTACAAGTTATGTTTTCAACATTATCAATATTGTCATTGTTGTCGTCATTATCCAACACTCATTATTATAAAAATCATCATTGTTATATCAACATTATCAAAATAATCATCATCTTTGCTGTTTTCTTCATCTAAATTTGTATTGTCATAATCATCATCATCTACATTATCATTTTTTTGTAATTTTCATCATCAAAAGCATCATCATTATCATAATTATCATCAGCTTCTTCGTCATCATTGTAATCATCATTTTAAACATGTTTGTTTGTTTTAAAATGCATATGAATACATGTAGATACAAATTTTGGATTCAGTACTTAAATCTAAAAGAGGTAATAGTGTTAAAAGAAAAATTAATTTTTGAAGTTCAAAATTGTGTAATCCTTTTAAATTAAAGTAATTTGTATCATTTTCCATTTTGCTATTTTTTCATATATTTATTCAGATCACATTATTTTGCAGACACACGTATTGGCAGCTGAACTATTTCTTGTTAAAGAATGGTAAAGCTGTTCAGAGGATGACCTCTAAAGCCTTAGACTTGGCATACTTAAAAAGGTCACTGAATACAGTCAATGTTACAGACATCGTAGAAAACGTGAAACAGACGTCCAGACTGAGACTAGCGTTTTCATTCTACATGAACCAGAATTTAAACGTAAGAGTGGACTCAGTCAATAAGATTTCACAACAGTTTGTGCATGCCCTGGAAATGACCTGGCAGACAATAACTACAGGTATGTATATATGTATTATAATCACATAGCCAAATTACCTGGTGACATTTTCTGACCTATTTGGGGGTTAAAACCGATATAAAAGTCAGTTTGGTTCAGATTTTCTTTCAGAACTATTTAATATTTCGTTATTTATTAATGGGAATAAAATGTAGAGCCCACTCATTCAAGTTAGTAATCCATAGTTACATAGCATTCAGCCCACTTCTTTCCTTGGTTGCATTCAGTCCTATCAAAGTCACTGATATACTGTTTCCTATTTTTCCTTAAAGTGAGGTCATGATTTTAACTTAGCCGTCTATTGATATCACAACTACCTTACGTTTACAGTTAAGATATTAAATTTGTAAAAAATGTTTATGAATTTCATTACATTGAATGTTTCCTTCTTTATTTCAGGTTTACCATGGAAAATAAAACCTACAGTGAAAATCAGTAGAAGTGCAGAGTTTATGGACCTTACCAAAGAGTAAGTAGCATGGTGTTGCATTTCATTGTGAAACTGTATTTCTTCTTTATACATTAATCAATTCTGCCAGAATCTGCTAAACTTTGATCAACTTCACTAAAATTTGTTATTTATTGATCATTTTCACTAGAATTTGTTATTTGATGATCAACTTCACTTAAGTTTGTTATTCATTGAGCAGTTTCACTAAAATTTGTTATTCGTTGATCAACTTCTTTAGAATCTGTTATTCATTCATCAATTTCACTAAAATTTTGTTATTCATTGATCAATTTCACTAAAATTTTGTTATTTGTTGATCAATTTCAATAAAATTTTGTTATTCATTGATCAATTTTCTTAGACTGTTTATCATCAATAAAGTTCACTTGAATTTGTTATTAGGTGATTAATTTTTCTTGAATTTAGTTGTACGTTAATCTTTATTAGAAGTGTTGCTAATTTTTTTCATCACTGTAATTATTTTATAGGGAGACTTTATGGAGAATTTACTACTTCATGTGGGAAGACTGTCTCCCGTCATGTGATTCCGTCGACCCGGACACACTACCAGAAGTTAAGGCATCAGAAATTCAGAAATTCATCAGCTTTAAATCACCAATTGATACCAGTTACATCGTCAGTGATGTGCCCGCTGTTGTTGATTACCGTTTCCATTTTAGTGTGGATATTTCACGAGAAATGAGGGACGTGGATAAATCCAAATTTTCAGAGGTCGTACGTTCTGTATGGAATGCTTCATCTTGTAAGTATTTCATCCTGTCATCCCTTGTTGATAGTAGTAGAATAGTCTATATTTTCTTTAACTGAATCATTTATATTTATGTTAAGAAGTTAAACAGCTACATGTGTAGTTTGCAGACAATTGTTTGTTTTATCAAAATGAAAGCTTGGTGCCGGAATAATACGTGGATTATAGGATGACTCGGGTTTCCCCTCCAGTAACAGGTGGGACCTTACCTTTATGACCTTAACATATCAGTGTGACTTAAATATCAACCTAACCTTTGATCCTGCACGGAAGGGAACCTGAGGTCTTCCTCCACCAGTAAAGCTGGAACGTCGCGATATGACCTATAATGTGTCGATGTGACGTAAAACCCAAAACAAACAAACAAACTAACCTTTGATCCAACAAAAAATGTACATGTAGTAATATTTGTTGAACATAATTTTTCAAATGTTATACATTTCTTGGTATTAAAAGGCATACAAAGAGAGTTGTGGTCTCTAATTCCTTCATTTTTAACTTTCTTTGAAGTTAGTCCATATTTTTGGTCAACGTATTGCAAGTTTCTAAGTTTCACTTTTGGTTCATTTCAGCTGAATCCAAAAATGGTAAAATCAAAGTTTATATTCCAAAACAGGAAGAATTTGTAACCATGGATTATATGAGTAAATTACAGGGGTAAGTTTCTGATATTAGGATATTATAATATGCACATCTATGATAGATGTTCCCTGAACCAGTTAGATATTGCTTAACATTGAAAAAAAATTGTACTTTAAAAACCAAATATAGTTATTCACATAATGTCTATTCTAAAGGGCATTGAGCTTGCTTATACAATGTAGGTTAGTGTTTCTGCTCAGATCATGGCAGTCGTATACGTGACTTTTGATTTTGAGGTCAGTAGGTCACAGATCTAGGTCACAGTGACCAACACAAAAATTGACCTACATAATATGGTTTGCGTTTTGGTTACATGACTAAATGATTGGAGTTAGGCTGTCAAACATCTCAATACTATCAAAATGCTGAACAAATAGTTGTCCCATACTTCTATACTCTTACTGGTATCTGTGGAATGAATAATGAATCAACTTTGGATAATGATGTAAATATTACATATAAGTGTCGGCTAGCAAGGCTGAGTGATTAAACAACAGTCTACATGGTGTAGTAATCAAAGGATTCTGGCTGCGTGAGTTCAAACCCCATCAGGGGCAAGCTGTTGTTTCAATGAACAGAAAACTTTACATTCATTGCTTAGTACTGGTTGGTTCCAGGAACGGACTCGGGAATGTTTTAAATAAAGTTATAGCTTCTAACCCAATCAAACTAAATTAAATTAGTCTGACTATAAAAAAACTAAATATTACAGATTCACATACTGGAGACTTGTTGTATTCATTGAACAAGGAGGACAAGTTGTGGACCGTCAGATATCGTCTCCGCTCAACCGTGACGAGCTCACTCGCCTAGTTACGTTCTCATCGGCAAACAACAATAAATACAGTGTGGTGAAAACCAGCACTTTGAAGACGGTGAAAAGAAATTCTCTGTTCTCATTCTACACAAGCAAACAAATAAAATATGATGATGTCACACTTGTGCAGTCACAGCTCAAACAGACCTGGACAACCCTCGGTAAGTCTGAGATTTATGTGAACATGGTTAAGTGGTCTGCCTCTCAACCCAGGGATCATGGGTTTGAGCCTTACTTGGGTCACGACCATGTTTCTCGATATGACACCAGTACACTGTATTTGTAAATAATAATGATAGCCTACATGAAGTACCAATGGAACAAATGTTAACATGTTTTGTCTTAATTAAGAAACGATATATCCAAAACAGTGATTTTATTGCTGAATGAAATCACTGTTTGGAGTTTGGATGGGAGGCATTGTAATTTGTAATGAGGTGGATCCAGACAACAAACAGTGATTTTAGAAAGAAAGAAGCAAGGAACTTTATACTCATTGTTTAGTACTGGTTGGTTCCAGCAATGGATTCAAGAGTGTGTCTATAAACATATGGTTTCCTACACAATCAAACTAAACTAGATTCTGAGTGTGTCTATAAACATATGGTTTCCTACACAATCAAACTAAACTAGATTCTGAATAGAATAAACTGAAAAGATTTAATATCTTGATTTTGAATCATGTCATTATAATATTTCAGCATTCAAAGATGTTGGCGTTGATGCTCAAATTGTTTCCCAGGATAACTTCATACATAAACAAAGGTAACAATTGGCTATATGTCTGCATTAGTAATAAATAAACAGTAATTTTCGTGTAAAGTAAGAATCTTAAGCCAATCTAAATCACTGTTCTGACAAAATTTATAAATATGAATTTAAACAAATTTCAGATTTTCATGAAAAAAGGAGATAAACTTGTGAGACGCTTCTTTAAAACAATGCATATCTTTAATACATTATTTCATTTCCGCAAATTTGTTGGCTGTTTTTTGTTATTGTGTTTTAAACAATGAATTAATACAATTTTTTGCTCTCTATATTGGAAACAGATACATACATTCATTTATTTATTCATTTCTGTTTCAGTGGACTGGTTGCTAGGGTTACATACAGATTAACCTTTAAAGGAGATGTGTTGACCCCAGGTGACCTTCAACCCTTAAATACAACAGTTCTCCAGAGCGCTCTGAAGTCAAGGTCATTAAATGAAGAATATACAGTCTTAGATAAATCACAAGTAAGTATCTGTGTTAAAGATTGATATAAGAAAGCCATGTTAAATTCAATATTCTATGTTGAAGATTGATATTCAAAAAGCCATGTTAAATTCAATATTCTATGTTGAAGATTGACATTTAAAAGCCATGTAATATTCAATATTCTATGTGGCAGATTGATATCTAAATTCCATGTTAAATTCTATATTCTATGTTGAAGATTGATATCTAAAATCCATGTTAAATTCAATATTCTATGTTGAAGATTGATATAAGAAATCCATGTTAAATTCAATATTCTATGTTGAAGATTGATATAAGAAATCCATGTTAAATTCAATATTCTATGTTGAAGATTGATATCTAAAATCCATGTTAAATTCAATATTCTATGTTGCAGATTGATATCTAAATTCCATGTTAAATTCTATATTCTATGTTGAAGATTGATATCTAAAATCCATGTTAAATTCAATATTCTATGTTGAAGATTGATATAAGAAATCCATGTTAAATTCAATATTCTATGTTGAAGATTGATATAAGAAATCCATGTTAAATTCAATATTCTATGTTGAAGATTGATATAAGAAATCCATGTTAAATTCAATATTCTAAAGTAAGTTTCTGTTGAAGATTGACATTTAAAATCTATGTTAAATGTAATATTCTAAAGTAAGTTTCTGTTGAAGATTGACATTTAAAATCCATGTTAAATTCAATATTCTAAAGTAAGTTTCTGTTGAAGATTGACATTTAAAAACCATGTTAAATTCAATATTCTAAAGTAAGTTTCTGTTGAAGATTGACATTTAAAAACCATGTTATATTCAGTATTCTAAAGTAAGTTTCTGTTGAAGATTTACATTTAAAATCCATGTAATATTCAATATTCTAAAAAAGATGTCAATTATTCTCAGAAACAGATGAAAATGTTAACTCATTTGGTTATGTAAAACAAGATGGTGGGAATCGATCACTTTCAAGAGCCCATGAATTTCACGCAAGGGATTGTGGGTCAGGATTGAAAATTTTTCTATTTTTAGAGCTTCTTATCCCTCTGTAATATATAAGTCTCTGATAATACAGGTTACAAATGTTGTGAAGTACAACCAGATGTTCACCATCAAAATGAAGAGAGCTTTACTAGAAACTGACAGAGCCCAGTTCAAACTGCAATTAAAACAAGCATGGATTGCATACAGAAGTGGTAAATATATAAAATCCTTTTTGAATTGTATTTTAACTTTAATGATTTGCATGTAAATAGTGAGTATGGTTTTTTGCTTTATGCTATATCTAGGCTTTTTAAGTGTTCATAAATTGGAACATTCCTAGAGCTTGAAAGGTTAAAAAAACAACACCTAACATGGTAAAATTTGCACTTATTTTATCAATTGTCGAAGCCCTGCAACAATTTATGTTTTATAAATGAAATGTTTGAATAAGATACATTTCAGCAATCATTGGAGCTAATATACTGTTGTAAATTTGATGATCTTTGTTGATACATATGTTTTCATTTAAATCAATCTATATTTACATTAAATGGCTTAAGACATTCCCAGATGTGTGACTTTGTAAAATATATTTAAATTTATTCTTTGCTTTCGGCATTTGTAACAGAATAGTACCGAATGCCTTCTAAGTGAAGTAAATGAAATTCTAATAATGATTATGAAAAGAATAAAATGATGGAAATGCAAAAAAAAATATCCTTTTAATTGAGTAACCAAGTAACAATACAGTTTTGTTTTTGAGTTGTGTATGCAATGTATTGATATGATAATTTGTTCTTTCAGATTCTACCATTGATGTGGAACTTCAGCTTCAAGAGGATTTTACAGAGACCAGCACAGAGTATGATTGCAGAACACTTTTCACTTATTCTGATATTTTTTTTATCAGGGGTGTGAAGGGGGGGGGGCTTGTTGTTTTATTGTTTTGGGGTTTTTTTTCTGGTTTCTTAAAAACATAAAAAATGTTCAGTTATACTGACTGTTGTAAAACTGTTTTTATTTCAATAAGAATATGATACAGGCAGAAAAAATTGGTAAACAATAATCCAAGAAAAACGTTTCCAGAAACTGGATATAATTATTAAAAAAAATGACTTCACATCCAGTTGATTATTTAATATTAATCAGAGATCAAAAATTCTACTCGTCTGCTTGTAATTACGAGCAGAATTTAAGAGAACTTGATGCAGGACGAGTAGAAAAATGTTGCCTGCACATTGGATAGTCATCCTGCAGGACGAGTGACTCTGAAAATATTTTTGATGCCTGATAATTATACATATCTAAAAGATCACTCTTGCTCATGATGAAAATTCATTCTTTCTTTGATTATAAATTATTTGCTTGTTGTTGTTTGTGTAGTGTTCATGTTGTTTATTAGGTTCTATTTGTTTCTGTTTGGCTAGACAACCCATATGGATGATAGCATATTCTGTGAAGAGCGGAAAGAAAATGTTGGACATACAAATTGATGAGGACATCCCTGTTTCCCAGCTTAATTCACACATAGACATGAAAGTGCATGGAACCAGTCAAAAATACTCTGAATCATTCTACTCTGTAAATGCAGATAAACTTGTCAGGTAAAGATCATGATTTCCATTATATAATCCTGTTTCAGTCCTGTTTTCGCATATAATGTCCAAGGGCAGGATAAAAATTCTGTTGAATTATGAGGGTCCTGTTGCAATATAAGGTGTTTTTTAAATAATAAAAGTATAAAGATAGAATTTAACAAGAATTTAACAAAATCACTTTACAAGGAAGATTTTAATGATTTCAAACTACTTCATCTTAATTATATGTTACAAAGTAAAAACAATATGAAATTTTATTTTTGTTGTTGTTTTAATTGGTTATTACATGTATATGGTGGCTGATTTCTGCCATTTCCTGTCTGCTCCTCAAAAGTCAAAGGCATAGGCACAATACTATGCTCACTTATTGTCTCTTTGACTTCAGAAGGTGCCGACACGAAGACACAATATATTAAAACGGGAAATATTGATATTTTAATAGGCCTAAAATTATCGTGTTGACGGGTAGAAATCTTCATATAGGCACCCTATATTTGTTGTTCCTTCGCCTCAAAATGCGAATGTCGAGACAGGATATTATCATGTCTTCGCCTATGACTTTTGAGGGGCGAAGACATGAAAAGGCAGAAATCAGCCACCATATTTATAATGTGTAATTTAGAACACTTAGACATAGTTATACATTGTATAAATGAATTTATTGTTTATTTCAGAAATTCTGATTTATTTATGATATACACTGTACATCGTATTGGTGAAGTAAACAGAGCTAAGTTTTCCAGCGCTCTGCGACAAACCTGGAACGCTAAATATGGCAGCAACAAAGTAATCAGTGTTGATATTGTAACTGAGGATGAGGTAGTTGATATGAAGAGGTATGTCAAATGTCTAAAGATTTATTTTGATATCTATTCTTAAATTCTGTGATAGGGTGATAAATTAGAGTATAGAATTAAAAAAAAAACAAAAAAAAAACAAAAAAAGAAATTTATCATTTAATATTAACATTTGCAAATTTGGTGTTGATGAATGTACATGTACTTTAATTGCATCATTAGACTATAGACAAACTCCGGAATTAACAATATTTGGGTTTTTCCCAGCTAATCATTTGCCGAGTTCCGGATAATGTCTATTCAGTTAATGTCATATATAGCTATCAATTTGGAGGCATACTTGCAAAGAAATATGGATAAAATAAACAAGTTGTTTCCCGTTATTCATTTAACAGCAGCGTAGCATTCTGGCGACATTCGTACAAAGTTATAACAGACTCACAGTCACCAGAATCCACAGCTCGAAATACACGTTCACTGCCGATAAACGACCTCACCAAGATAAAAGTAACAAATGTACATAACGAAGTATATGCAATTCTGCCATGGAATGGAATTGATGGTTTTATACCAATACCAAAATCTAAGACTTTTGGAATAGTTCTGTCACAAAGCATATTTGACGAGGATAGTGACCGTGTCCAAGATGTGGTCGTAAATGCTGTTGCTGCAAATTTGAATGGTATGATCTTCTTTTGCATGTTTTATCATGACTTTAAACAAGATGATGTCTTGATGTAGGTTTTTTATCTAAGATCTTATCATGTTGTTTTTATGCTTCATTTTTCAAAGAAGAAGGGAAGCTTTTTTGTAGTGTGAGTGTTGTTTTTTTACAGGTTTTAGTTTATTTCAAACATCCAATTGAAATTTCACATTGAAGCCATTATAATTCACTCCTCTATGATGATGAAGAACACTTACAAAGACACTTAACACTAGCATGGATTATTACTAAATTATCCTCAGTGATCTAAAGTGTTGTTTCTTTGTGTGCAGTTGGTTCAAATTCCCGCCATTGTATGAATGTTTTCTGGTGCATTTGCATGTTTCTCTTTCGAACTAAAAAATGTTTGTAAGACGTACAATACAGAATGTTATGTTTCTCTCAAATTTTATCTTTCATTTTTTTAAGGCATAGATGCAAAGGAATTGGCGATAATTGATGGACCTTCAACAAAAGTGATTTCATCTCAGAGGTACTTATCTTAACCCATTTCATGCTGGGAAAATTGCCGTCTGCTAAAAATGTTGTCTACTTTATTTTTGTTGATATTTGATTGGTCAATCTGGGCATTAACAATTTCTTTTATTGGCAACCCATTCTACAATTCGTAAGGGAGTTACACCAAACTTTCACAGGATGATGGTCTATGGCATAATGTGAGGAATTTGAATTTTATTATAAACTATTTTCACGTATGTAATATAATGTTCCCAGTTTAAAAAAAATTAGATCGTGTCATAGACATTGAGTTATTGATCAAAGCTATCCAGCCAGATTTTGGAAGGTCAGTGGTTCTGCCTGCATGCCAACTGATGCCTGAAATAATGCAGGAAGTAAAGCTGGATGGTACCACAATGGTTGTTATAGTATCTCTGTAAAAACCCATCAAAAATAAAATCTTCTTACAAAAATTACCTGTCTCTATATTTATAGCCAAGTGGGATGGGCGGTGACATATGTGTTACATTACAAGGGAATGCCACTCGATGCAAGATTTCAGCCACAACTTGACGTTTCCAAGGTACAAAGTGCTATAAACTTCACGTCGCCAATACACACATCGTATAGAGTACTTTCCACCTCCTACAATGGAGAGTTTAAGAATTACAGGAAGTCATCTGACCAGTTTACGCTCAATCTGGCTGGACTGGTTCCCACTTACGTAACATCAAAACTAGTACCAGTCTTGCAATCATCATGGGAGAGACAGTTGACAGGTATTTGATTAACACATTTTCCATGCTTATTTTGTTGAATCCACCTGACCTGCTTGGATTTTGAAATTGTTCATTGTTACTGTATTAGTGGTTAAGTTAACCTTGTGGAAATATTAGCAATTTCTGAAAACCACTAAAATTTCCACTCAGTATTAATATCAACCAGCCTGTCATTTTATTTTATCCTTGCACAATTCACTATTACTTCCTCATGTGAAATGTCTGTAACTTTGAATTTGCTTACTTTTTGGACACATGAAAATATCCACTTTTACAGTCTTTCAAGGGGGTTTTATGTCAAGGTAAAAACATTTTAAGATCTAAATTTATTTTAACTCTTTGGACATGAATTAAATTAAAAGTATTTAGCTCTTCCAAATCTTTTAAACAAGTACACATAACTAGAAACTTTAATTCTGATCATAAATAGACCCATGGACACCTGTTGTTTTAATTGCTGGAATCACATTAATGGACAATCATTAAGCGATTCTTTTTGTTGTTTCTTTTATAGTTTCTTGTTTCTGTTTATTTTCAGGGAAAAAGGTCAGCATTCAAAATTTACGAAGGGAGGAATACATTGGTACCAATGGGTAAGTTTTAACAAACAACAAATGTGATAAGTTACCATATTACTGTTCATAGAAGCTGGGGTAAATATAATTGGGCAAGCAATTGGTGATTAGCACCACTTTATTGGTTTGTCCAATCCAGAGCATGCTCTGCCATTTTGTCACATTATTTATTGTGACAGGGTATTGTCTGTAGTATACAGTGTAATAAAAGAAATACAACATACATAAAATTTAAATAGACCTTTAGTAGTTAAATGGTATTAAAATAATTCAATGAAAATCTATTAGTTTATACAAATTTATTTTAGTTTGATTGTGTTAGAGGCTATATAAGCTTATTGAAACACTCTTGGACCCATTCCTTGAACCAACCAGCACTAAGCAATGAGTGTAAATTTCTTACTCACAGAAACAATGGCTTTTCGCTGAAGAAGCTTGAGCCCAGGTGGCCAGCAACACTTACATTACTGGTCTCATCCAGGCCAGTCTGCACATCTGTGCCATCTAACCAGGCTCTGTACTGCTGGTATCCCAATGTTAGTAGTTTAATGTTGAAATCCCTTCAACTTGAATGGACTGTTCCAAATTCAAAGCTGGGAAAGTCCATTACAATAATTCAGAAGGTACAGGGTTAATGTGTGTACATGAAATAAATAAATTTATGTTACTTTTTTATTTCAGAATGACTGTAACAAAGATGTTCTATTTTGTTGACTCTGACCGCAAAGCTGTTTATCCATCATTGACCTTGACCCCTGACCCTAACAGTGTAGTATCCACGGCAACAACATCAATTGGGTCAACTGTACAGTTGTATACAGGGACGAACTTGGACAGTGTGGATTCTTGCTACAAACTGTTCCTATACAGTGGAAATCAAGAAGTCAATAAGGAAATGATACAAGAGTCTCTAATAGAAGCATGGAATGTCACCAAAAAATGTATGTTACTTGGATTTTCATATTAGATGATATAATACTGTCATATGTTACATAATTTTGTCATTGGAATAGCCGTCTTGAGGGTACCCCAACCAAGGGATGGATATTTCAATCTGAACACAAAGATTTCAGACATTATTTCTTGCATATTCTGCCTTAATCTTTTATATTTAAAATGGTTCACTTCAATAAGACATTTTTTCATGGAAATTAATGTCATTTCATCCATAACTTTTTTTCTTACAATAGCAGATAAATTAACAGCTTTAAACAGCGAAATGTTGTCATCCTAAGCACTGAAATGACATCATTTTAATGCAGTTTTTTCATAAAATGCGCAAAAATGACACCATTGTATGGCACACGACTCATCTGGCACCCCCCATGCCAGATGAAATTTCCGGCTTTGGTAAAAGTAACAGAAACGCCAATTTGCTATGCAAGAAAATATTTTGTTAAAAAAGTCGCAGTATTTTCCAGTGCTTACAGTATTTCATTGTTACCAAGCATTTCAAACTTTTAAAATCTTCCTTGTACAATGTGCATGAAATTCATATTGAGGAATTTTATGTCAGTTAAATAAAATGCATTATTTAATTTTACGCATGAAATATGGTGCTATATCAGTCAAATGTATTTCATATTTTTTAAAAATAAATATGAAATATAAATATGAAAGTGGGCGGAGTCAAAACTCATATTTATTTTAAAGGACTTCTTTCGCCATTTTATTTGAAAAATCTGATAAATACAAAACAACTTTTTGTTGAATTTTGTTTTGAAAACTATCTAGAATGATAGGAAATGGTCTAACTAAGAAAATAATATCCGAACACCAATATCTTTATTTCAGTTATTAACGCTGTATAGACGTTTAAAGAGTTGTTTACGTGACGTCACAATGTAGCGTCAAATATCTCGTGCAAAACAAGACACAATTATATATTACTGCGCGCTGTACAATTGCAGTTGCGTAGCTTGCAGTTGAGTCTGTCATCATTTTTCTCTGATAATGAAATTAAATAAAAAGGTTATTTTTTCGTTTTTCGTGAAATATGGTATATATTTTCACTCAACATGATAAAATGCCACATATTTTCACTCGCCGTCCCGGCTCGTGAAAATATGTGACATTTTATCATGTTTCGTGAAAATATATTCCATATTTCACTCAAACGAAAAATATCCTCTTAATATTTAAGAAATATTTTGACCAAACAAATATGACATTATGTGGCTTAAGTTCATAATAAATCCTAGGATAATTGTGAATATGATAATTATTTATACCTTAATTTTTCAGTTTTGTCAGCAGAGGTTAAAATATTGAAAACAGAAAACTACATTGGTTCCTTTGGGTATGTATAACATAAAATAAAATAACAGTTTTGTATCACATATAGGTTAAGTAAGCTTTACTTGCAATGCCAGCTTGTGTCTGAAATAATGCATTTTGGGGTTGGGGTGGGGGGGGGCATCAGACTGACGTCTTTCTCCTTCAGGAAAAGCTAGAAAATTACTTTTAGACCTTAACCTTTATGCCAAAACCTTCATTACCAGTTATAATATGTAATACTAGTATTCTTGCAAAGGAGGGGATGGATAAATTGATCAGATTAAATTTTTATGCTTGATTTTTTTCTTAATCAAATATTTTTATGTTGGTATACTGTGAAGAATATATGAGCCGCGTCACGACAAAACCAACATAATGGGTTTGGGACCAGCATGGATCCAGACCAGCCTGCACATCCGCACAGTCTGATCAGGATCCATGCTGTTCACTATCAGTTTCTTTACATGTTATAGGGTCTGTAAGCGAACAGCATGGATCCTGATCAGACTGCACGGATGCGCAGGCTGGTCTGGATCCATGCTGGTCGCAAACCCATTATGTTGGTTTTGTCATGACGCGGCTCAATTATATTTTAACATTTCAGATCTCAGCTGACTGGTTACTTATACACAATATCATACTTAAAAAATGATAGAAAATCCTTTGTAAAAGCGGAACCAGAATATATGTTGGAAGCAGACTCAAGTCATATAAGAAATGCACTTACTGGTGCCCGGCTGTATAGTGACAAAGTTAAACTGCGGTAAGTGATCAAATATGTCTGATACATTGATGAAGTTTAAGCTGATTTTAAAATTTAACAACAAAATGTTTCTTAATTTTGATGACAATTTTCTTTGACAATTAATCAAAATAGATGTGATTTGCATTTCTTGAGTAATTATCCCCCGCCGATGTATCAGGGGATATTGTTTTGGCATTGTCCGCCCGTCCTTACGTACGAACCCAGAGGTCCTTGTGTGACTTGGAGAACAATGGGTAACAGTAAATTCTCTTTGATCCTATTCATTCCGTTTTTACTTGTTTGCCTTTTTTAAGCCTTGTGTGACTAAAGATGGCCAAAAAGATTAAAGGAAAAGTCACATAAGTACCATTTTCTAAGTACGTCCGTCCATCCGCGCTACTTCTCTGCCACTACTGGCTGGAATTCAATGAAACTTTATGGGAATCATCAATATCAAGAGGAGATGTGCATATCGTCGGCTTGTTCCAGTCAGACCTTTTAACTCAGAGTTTTGGCCCTTGGATTAGTATTGCATTATGCATATAGAGCAAAAATCGTTTCCGCGCTACTTCTCTGCAACTACTTGCTGGAATTCAATGAAACTTTATGGGAACCTTAAATACAAAGAGGAGATGCGCATGTCATTCCCTTGTTCTGATCAGACACTTAAACTGAGAGTTATGGCCCTTGATTAGTTATGCAGTATGCATATAGAGCAAAAATCGTTTCCGCGCTACTTCTCTGCAACTACTTGCTGGAATTCAATGAAACTTTATGGGAACCTTAAATACAAAGAGGAGATGCGCATGTCATTCCCTTGTTCTGATCAGACATTTTAACTCGGAGTTATTGCCCTTGATTAGCTATGCAGTATGCACATAGAGCTAAAATTGTTTCCGCGCTACTTCTCTACAACTACTTGCTGGAATTCAACAAAACTTTATGGGAACCTTCAATACCAAGAGGAGATGTGCATATCATCAGCTTGTGCCGGTCAGACATTTTAACTCAGACTTATGGCCCTTGATTAGTTATGCAGTATGCATATAGGGCAAACTTTATGGAACCTTCAAAACCAAGAGGAGATGCGCATATCATCGCCTTGTTCCGGTCAGACACTTACTCTGAGTTATGGCCCTTGATTAGTTATGCAGTAGGATATAGAGCTACTTCTCTGCAACTACTTGCTGGAATTCAATTAAACTTAATGGGAACCATTAATACAAAGATGAGATGTGCATTATTTGTTGCCTTGTTCAGCACACCCTTCATTACAGAGTTATGGCCCTTGATTAGTTATGTAGTATACATATAGAGCAATATTGCTATTTCTTTGCAACCGCTGGATTGATTTCAACAAAACTTTATGAGAACCATAGATACAAAAAGGCAATTTACATCTCATTGCCATGTCCAGATATTACTATTTAACACAGAGTTAAGGCTCTGTTATTACCCTGAATATTTATTATGTACAAAGAATATGACTGTTTACCCCATGATAAATATATAAATAAAGCCTTATGTCTTCCATTGTTGAATTAGTAATAACCAGTACTTGGCGGGGGATATTAATTCAACGAATTTGCTTGTTTTTATCTAGTCTGTTTAAGAGAAAAAGTGGAGCAGTCATGATCGCAACATCCTTGTTGTTCATGTTGTTATAGTGTTTTTTTTTGTTGTCATGTGAAACCTTAAATGTGTCCCTTTATTTAAACATTTTAAAACATATCAACAAGAAAGTTGGAATTCTTTTAAGATGCAGTTGTAAGACAAGGAACATGATTCTAAAAGCTATTGTTTTGGATATGTTGCTCTTTTTTACTCCACATGTGATTCTCTTGTTTCGTATTATGGTTGTTACTGTAATAAGAATGCCGATATTTTTTGCTTAAGTTTCTTTGATCACAGTTGCTGAGTGATATATTATTTTCCCAACCAGCTAGCTTACGGAACTTCTGTGGTTCTACTCAGGTTCCTGTTGGTGCCTGAAATGATGCACAAAAGGGCACCTAAGGTGTTCCTCCACCAGTGAAGCTCAGGAAAGGATCTATATGACCTATACTGTGTTTGTGTGACATTTAAACCCAACAAAAAGAAATATATCAGTGTTCCCACTTCTAGTTTTCATTGGGGATACGTATTTTTACCCCTAATTTACCTTTGAAAACTGGGGGTAAAATAAGAATTCAGGGGGTACATAAGTTTGTACAATAATTATATGAATTTCAGAAATTATGAAATAAAAGGATAATTCCAAAACCATACATCAGAAAATTATGCTGTTTTCTTCAAGATTCGATCCAACCCCCCCCCCCCCTTTTTAGGTAAAATTCATTGTGACCAATACTTTAATTCTAAACAGCATATAAATTGTTACTACACACCTTTGAACAAAACAAAGCTTCCCTTTTTCTGTGATGTTTTTAATTAACAAAATCGGCATCGCGAAAATATGTGACAAATGAAAATTTGTCTGTTTTCTGCAGAAACATTCACAATTCCAGTTGTTGCTGATTACAATTATATTAGAATTAATATTTTTTTAATATTTCAAGATTGTTTTTCATCGGCTATGCTTACAGGCATCGTAAAACAAAAATTTCAAATTTTTGAATTACGGCAATAATTCCCAGTGGGGGTCCGTAAACTTAATTGTGAATTGGAAGATTTTCTCACATTTGATCAATTTCAATGCACTTTAAGTGTTTTTTTGTTTGAGTAATTGTTAAAAAAATAATTTTTGAATTATAAATGATTAAGTTTCCGACTTTCTGTGCGTATTTTTACCCTCTTGCCTAAATTTCTATACGTGAATTTTGGCATTTATGCGTAAAATACGCACATATGTGCGTAAATGGGAACACTGTATATATAACTTCCCTCTCTCTTGGGGTTGATTTTTCTGTCAGTGATTCTATTGTGGTACCTGCTTGCACTGGAGACCTGGTAAAGGAGGGTTCTCTTCAACCAGGAAAGCTGGATACCATAGTAATGACCTTGACATTGTCCATGTCACTTTAGTCTCTGACTAAAAAAAATTTATATCTTTTTATCAAATTTATTTTTTCTTTTACAGTCAAGCAGATTTACACCAGGTGCATGTGTCTGGAACGCTTAGTAGGTCAAAGGTTTTGAAGCTTGAAACTACTCTTCAGAAGCTGTGGAACACTTCAGTATTTGAGGCACAAAAGGTGGTGAAGAATGTATCAGTTACTGTTGTAGGGGTTGAGGATACTGTTGACATGGCAACAAGGTGATTTTATAATTTTTCAATTATTTTCTTTATATAGATAAACAGGATGAAATTGCCCTTATTATTTAATCTAATACAATTTTTTGTGCTTAAACTTTATTCAGACTTTTAGCTATTGTTGGCTTTTCTTAAAGGCACATAAGGCTTTAAAAACAAATATTTTTTTCTTCTGTAGAAAAGCAAACGTGAGTTTTAAAATGTTTAGATAATGGTTTTAGAACATGTTAGATGCTTATCATTTGAAGAAAGTAGCAGTGAACAATGATTGCCATAAAAATAGCAAAATGTAAACAAAGTAGTATTTTGACTTCCATACAAAATAATATAACTGTACTAATTGCTAAAAAAGCAACAGAAGTAAAAAATGGTCCAGGTAATTTGCCATTAAGTCCCTTTTTGGAAATTACAAATAGAGACCAAAAATAAAAACAGGTTTTGAGAAATAAAAGTAAGAGCAATTTTAGGACATGATGGGCCTTTAACAATTTCTTACATTCAACAAATGTACTTAATTATCTGAATTAAAAAAGATTTAACATAATTAATGAAGATTTAACATATTTTAGAAATTTAAAAAACCTGTACCAGTCTCTTACTAAATTTTGATAATGGACTTGTCAGCCAGTCTATTGTTAATATTAGAGGATACCAGAATTAAGCAACAGTGTTGTCAGATTGCAAGCAACCCTATTGTTTTATACTGGTGATATTATATTTCAGTCAAGTTATTCCAAAAGTGTCTTATACACTCAAAGTAGCAGACGCAACTGTTGCATCATGGGAAACACATCCTTTATCAAGTGATAATGTCGAAAACGCAGTGACAGAGGACTTTGGCTCGGATTTGGAGTTATGGACAAACCTAACAAATACACTAAAGGAGCTGTACTTGGAAGGAAATGCCAGAATAAACTATGGCAAGAAAGTGGACATTGTGAATGCAGTTGTGAAGGCTTATTCAAGTGCTAATAATGGTATATACAATAAACTAACTGTAAAGTGCCCTTGTGGCCAACTGGTTTAGGTCATTGAATTTGAGTTAAATGCCCCTCAATGGTTAAAAAGTCACAGGGTAAACAAAATGTGCAGTCTGACCTGGACCCGAACCAGAGACCTCAGAATACTGACTAAGCAATCAGGCCGGTAACACACCTCTTCCCCTAAATAGTGAACAGTTTTAAACTGTGATATACTCCCCTGTTATACTGAAATTCATCCTCAAATTTCTCAGGGTCACAGAGCAACGTAAATTAAACTCTGAGCTATATTCAGTCACAGTCTCCCAAAATATGAGCGAATTGTCCATTTAGATTATAATACTAATTGGTGCCAGCTTGTATCTGAATTCATTAAGGGGCTTCTGAGGTCTTCTGCTGCCTTCTGCTGCCAGTAAGACTGAAAAATCTGTATATACACATGTATGTCCTTTTACATTGCTAATCTGACTTAAGACCCCACTTCACTGTTGTCAGTTTATTTACAACAGAGACTTTCAATTCTTACATGTGAGGAAGCTTTTCAGCTAGCTTATGAAAAGTCATTGGTTCTACTCAGGTGCCTGTTCATGCCTGAAATTATGCACTGAGGGCCATCAATAAAGCTGGAATGTCGCCATATAACCTATACTATGTTCATTCAACGTAAACAAAAATTGCTTAACATTATTAAAAAAGGTTTTAAACAGTTTAATAACAATGTATTGTAATGAATTATTTTACTGTGTGATTATCACTGTTTATAACATGCTTTTCGGTGGTTTATAGAAATATATCAGTGATATAAAACTGGTAATTTCACTGTTTTAAACAGTGAAATTATCAATTTGATAATTTCACTGTTTTAAATTTATGCGCCTTACGTTGTTGTAGTGAAATACCAGCGTGCACAGTACTGGGAACCAACTTAATGACGTGACGTCGTAAATGACGTCACGTTGTATTATTATTTGGCGCGCTTTTCATTCAATATTAGGTTAAATGTCTTTTTAAAACGTTTCTTTGCATATAATAAAAAGAAAATTTGTATAGTTAAATGTAAGATCGAAATATATTTCACCTTGTGAACACCAAAAGTTCATATTTCACTCGTGGCTGCGCCACTCGTGAAATATACCTTTTGGTGCTCACTCGGTGAAATATATTCCGATCTTACACTGAACTAAACAAATATCCTCTATATTATAGAGTGATTCTGTGGACCTGAATATTGACTCCTTTAATTTTTTAAAAAATTAACTTTTGGATTTCAGGTATCATGTTTTGAAACTTATAGTTAAATCTTTTTCTATAATCACATCTGATTTTCATTTATAGAAATATTGATATAAATATTGAGGTGATGTCTAAATACATTTATAGACTTGTCATGTTTTTCCAGTGAGTGGTGACAAAGTAGATCTTAAACTGGTTGAAGAACAGGACCTCTCAACAGCAGACTATGTTACTGATGATAACTGGTAAATTTTGATGAATTAATGTACAGAATTATAAAGTTTTAGAAGAATTTGAATTTTGAACAATTTACTTATGTTCTTTTACAAGCTGGGCGGATCTGAGTAATATGGTTTATGCTATATTTATCTCTTTTTTTGTCTTTTTTTATTATTTAATACATGTATTTGTTTAGCTGGCCAAGAAATGTACATATCATATTGCGCTTTATTATTTATAGTACTAACAAGGGGAGTGATTTCCTAGAGGTTAAGATGTTTGCCTCTAAACCCAGGGATCATGGGTTCAAGCCCTATTTGGGTCATGACCATGTTTTTTCATATGACACCATCACTGTTTGGTTCAAGGAAGCGGACTGAAAAGTTATTGATATAAGTTGCAAGAACTTGTTTCGCAATCCAGCTTAAAATGTTAAAAACTACAGTAAAGCATCAAACTGGCCAATAAATAATTATTGTATAATATTGTTTTGTTCAATATTTTTTAAGAATAAAGTCATCATGTTATAATTATATTTGTAGGTCTCCTGTCTCAGTTTTCAAATATGGTATATCTGTTAACAATATGAAAGCAGACGACATTTCACCTCCTTCTAGTGAAGAGTTAACAGGTGCATTAACTCCCTTGAATCTAAAAACCACTGGTGTTGCTAGGAAACTAAGAAAGATGTATCTGGTTGGGGCTAAAGCAAGTCTGAATTATACAGCAGTAGCATCATCTCTGTCAGCATCGTGGGCACAAGCTAATACAGGTATTGTTGAATTTTCCTGATAGTTTTGGTTGTTTTCTTGAAAGCGTAAAACACAAGCTGTAAGAATTAGATTTCATAATTTGAAAATATTTATTGCTTGTTGAACATTTTCAGTATATTTTATAGAATGCAGACAAAGTGTAATGACAAATCTACATTTCTTTCAAACATTATGTTTTGTAATGATAATGTTTTACTGCTAATGTTCCAGCATTCATAGTCTATGGACCATAGATCATGCATAATACATGTATTTGTATCCTGTCTGTCTGTTTGTCTATTAACTATTTTTACCTTTGACTATAATATTTTCATTCTTTAAGGGTTCAGTCTTAAAAACAACATACCTTATTATGAAAGAGAGTTAAATTTTTTTGAATATGATTTTGACCCCTGAATGACCTTGACCTTAAAGTTCAAATTTTCAACAAATTTTCAAATTTCAGAATGTGATTTTAAAATTTGTTGATATAATGATTTTGTAAAAATGTCTGTTTTTGTGTATTTTTTGGACTTATTTTTTTTCCTTTAAACTGTTTATTTGTACTTACTTATTATGATTTCAGATCTTAGCAAAGCTTTTGTTGGTGTTCATGTACAGAAGTCATCTACTAGACATACAAGAGACACTGCACTCAGTTCTGAATACATGCTGGTTGGCAAAAATGGGTAATTTATTTGTATATTTAAAAACGACATACATCAATTATTTGAAAATGTTGTATTTTTCAAAGTAAAATATCTACCTGTTTACGCAGAGCATATGTCAAAAAAAAATCTCCCGTTTGGCAAATCTGATTCAGACAAGTTTTACTGTAGTCAATAGTCAGAATGCTTAAAGTTGTAACACATTCTAATATCATATTCACCAAGTGTATGTGGTTATAATTCCCAGTGTACACAGGTTCAACTGTATTTGATAGATATTAAAATTCTAATTTCCTATAGTTAATAATTATAACATATACAACATATACCTTTAATTTTCAGTGAAGAAATCACTCCTGTGAAGTTCACAGTTTCTGTGAATGGTGAGGAACCTAACAATGCTATTGTGTCCCCGCCCGAGGATCCTGTTCTAAATCAGAACCTTAAACAAGCCAAGACATCAACGTGCGGATGCAAGCCACGTGCACAAGGTCATGTGACATTAGTAGGAAAAACAGCAGATACTGAACACGCGATGATTCTCAAAGCTGTAAAAAAAGCCGTGGATAAAGAAAATTCAGGTAAATTTCATGAATAATGTATCATTTTTGGTTTTAGGTATTTTAACATCTCACACCTTCAGCACTAACAGCTAAGTATAAGAAAATTTTCAGCACTATAATAGCTAAGTATAAGAAAGTTTCCAGCACTGAAATTTTTAGCACTTACAGCTAAGTATAAGAAAATTTTCAGCATTAACGGCTAAGTATAAGAAAATTTTCAGCACTACAATAGCTTTATAAGTATAAGGAAGTTTTCAGCACTGAAATTTTCAGCCCTTACAGCTACCAGTAAGTATAAGGAAATTTTCAGCACTAACAGGTAATTATAAGAAAATTTACATCACTAACAGCTAAGTATAAGGAAATTTTCATCACTAACAACTAAGTATATGAAAATTTTTAGCACTAACAGCTAAGTATAAGGAAATTTTCAGCACTTACAGCTAAGTTTAAGGAAATTTTTATCACTAACAGCTAAGTATAAGGATTTTTTCAGCACTAATTACAGCTAAGTATAAGGAAATTTTCATCACTAACAGCTAAGTATAAGGAAAGGAATATGTCACAAGTATACAGCGGGCCAAATCTGGTAGAGATTGCAGTCAGACCAGGCTCTATCATCTCGGCTACTCATTCTAAGTGCTGTAACAATTCCTTTAACTTCTAAAAAACTGTTTCAAGTTTAATGTCCGACCAACTTATAACATGAATTTTTTATATTAAAAGTTAACAGCAGGGAAAGATATTACTATGTCTGACATGGTTTTGTATAATATGGTCAAAATATTATTTGTTATGTTTACAGGTGTTCCATCTGATCATTTATCTGTAGAGATCATTAAAGTTGATGATTCACAAGATAATGGGTAAGTTTATACTAGATATGTGAACCTCTGTTTAACCTTTTCCCTTATATAAGCGTGTTTCGACAGCTTTTTGCCCCCCCCCCCCTTTTGAGGCCTCAAACAGTGAAAAAATGCCCTATTTAGGCCCCAAACACTGTTTTCCGTTTGAGAAATGTTGTGTTGCCAGAAGGGGGATGTGCCCCCTTCTGTTTGGGGGGTTTGAAGGGGGGCGGAATCCCCCTCATCGCCAAGAAAATTTTGGACATGTGACAGGCTAAAAATGGCCTCAGGTCGATCTTAGGGTAACTAGTAACCGACGCTGAAAAGCCTTTTACTCTATCTCAATTCATTGAGAAGCTGTCGCACTTTGAAATCAGTTTTGATGGAAAAAAACAATGCAAAATAGTGATTTTTGGCAATTTTGAGACGTGCCCCCGTTGCCATGGTAACAGGAAATTTACAATTGAGCATGCTGTTACAGAGGCTATGGTGGTGTAGTCAACATTTGTGCCAAGTTTCATTAGTATTGAAGCATTTTTCATAGTTTCATAGCAGTTTGAACTTGTTACAGGAGGCTTTTCAATGAAAACGGCCATTTTTCGCAATATGCTCATGGGGTAAAAGGTTGAAGACATCCTTTTAATGGAAAACCTGTACTGAACAAAACCTTTTGATTATCTGTTGATTTAAATTGGATATTTACATGACTTTATAATTCACAGAATTGTACTTTTAAAAAATTAACAATTTATGAGGACTCCTAATAATTCAGTTACGGTAGATAAATTTATTTCTAGATATAAACTATGAGAAAACCCCATAATTGTATTTTTGCTCTTTAGGCTAATAGATGGAAATAGCAATTCACTTCATGATATAAGGAAGGAATGGGAAAATTTATTTTTGTTAGCGTCACTATAATAGGTTATATTTTCGTGTGTTTGTTTTACAGAAATGATATATCAACAGTGACATATAGAGTGGATTGTATAAATAACGCTTGTGACGTGGAATTATTGAAAGCTCCCAGCAGGGCTGTGCTGGAAGAATCACTCGGACAAGTCGGGAAAACTTTATACTCAAAAGCAGAACCTACAGAAAAAGAGGAGGTAAGGTTATGTTTAAAGATATGATATGGTTATATCTGCCAGTGTGAAGAACTATATTTACCATGTTAAATCAATGGTTTTCTGTTCATGTTCAAATTCAAGTTGCTGGCTGCCAGTTGATCTTCGGCAGATTCTTTTAAAGAGCTGGCTTATTTAGTCATTTGTCTGAGGTCATCTTCTGTGTAACCTTTATGTGTGTTATTTATGAATATTATATTTTTATTTAACTATGGATATGAGTGATTGTTTTTGTGTATGTAAGCAGTAAGAAATTTAGATAATTGGCGATGAATCTCATTTTCAATCTTTGTAAGTACCAAATTTGTATGTACACACCAAATTTATCAGTACATGTATCAGGGTGAACTCAGAAATAAGAGGCTGGTACTAGTGTCATGTGAGGAACAATGGTCATGACCATTTTAAGACTCAAACCCACATCTCAATGTTGAGAGGCAGACATATTTATTGCGTGGCCTCAACTCCGCTTTTTTTTTTTGGATAGAAACTAAGTTTGAAATTTTTGCTGATACATGTATTATAAACATGATCTTTTTTTCTACAGAATAAATGGTTGATACCAGTGGCTATAGCGTGTGGAGTTGTACTATTTGTCATCATAGTTAGTGTTATATGCTGTATCATGTACAGAAGAAGGTATGGTATACCGTTTTAGTATCTTCACCTATAGTGTCCTACACAATTCCTCTACCATCCATTAGACCCATTCCTGATTCTGAGTCCTATGGTTTTTTAGATACAAGAACTTAGAAATTTCCTGCACCCTTTTTTTCTGAGATATTCGTAGAAAACTTTATGTACATGTATCCAATCTGTTTTGAAATATGCATATGTGTAATAAATATATTCTTTCTTTTCTAAATCCGAATATATGTAGAGCTTTAAACTATTGGAACTGTCATATTTAAAGCTTTGCTGTTCTGTTAGGGCTTTATATTTAAAAATGACACAAGCCTCTATTGTGATTTGATGAAAAAGATTAAGTGGAAAATTTTCCTGTTGAACTGACGAGGCAGGGGGCTGGTATTTCCAGGTAATCTGTAATTTGGTATTTCCCCCACACCCCTGGCCCTCTTAACATCCTTGAAACACACCCAAGATCTGTTGCAAAGATTGCATGCATGTACAAGTACACAACCCCTTTTCCTACAATTTTTTTTTAAACTATACTCTGTGTGCATTGAAAATTTGTTGAAAATAATGTATGAACCTTGAGTCTTTGTTTGTCAAATTGTTATATAACCTACATGATAAGGAACACAAAATGTTTAGATATTTTTCCCTCCATCTTGTCCATATAACAGTGTGCACATCCCATCTCACTTCCCTCATATTTTTGCACCTTGCTTTGTGTTTTACAACATTTTTCATATGGTTTTTGAGGTGAAGGAACCTGTATATTATTTTTGCATAAATGCTTAATATTTAGCATCATTTTCATTTAATGTATTGGCTAAAAATAGGTAAAGATTTAATGCATTTGTAACGGAGTCTTTAAGAAAACACCAAGCACTGGCATCTAAGATTGTTGCTAACCTAAGTATTATTTTCTTTTATCAAGGACATGATTCTTATAGGCTGAGCTTATCAGGTTATTTGGTTTATAATGTAAATAGAATATGAAAATAAATGTTAACAAAATTATAAGCAAATCAAGTTATTTGGAGCCAGATTACATAATTAACAGAAAAACAGCATATGAAAAAAACAACAACATTTAAAATGAAAATAATGTAAACTGACATTGCAAATAAAATTATTTGCAATTTTCAGAAAACAGGATAAATGGAGGGTGGAAAGGTCTGCACATGTAAGTGGTATATGAAATTATATGTGCATAAGGGATTACATGTAATATCTAGTTTACAGGTGCTTTTTTATGTATAAAATACAGTAGACCGTCTTTGCATGTTCAACTGATAAAAAATAGTAGATAACCATCATGTGCATGCATATATATTTATAATAATTATGTGCTAGAACAGAGGTGTTTTTGCATGTAGATTTTGTCATGTGTAAGTGCTTTTGTTGACTTATAAGAAATGGTTCTCAAGATACCTTTCCATGGAAATGCTTATTCTGGTGGTGCCCATTTTTTGTGACTTCATGAGGTTAAGGTCGTTTATTTTGCCCATTACCTCTGGGAGTTGAATGACTTTGAATTCTTTTATAAGGGAAAATTATGCAAATAACTTATAGAAGTTTTATGGTTCTACCTGGGTACAAGTTTGTGCCTGCAATAATGCATTGGGACATCTGAGATCTTCCATCACCAGTAAAGCCGGAAAGTTGCCATATGACCTTAACCATGCCTGTGTGTCTTAAACCCAGCCTAGCCAATTTCTCTTCTCTGAATTTTAATTTATAAATGCTTATAACTGCAAGCTTTCTAATTAACTGTACATACCTTAAATGAATTTAGAAAGATTTAAGAATGCTGGTGTTAAATAATAAATTTTGTTCTGGTATAGTAGTTCTTTTATTTAACATATTAGAGCATTATAGAGCTAGTTAGCATTTTATTCATTTTACATTATTACATATATCAGATTACTTCATCATTCATAAGTATTATATTCATAAGCATGATAACTTTTCTTATAACCTTAAATTTATAATCTTCCTCACCAATTTTAGATAATTTATGAAGTTTTTTTTATCTTTTTTTGTGATAATTACTTTATTTTATTACTGAATTTGGCTATAGACTTATTTTAATTTTGGTGGCTGTAAATAGTCGCCCATTCTTTATCACAGTGGTGCACTAGCTTTCTTTATCTTTGTGATTTATATTGATTCCAACCAAAATAAAGTCTAGAACAAGTCTAATACCACTGAAGCTTGGGCTATGGATGCATGAGGGATGTCGAGCATTTTTTTAGCTCACCTGTCACAAAGTGACAGGGTGAGCTTTTGTGATCACTTTTCGTCCGGCGTCCGTCCGTCGTCCGTCCGTCGTCCGTCCGTCGTCCGTAAACTTTTACTTTAAATGACATCTTCTCATAAACCACTAAGCCAATTTCAACCAAACTTCACAGGAATGTTCCTATGGTGGTCACCTTTGAAAATTGTTCAAAGAATTTAATTCCATGCAGAACTCTGGTTGCCATGGCAACCAAAAGAAAAAACTTTAAATATCTTCTTCTAAAAAACCCAAAGAGCTAGAGCTTAGATATTTGGCATGAAACATCTTCTAGTGAGTGTCTACCAAGTTTGTTCAAATAAAAGCCCTGGGGTCAAAATTGGCCCCGCCCCAGGGGGTCATTGATTTTCCCTATATGCATATAGTAAAAACTTAAAAAATCTTCTTTTAAAGAACCCAAAGATCTAGAGCTAAGATATTTAGCATGAAACATCCTCTAATGGGTGTCTACCAAGTCTGTTCAAATAAAAGCCCTGGGGTCAAAATTGGCCCCGCCCCAGGGGGTCATTGATTTTCCCTATATGTATATAGTAAAAACTTATAAAATCTTCTTTTAAAGAACCCAAAGAGCTAGAGCTAAGATATTTAGCATGAAACATCCTCTAATGGGTGTCTACCAAGTTTGTTCAAATAAAAGCCCTGGGGTCAAAATTGGCCCCGCCCCAGGGGGTCATTGATTTTCCCTATATGTATATGTAAAAACTTATAAAAATCTTCTTTTAAAGAACCCAAGAGCTAGAGCTTAGATATTTAGCATGAAACATCCTCTAATGGGTGTTTACCAAGTTTGTTCAAATAAAAGCCCTGGGGTCAAAATTGGCCCCGCCCCAGGGGGTCATTGATTTTCCCTATATGCATATAGTAAAAACTTTAAAAAATCTTCTTTTAAAGAACCCAACGAGCTAGAGCTTAGATATTTAGCATGAAACATGTTCTAATGGATGTCTACCAAGTTTGTTTAAATAAAAGCCCTGGGGTCAAAATTGGCCCCGCCCCGGGGGTCATTGATTTTCCTTATATGTGTATAGCAAAAACTTAAAAAGTCTTCTTTGAAAAAAAAACAAATAGCTAGAGTTTAGATACTAAGCATGAAACATCTTCTAGTGAGTGTCTACCAAGTTTGTTCTAATAAAAGCCCTGGGGTTAAAATTGGTCCCGCCTCGGGGGTCATTTATTTTCCTTATATGTGTATAACAAAAACTTAAAAAATCTTCTTTAAAAAAACTCAAATAGCTAGAGTTTAGATATTAAGCATGAAGCATCTTCTAGTGAGTGTCTACAAAGTTTGTTCAAATGAAAGCCCTTGGGTCAAAATTGGCCCCGCCCCGGGGACATTCATTTTCCTTATATGTGTATAGCAAAAACTTAAAAATCTTCTTTGAAAAAACCCGAATAGCTAGAGTTTAGATATTAAGCATGAAACATTTTCTAGTAAGTGTCTACAAAGATTGTTCAAATAAAAGCCTGTGGGTCAAAACTGGCCCTGCCCCAGGTGTGTCATTGTTTTTAACTATATGTGTAAAGAAAAAACTTGACCAGCTAGACCTTAGATGTTTAGCATGAAACATCTTCTAATGGGTGTCTACCAAGTTTGTTCAAATAAAAGCCCTGGGATTTAAACTGGCCCCGCTCCGGGGGCCTATATACAGGTGAGCGACTTCAGGGCCATCATGGCCCTCTTGTTTGTTTTCCTGAACACACGCAGCCGCAGTTAACATTTGCATGTATTTTTATTATGACTATTTAGTATACTGTATTTTAGATGATTATGTATATAAATGAATATTGAGTAATTTTCAAATCTTTGGCATATACCCATGTTTTCTTGAAGAAATGTAAACATCGTGTAACTAGCAGTCATGTGTTAGTGAATTCAGAGTAATATTTAAAGATATTTAGTTTAAAGTTATATTACAATAAAGAAAAACAACGTCTTTCCATTACTGTTAGATACTAAGTGGACAAATTCATATGCAAATTTACTCTGTATTATATCCAATAATTGAAAAATAAGCAATATATTTTACCATAAAAATTGACAATTTATTGAGGTATTCATCCACTAAAAAGCATGTCGAAAGACATTAAGTAGTATGTGCTGTTCTTTTTTTCTCTTCTCTCTTGTGTTAATGCCTGTTTGATATTTAAAGGATATGACATGTGACAATTTATATGCATATTTTTAATGATAATATAAAGTCAATCACCATAAAGAGTTATGTTTTTTGGATACTCTTCAGGCACAGAAAGAAGGGGGATTTCAAGCAACAGGAAGTGCAAGTGAATGAACATAACAACTTTGATAAAGAGCATTTCAGCGATCCAGCAGTTTTTGAAAATCCTGCATACCAAGTTGAATACAAGGAACGTATGTAATACTCGATTATGACATCATCATTGTACAGTGTGTGACATCACGTTATTTATGGCAATGAGCCAAATTTCTGACAGGAAGTTGATGCTGGAAAATGATGAAATTGTACAGATTCACCCTCAGGAATTTGCAGCAATTACTAAATAAACAGTGCTCACTGGTTATAAGCCTATGTACATATCTGACTTTTGTCAAGGTCTTTCTTCTATTACAAAAGGGTACAAAAAAAATACAATAGCAAGTGTTAGCAATATATTTTATATTTTAATTTTATATTTCTTTTGACATTTTAGATTTTGGCAGGACAAGTGTATTTTTTACTTATTTACCAAGTTTTTTTTCTCTGCAGTGAAAAACATACAGGTAAAATGTAACGTACCTGTATTTTTCTAATACAGTTTATCTTTTTTCTGGTACAAAATAATTGTTTATTTTGTTACATATACATTAAAAGAAATTATTGTTGATATGTAAATATAGTATGAAGACTGCAGATCTGAACATTTCAGTGAAATGGGTAATTTAACTGTTAACGTCATATATATTTACATGTATATTTGTTATTGTATATTATTATTATATAACTTTTTTATATACATGTATATTAAGTTTTAATGGGAATTATTTATATATTTGACAAATACAAAGAAATAAAGATTGAAAAGTATGACACTTTTCTGTTATCACAAAAAAGAAGAAGATAAAATCAAGTATAATTGTAAATTACTTACATGAATTAAAAGGTCATCCAAATATTAAATAGATTAAAATAGATTTGCTTATATGAATTGATTTTGGGGTGTGGAGGGATATGTTTTTGAAAATGTTTGTTTTAATGGTAGATTTACGATATTTAATAATGTTTACAACTGATCGATACTTCTGAGTAATTGAGTTAAAGAAAAAATTTATATTACATTACGTTTTAGTAAACATGGGAATGTTATTTTACAGGTTACACTAAAAATATAATTGGTATCTTTTATATTTCAATACAGACATATGGTGACTTAATAAGATTTAAAAGTACAAGTTTTGCTCATGTTACAGTGAAACAATTTATCTTTTATTTTCCATTTGATATTTTGATGGATTTTTTCATTTTACATTTTGATGAGTTTTATTTTTTCATGTTTTATTTTGATGGGGCTGTATTTCATTTGATATTAGTGCTCAATATTAAGAATTTATGAAGCAATTCTGAGCTCTCTGTGATTTCTTTTTATGTTGTTTTTATTCCCCCCACCATGTTCTATGACAGATATGTACATCTAAAAGTAACATCACAAATGCTTATTAATAAAGCATCCTGGTATTTGTTATAATAATATCTCATTAAAATAAATTTCATCTCAATGCAAGTTAATTATGGATATTATTTTTTTTCTCATTTATGTATTATTTTATACTTAAATATAGATTTTTTGAGTGAATAAATATTTTTTTTTTTACTGAATGTGAGGTTCTTTCTTATTATCCCCCGCCGATGGAATCGGGAGGGGGACATAGTTTTGGCGTTGTCCGTCCGTCCGTCCATCCGTCCGTCCGAATTTCGTTTCCGGAGTAGTTCTCTGCAACTAATGGCTGGAATTCAACGAAACTTTATGGGAATGTTGATCAACATGTGAAGTTGTGCACCTAGGTATTTTCGTCTGGATTTTTATTTTTAGAGTTATTGCCCTTGACTTAGTAAACGTCCGAATTTCGTTTCCGGAGTAGTTCTCTGCAACTAATGGCTGGAATTCAACGAAACTTTATGGGAATGTTGATCAGCAAGTGAAGTTGTGTACCTAGGTATTTTTGTCTGTATATTTTTAGTATTTTTAGAGTTATTGCCCTTGACTTAGTAAAACGTCCGAATTTCGTTTCCGGAGTAGTTCTCTGCAACTAATGGCTGGAATTCAAAGAAACTTTATGGGAATGTTGATCAGCATGTGAAGTTGTGCACCTGGGTATTTTCGTCTGGATATTTTTAGTATTTTTAGAGTTATTGCCCTTGACTTAGTAAAATTTTGCAATTTTCAACTTTTGTTGCATGTAACTCAAAAAGTATTTGACCTAGAGTCATGATACTTTACAGGAATGTTGATCAGCATGTGTAGTTGTGCACCTGGGTATTTTCGTCCGGATATTTTTACTATTTTTAGAGTTATTGCCCTTGACTTAGTAAAATTTTGCAATTTTTCAACTTGTGTCGCATGTAACTCAAAAAGTATTTGACCTAAAGTCATGATACTTTACAGGAATGTTGATCAGCATGTGTAGTTGTGCACCTGGGTATTTTCGTCTGGATTTATTTAGTATTTTTAGAGTTATTGCCCTTGACTTAGAAAATGTTTGCAATTTTCAACATCTTATGGTGGTCCCCTGCAAAAGTTGATCAAATGGTTCCGGTCTGTTGCATAAGTAGGTCACAGGGCCAGAAAAGGAGTTTCAAAAATGCAAAATAAAAAAATCTTGTCTGAAAGTACAAGGCCTAGAGCTTTGATATTTGGTATATGATATAACCTATAGCCCTGGGGTCAAAATTGGCCCCACTCCAGGGGGTCATAGATTTACCTGATATATATATAGTGAAAACTTCTTCTTGTTTGAAGGTACAAGGCTTCAAGTTCAAAGAATATTACAGTTAATGCCATGATTAATATATTAATAAAGCCTTATGTCTTCAGTTGTTGTGTTAATAATAACCAGTACTCTGCGGGGGATATAAATTCAACGAATTTGCTTGTTACCTTGTAATTATTATCACTACCCAGTGATGTGTCAATATGTGTTTTTTCTATAGCATATTTATGCTGTAAACTGTTTAGGTGTTACTGTTAATGACCACAGTAAATAAAGAGATAAAAAAGAAACACTCAAAACTTGTATTGCATGATGTTTAATATAAATAAATTCATGATTTAATACATTGGAAATAAGGAAAGTCATGATAATTGGGTCAAGGTCATTGATACTAAATATAGATTTTCTCACTTCTCATAATGGTACAATCATGAACAATTTCAATTAATTAAATTATAATGATGTTAAGCAAAGTAAAACATGATAATTAGGTCAAGGTCAAGCTTATTGAGGCTATATATATAGATTTTCCCGCTTTTCTCCAAAGTGAGGCAAGCTAACTTGTACATGTATTTGTCCAGTTTGCTATGGTAATATTTACTTTACATTATGTATATAGAAATAGTCTTTATCATTTTTCATGAAATAAATATTTTTTCTAGATTTAATAAATCTTTGTCGTCTGTTTATTTTGTCATATAATTCCTCTTCCTTCCATATTCTGCTTGTTTGTTTTAAGTGTTTAAACAACCATTTTCATGTAAACAAGTGATATACAATGTGGCGGCATGGCCGAGTGGCTAGTAATCGTATGATCGCTAGCCATCAAACCCGCTAGTTCAAACCTACTCAAGGGCAAGTTTTTGTTTCCTTGAGCATGATACTTTACACTCATTGCTTAGTAAAGGTTGGTTCCAGGAACGTATTCGAAAGTGTGTCTATAGCCTCCTACACAATCGAACGTATAAACAAGTGTAGAATGTACCAGTAAGGAGTTGAATCCAACTGTCCCGTATTCTTTACCTTGATTTATCCAAATATATACAGGTGTGTAATAAATATAGTATATTTCATGAGCGCATGAAGCTATTGAATGAGTTTGGTAAAATCATATGATATATAAATACCAAATTTTCCTGTGAAGTTTGAAGTTCCTATCAGAAGTGCATAGTCTGTGTATCTGTCCTGTGGTGATGCCCCCTAATACTTGTTAAGCATTACGGTAGTTATACATGAAATAATGAAACATCTGCAGTTTTTTCTTATGGAGGTGATCATAAAACTTCAATGTGAGTCATTCCAGAATTAAAATCAGGACATCAAGTCAAATAATAAGTGTTCTAAATGGAAAGAAAGTTGAACGGTATTTTTAATGATGGCAGAAATTTAAACTGACAAAATTAGTGTAGTATTATGAGTGTAGGACAAAAGCCATCCCCCCCCCCCCCCACCTCCCATCTAAAAATGACAAGGTGGACAAAAGCCCCCATATGAAATTTACACATAGGACAAAAAGCACCCCCATCAAAAATACAGGTAGCACAAAGCCCCCCCCCCCCATCTTTTTTCACATGCACAGGTGCTCAAAATTCATCAAATTTCACACAAACTTTTAAATAAATATGAAAAGAATTTGTTTTAATGTTTATTTATAATGTATATATTGAAGTGATAACAAAGTATATGATAACAGATGAAATAATGCATGCATGCCATACTGAATTCATAGCTTTTCATATACACAACAAGGGTCAGAAGAGTAGTAGTGTTTAATCACTTTTGTAAAGGGATCAAATTAATATTTCTTTAGCACTATGTCACCTACATGTGATGTCCATACATATCTTTTTAAACGCATAAAAACACAACTTTAATACACTATATGTAAATTTGATTGACCATTGGGGGGGGGGGTTGGCTTTTGTCCTACCTTTACCTTTTTTTTTTGGGGGGGGGGGGGCTTTTGTCGTATGTGTAAATTTGTAAATTTCATGGGGGGGCTTTTGTCCACCTTGTCATTTTTAGACGGGGGTGGGGGCTTTTGTCCGTATCCCCTGCATTATATCATCACATTATAATCCACGTAAATTGGTGGAGGAAAACCCAAGATAGCCCTGTAGTGTATTATCTCATTTACCCGAGTAGAACTTCCGACGTGCCATAACCTAGCTTGAAAACTTACATAAATGGTACAAAGCAATATTTGAAGGAACAGTTGCAACAGTTGCAGTGATTTCATATTCTTATGATAATTTCTCGGAAAATGGTGCTAATTAGTTGTCTCTTCTAATCATTGTAGGTGTTAACCAGAATAAAATGTTCCAGAACAATATGTATTTATTTATTTATTAAAGTCTCATCTATATACATGGTACAATATAATTCAACATTAAATATATCATAAGAACATGTATATAACCATTCTATACAGAATTACAGGAGACTACAAATGTATAAAGCACATAAATATACATAGCATTTTATAATAATGACTATTTACATGATAAAACTATGCTCTATGTTAGAATAGTTAAGAATAAAACAGTACGACTTTGTAGTTAAAAGAGGAGCACTTATGTCATTAAAAAAAATAAAAATTATAATAATAATCTACCATTATATTATTTACAAAGATAAGATTTACGTCTATTAAGAATATCGAAACAGGTTTTGGCACATATTCTAATTATTTAAATGAATCGCGTTTTAAATAATAAGTAGTTTTTCTAAGATTTTTTTTCAGCTGAACTGATTTGTCATTTGCTTTTAATAACTTTTTTATTGCAGTTATATTTTTTTAAATAAAATTTAAATTGTACTGACCTCTTTAGTATCTAAAATGGATTCATTGATAGAAAAAATTCTTATTGAATATATGTGTTTGAATTTTTTTTTACAATTGAAAGGCAGTACTTTAATATCACTTTACTTTGGAAAATCGTCTATTATTCAGACAAGTGTTTAAAAATTATTTTTATCAACAGTCGCGCAAACATTGGTAGTGTGCTGTTATTTTGTAAATGCTTAATACTAAAGACCAGGGGAATTCTATTTGAAATACCCTGCAGACACTAACATGTAAAACCATCCAAAAAGTATCATGAACAGCACTAGAAAGTCAATGAAATAACACCATTTTCAACCTCATATTTCAAAATTTTCTCAGTCTATTTTTGTCACATGAACAAGATATTGGCCCTATCTTCAAACATGCACAATTTTGCCTGTTGCATTATTTTTGTCCATATGTCAGCCCCCCCAGGAAACCATGTTCTGTATCCGCCCCTGGTTAAGGAGGTATTTGTAAAAAGAAACACAAGTTTATCATTATCTGACTTGTTATAAAATTCTGGATCGACGGCTGCCGCCTTATGAAATAAGTTTCGTCTGTAATCATCATAAAGTGAGCACTGTAAGATAACATGCGATTCTGATTCAACGTTATTAACACAAAATGGACAAGTACGGTTTTGTTCACTTAAGTTTTCATATCTTCCAGTTTCTAGTCTAATGGGAGCAACCCCACAGCGAAATTTACAGAAGGCAGATCTGTGTAAAGGTGGCATAATCATGGTGCAATAATTCTCAGCACTATAATCTTTCTTAAAAGTACAATATGTTCTTAGTTTATTTCTTCCTCGACCTGAACTACCTACAGATATATTGATAAGCTGTTTCCAGTCACATACATATTTATCCATCAAAAAACATATAGCACTATCAACAATAGCATGTTTTGATACATAGTTAGAAATGTCATAAAAATGACTGAGTCTACATTCAAACAATTTCGACTTAACACGAAAATACCAAGTTTTACAATTATTGTTTATAATATTATGTGTCCCTACAATTTTATTTGATTATGTGATTTTCTG